AAGAATCGGGTTTTCTATGTGCTTTATATCTTGTACCTTTGCAAGACTTGTCATTCATATTCTTCAGTAGGGGACATTATTCCTACTCTAAACAGACAAGAATACTGCTTAATACCAGATAAGCAATAGTATTTTTTAAATTTCTTTGATTTAATACCAATTTAAATAAAAACCACCAAAATTAATTTGATACTCAATATGTTTCCTTGAATATAAGTATATTCTCATTCGGTCTGAAATTAAAATATGAAATTGATATATAGAGCATTCAGAAATGTGGATATTATAAAATGTTATTAAATCAGAGAAGGGTATTGAACGCCATTCTAAAACATGAACCTGTATACGTAGGACCTCATGGGACGACACTCTGCCATTTTCAGGTAATATACATGTTGATCTGTAATACCCGGAAATGTCAAGGAATATCACTACCTATATCCTATATAGCTATACAGAATGTACCATGTCAAAGAAATTCGTAAAGCATGACCATTCATGATTTAAGAGGGATCAAAGGGGGGGGGGGGGGGGTTATGATTTAAATTTTGACTACATTGTTTTTCCCAACTTATATCACTAATAAAAATACATCCAGGAACAAAATTCTTTTTGTTATTTCATAGAATACTCCTTAATATGGGCTACAGTATTTAGTGGACAAGCAGTATTTTCAAATTGATTTAATACTTAGTAAAAACACAATTATTTTGATAGCCAATATGTTTCCATAAAAAATTACATATGCTCATTGGTAAACGGACAGAAAGTCACAGGACATAAAGTCACAAATTTGATAGGACAAAAAGTAACAGGACAAAAAGTCACAAATAATGTGTTGACAATTGTTCGAATATATAAGAGAAAGATCTTACAATATTTCCTAGGATTTTTCAGTAAACGGATATGGATAGTAAACTGCAAATTGCTAGAAAACAAAGAAATATTGATGCCAACGTTAAAAACGTGAGTAATGTAATTCAAATAGACAGGAAATACGAAAAAAAGATTTAAAAAACAAAAATAAACAAAATTTTAATCTGCAAACCGAGTCCCTGAGGTAATTTTTTAGATTTTAAAAACGAACTTAGTTTGCATTCTTTCTAACCAAAGTTTGGTAAACGTTGTGTGCCGTTTGTTATAGTTTGTTAAACGTTACAAAAGTAAAAACAAATGCATCGTTTAATCAGTGTTTACTGACCCTGTTTGAACTGTGAAAACGCATGCACATGTTGTTGGTATTTGAACTTATTACGCGGGGAAAATAGCCTCCGTATAAGATGTTATAGACACAGAGGACATCGCTCCTCTATGCATATTTAAATTTTTTGGCAGTTCTTCATCGTCATCAGATAAATGTATGAAGATAGTGATGATAAGCCTTTTTATTGAAGATAACAGAAATGAAAGAAAGGATGGTAATACCTAAATGTTAGTAATTTTAGACATTGTTTTGAGTTATGACAAGCAAGAACATACATCTTTTTTAGTGCGAAAAATATGTTTAGGTATTGATTAAATGTTTAAGTTAGAAAGAAATTCATCGTTTGTACTAAGATTCTACTAACAAACGACGAACGACAAACTATAGAAGCATTTGCAGCGAGTGTATAGTTTGTCAAAGTTTATGCAAAAATTGATTGGATTATCCTTATTGCTTATGACTATAATGTTATGAGAACAGTGTTTTGAATAAAATAGAATTAATTATACATGTTCAACGATGTTTTTGAGTTGTTTCTGAATTGTTCCATGTTATTAATACTTTAAGGGTAGTGCGTTTTTGTGATTATGGAGAACAAAATATATGATAAATGATAGAAACAAAGAGGAAAACAGAGTCAAATTCATTTTTCAAAATTTATTTTCACATTGAAATATACTATTCATTGATTCTATAAACCCCATCAAGACCCTCACAATGTTGATTGAGCTGATGCGTTCTGTATTTTGAGGTATGAGAGATAACTAGTACTGCGTGTGAGTCCTGGAAAATAATGCGGATTGGTCTGTTGTTTCAACAGATGAATTAATCAACAACATCCTGTCATTGTTATTGAACCTGAATGACCACCTAGGGTATACATCGATATCCTGTGACACGAGTGTAATCTATTGAATAACTTATCAAATTGCACATCACTAAGTTTAAAATTACAATTAGCAGTACAATTCAACTAATTCAACATTTTGAAGTCTGATGATAACTTGACCTATCAGAATTTAAAACAAGACACTTGATTAACGTCTCTATAGTATGCAAGAACATAAAATACCATATTGCAATTCTGACAAAAAGAAACAAACTATACGAATAACAACAGCAACAAATAAAACAGATAACATAACAATTATCATAATGCATCAGTAGCAGGTAAACACTAAAATAATGAGACTACAATAAATTGCTTTTTTTCTTTTAAAAACATTGAAATATAGCTGTAAATCACATGCTGATATCATGTACCATAGATTATACATCTAAGCATGTACTTAGTTTTGTTTCGTTTGGTTTTCTGCTATTTTATATATCGGAATGAAATTATTTCTAAGTACAAATATTTTTTACATACAAATAGATAGTGAAGTTAACCTCCTTTAGTGTTTCTCTATAGAATGATGATTAATTCTGTTCTCTGAAAGGAAATCCGACAAGTACACTGTTTCAATTAGAAACTAGTTATTTAAGAGTATGTAAATTTATATGATTAAAAATTGGAAAAACGATTTTCTTTCTCAAATCTTGTGGAGTCCCCTGGATATCTTAAACTTTATCCTCTTTTAACAGAACATCAAAAGCATTTTCCTCGGACAATTGTATCATTCAAGTTGTTTAATTCTTATAGAATAGCTATATATACCTTTGTAATAGCAAAAATGCGAATTTGTATAGAAAATTTTATTTTAGAAAAAAATCAAAATCATTCGAAAAAAAAACACCAATTTTTTATAACCCGATTAATTCACTCCTCGCCATATCGATATCTCCTACTTATGACGTACCCGTCATAGAACACAGAAATATAAAGATTGAATTAGCAAATATGTGTCTTCATTTTTTTCTTCTACAGTCAACGATTAGTAAGACACAAGACACAATTCAAGTTTCTTTTCCTGATTTTAAAAACAATTTTAAAGCATTCTGAATATTAATAAAGTAGATGTGAGATATTCAATGAAACAGCAATCAAGATATATTACAGATTTTCAACATTCTTCAATCATGATAAATAAAGCAGCCAAGATATTTGAGTGCACTCTTTTTTTTTATTGATAAATTTTTGTGCTTAAAGATTGTAAAGTGCCGATTTTTTTTCTGCATAATACTTTTGATATGTTCGCAATTAAAAAAAAAACCCTTTGCCTCAGTAATTTCAAGATTTTATAGTGTATTATTTCGCCATAAATACAAATTTTATTGTCAATTAAGCGGTATTTCTAACATTGCCTATAAGAAAGAGATTTGGCTTGCCATAAAACCAGGTTCAACCCACCATTGTTAAATTGAATTGGATTCACTGTAACTCCATTTACCGGTAAATTTCATTAATCTCTTTGACAAAAAAAAAACACCTTTCTCCGACATGGATTTTTTACCTTTACAAGCTAAAAAATTACCATAGAGCAAATTACATGGATGATTAATATTGACCATTTGGTATAGGCATATGTCCGTGTTCAAAGCGATACGAACATGCAGGACATACATTATTTTGTTGAATAAAATCAAATCTACAAATGCATGGGTGCCGTAGGAGGACCACTGGAGTTTTGAGCAAGGATTTCTTGGCATGTAACAGATCGAAAACTCGGGGTTATGATATTTCATGTATATTTTGAACACATGGAGGGTTCCCCCGGCATCCTTTGCAAAAAAAAAAAAAAAATCTTCTATGTGCCTTCGGACTTTATGTTTTGAATTGTAGCTCCACTTTCCATATTCGGTATTTATTACGAGTCAAGTGCCTGTGCGGAGACTCCAAGCAGACAACACGCATGTGTATAACGGCATTGTAGATTTTCTTATAAAATAACGAGAGTTGCCGGTCCGGTACATGAATAGATCGGTTAGAAAGCTAGGTTTTAATTTTTAAATTAATTAGATTGGAAAGCTTAATTCGAGGGTTGAAAATAGAGAGCGCAAAAAAGGGGGTTGGGGGTGTTCCACAGGGAATATTTTTATTTTATAAACGCTACATTTGAAAGGTTTATATTTTTCTATTTAATCTTTAACTAGTAATGGATGCCGTAGGAGGTCCATCGGAGTTTTGAGCAAGGATTTCTTGGCATGACAAACAATTTCAGATGTTGGTCCGAGAAGCGTGAACACACCGACCTGACCAACATAGAATTTCCGCTGACCAATGTCCTAACTGAGTGAAAGATACAAACATTTTATAAACATAAAAAGAAAACTTTAAATGTTTAACATATAAGGATTATATATTATTTTCAAAGAAAACAAATATTAATTTTGAGAAAATATTTCCAAATTTGAGAAAAAATTTCGAGTTTTATTTTAGAAAAAACATCATATAGGGAGAAAAAGAAATTGCAAAAATTTACCGGTATATTTTTAGGTTCGTTCGTTCGGGTTTTTAGTGTAACCTTCGTCAATACATGAATAAAGAACCCGTGTTTTAAAAGCCTCTAAATGCACAAAAAATGTAAACAGTTGTGTTCAATTTTAATTTATCTGCTTGTTATATCATTCCTTATCGTGGAAATTGTGTTGAAACTGTTTATTCGAGTATATTTGGGTATATTGGGGTAAAAAGTCATTTTGTGATCGTAAGCGGCTGACATGAACAGAACAAGTTACGAGGGAAAAAGTGATTTAAAATTAAATATATTCATAAAATAAAGTATTAATGTCGTTAAAATAACATTTAAATGCCTAGTGTAACATTGTTATTCAACCAAATTATGTTTAAACTGCTTTTTGAGGTATATTGGGGTATGTTGGGGTATATTGGGGTATATTGGGGTAAAAAGTCACGCCGACATCTGAGGAAGTAATTTGATAGTTCGAAAATGAAATATTGGTTTCGCTGCAAATGTTGACAGGAAAAGTATATATCTAGGCTTGGCAAAAGAATTTTGATGTGAGAATTTTAATATACTTTACACAATCAAATGTATGATAAAATCCGTTCAATTTGCCTCGCCTTTACTAAAATTTTGCCGGGTCCCGGGTAGGTCCCGTGTTCTTCTGATCTTTGATTGATTGATTGATTGATCTTCGAGAATGAAATACTGTATATTTAAAGCAGAAATAAACGAGAAAGAAAGATAAAGGAAAAATACTAAACACTTACATATAATCGAATATATGCCTTGAATAAAGTACACCAATAAGAAGGTCATGCATGGTTTTGTGGTATTTCACTATTTTTAGGCTCTTCTTATTTATATTGGTACTCAATATTTACATTCACTTTGTACACGCTGACCAGACCTGAGAAAATCCATGACAACTCGCACCACTTAATTACTCTCCCCACTAATTCTAAATTACTCTCACCACTGACGAAAATGTGTTTAATCCCACTGAACCTGTATTGCTGTAAACGCGCCACCTTGATACAAGGAGTTCATGCAATCCCCTGAAACAAAACCATGAACTTTGTCACACCAATTATACAATATAGATTGTATGTTGTGTGTATACTTGTTCCACAGATAAAAAAATAGTCCAGTTACAATGAAACAAAAATGCAAACTGGTTCAACGTAAAATTTAAAATTTATCATACATTCTGCATTCTTCTACAAACTTGCCCCAACTTTCAAAAAACACACTGGAAATGCACCCCACATGTCAAAAGTATTTCACCAATTGAAATTTCGTTTATTTCATAACATTTTTTGTCATAGAAATGGTAAAAAGTGTTTCACTACTCAATAATTCTACTATCAGTCAGGGGTACTACTAGTACAAGTAATTTTTTATTTACTTGAAGAAGTAAATAATAATATACTTATACAAGTAAATTATAATGTTTGAATAATCTCCCCTTAATTTTCTCGAAAATTTACTTGTATAAGTAATTTTTTTTACAATCATGAAAAATTCTCAAGTTTTGAGATGTAAAAACATGCCTTTAACAATTTTTCTCAGGTTTATAGCCCATAATTTTTTATTAGTCTTAAGAGTTCAATGTTTCATCTCATTAATTCAACAAAGAAACTAATTGCGCAAAGATCTTTAGTATTTGCACAAGGCCTTCAAAAATTGTCCCTTGGGGGCTTGTAAATGAGCAGTGTTCTGAAGATGACAGACAAATGAGATTTTCATTGTCCATGAAATTACACTTAAATGATTAGTAAAGACATCTTCAAAGGACAGACAATTAAAAATTCTATTAGAGCAAAGAAGTCCTAAGAAATTCAAGAAAAGAAGATAGGATTCCTTTTTTACTTGTATAAGTAAAAAAAATCTGAATGTCTAAGGGACATAACTAAGCCAAAAAATAATTTACCTATACAAGTAAATAAAAAACACTTGTATAAGTATCCTACAAATTTACTTATATAAGTATATTAATATTTACTTCTTCAAGTAAATAAAAATTACTCGTAGAAGTAGTACCCCTGACTGACTATATCATGTATATATCTAGAATAACTATACATTACATGTAGTACCTGCATTGTTTCTAAATATAAAATTTGTTTGTAAAAGGCAGCAAGTTAGAAACAGGTAGAAAGCAAGGCTTTGCTATTCTCTGCTGTATACATGGTATACTGCAACTCTTACAAAAAATGGAAATTTTGGGTAAAAACCATCAATTTTGAATTTGAAGCAGATGACCTAAAATTACAATCCTATTTTCTTTATTGATTTTGTACATTTTGTAAATAAAACCCTACGGAAACACATTGTCAACACTGGGAACAGTATATCTAACGGGAAATGAATCTGATACGCTTTTCAGTATAAAATTGATAAAATCTCGGACTCCCCGAGACTTCCCAAGATTTACGGATTTTGGTAGCGTCTGACTGAAAAACAATCAGAACTGCTCAACAAATAAACTACATAACTCTACTTGTAAATAAATACAAGTTTTATCATTTAGTAGATATATTTTGTCATATAAAATTACCAAAATAAGTTTGATTTATTTGATGTGAAGTGTTTTATAATAGTTTGGGAATTTGTAAATCATCGCGGCAATGGCCGCCATTTTTTTATTACCTGGTTTGCATTCTGCACAATTATGTGATGAAATGCTTGCGATTTTAACAAATTTGAAGTGACAGAATACAAGTTTGATACACTAGCATCACTATAAAACTAGTTTGAATGACATTTTATTGATAATATCAGAAATTATTAGGATAATAGCGAGTCCGTTTTTAACACATGTCCGTTTCTGTATCGTATCTTTATTAACTATGGCACGACGATAAAATCGACTACAATCAGGTAGTGTCAAGTCCCGTCAATATATATGTTCCTGGTCAACATTACAAACAAAGCAAAATACAGTCACAAATGAGCATTCTTTTGCTTGCGAGAAAGCTGTCTCACTTTAGTATTAGTGAAAAGAAATCTATGAAATTTAAACACAAGGTTCATAACCACAAAAGGAAGGTTGGGATTGATTTTGGGGGTTATGGTCCTAAAAGTTTAGGAGTTGGGGGCCAAAAAGGGGCCAAAATAAGCATTTTTCTAGTTTCAAGACAATAACTTGTGGAACAGTGTATGGATCTCTCTGAATTATACCACAAGTTTCCATACCACAAAGGGATGGTTAGGATTGGCTTTGGGGGTTATGGCTCAAACCGTTTAGGAATTAGGGGCAAAAAAGTGAGAAAAAACAAGGGTGTCCTGGTTAATGGACAATTACTTAAGTACAAATTACAGTGTAACGGAGGTAATTCAAACACAACTTTGAATTACCTCCCTTACACTGCTTTTAAATTATGTATTAAGAAATGTTGTATTGTCTTGAGGTGATTAGATGTCAATTCATTTTTATACGCCCGTTTACGGGATGTATTATGGTATTCCGTTGACCGTCTGTTCGTCCGTCAATCGTCAACATGTCAGACATTAACTCAAAAAAGCTTTAACCAATATGCATGAAACTTTGGTGAATTGTTTATATCTATTGAAGTGAGCTCCCTTTCGTTTTTTATAAATTTCAGATTTACCGTTTCCGAGTTTTGGGGTTTTATTCATTAAAAAAGGGGGGATTTTCCAGTTTTCCAACAATAACTCAAGAATGCTTTCACCAACTTGCAAAAAATTTTGGTGAATTGTTTATATCTATTGACATGAGCTCCCTTTCGATTTTTATAAATTTTAGATTTTACATTTCTGAGTTACAGGGTTTTATTCATAAAAAAAGGGTGATTTTCCAGTTTTCAGACAATAACTAAGAAATACTTTCAGCAGTTCTCATGAAACTTTGGTGAATTGTTTATTTCTGTTGATGTAAGCTCCCTTTAGAATTTGATAAATTTTAGATTTTACAATTCTGAGTTATGGGGTTTTATTCATTAAAAAAGGGGGGATTTTCCATTTTTTGGAAAATAACTCAAAAATGCTTTCAGCAGTTCTCATGAAACTTTGGTGAATTATTTATAGCTATTGATGTAATCTCCCTATTGATTTTCATAAATTTCAAATATGACATTGAGAAGAAATTGAACTTTATTTGTTTATAATCTGACAACAGATTTACTAAGTATTGCGCAACAGCACAGTGTATTGCACAACAGCAAGAAATCTTTAATTGAATATATATATAAATTCAATTCATATAACCAATTTCAAGTTCTTTGACTACATTTATTCAGAAACCTATAATATGTCAAATATTTAATTACAATCCAAATTCAGACCTGTATCAAGCTTGAATATTGTGTCCATTTTTGCCCCAACTGTTCAGGGTTGGACCTCTGTGGGCGTATCCAGCTGCGCTCAGTGAAGCAGTTTATTAGAAGTTTAGTATTTTAATAATTTTAAAAATGCTGATTAAGGTAAATTAATTTTAGCTATGATTATGTACATGTGTATGTCATTTTCTATTTTTTTTTGGGGGGGAGGTCAATTTGCAACAGCATAGTGTATTGCACGAAAGCAAAAAATTGAATATAAATTCAAATAATATAACTAATTCTAAGTTCTTTGACTACAGTTATTCTGTGCCAAAGAACCTATTATGTGTCAAATGTTGAATTACAATCCAAATTCAGACCTGTATCAAGCACGAATATTGTGTCCATTTTTGCCCCAACTGTTCAGGATTGGACCTCGGCGAAGCAATTTATTATATAAACAGGCAATGCAATTTGACTACAAGTAAACAGCACAGTTTGACAGTGGCAGTAGAAATATTTATATAAATTTTTTTAATGCCCCCGCCATAGCGAAGGGGGCATTAAGTTTTACCCTTGTCCGTCTGTACGTCCATTCTCCCCAAAATTGATTTCCGTTCTCAAATTTGAGTCTGCCTCAACCAAATATTATGAAACTTATACACAATGCTTATTACCACAAAATACAGATCAAGTTTGAATTTTGGTATCGTGACTCTAACTGTTCTAGAGTTATACCCCTTTATGAATGGAAAAATTACAAAATTTTTAGTTTCCGTTCTCGCACTAAAGTTTGCCTCAACCAAATGTTATGAAACTTATACACAATGGTTATTACCACAAAACACAGATCAAATTTGAATTTTGGTGGCGTCACTTTAACCATTCTAGAGTTATGCCCCTTTATAAATGGAAAAATTGCAAAATTTTTAGTTTCCGTTTGCTTACTTAAGTTTGCCTCAACCAAATGTTATGAAACTTATACACAATGCTTATTACCACAAACTAAAGATCACATTTGAATTTTGGTGGGGTCACTTTAACCATTCTCGAGTTACATGTATGTCCCTTTATAAATGGAAAAAAATGCAAAATTTTTAGTTTCCGTTCTCTAACTTAAGTTTGCCTCAACCAAATGTTATGAAACTTATACACAATGCTTTTTACCACAAACACAGATCAAGTAGAAAGTTGGTGGCGTCACTTTAATCATTATCGAGTTATGCCCCTTTATAAATCGAAAAAAGTTTCCATTCTGTAACTTAAGTTTGCCCCAACCAAACATTATGAAACCTTTACACAATACTTATTTCCACAAAAAACTCAGATCAAGTACATATTTGGGTAGCGTCACTTTTATTGTTCTTGAGTTATGTCCTTTTATAATGTTGTATGCAAGCGGGGGCATCATCTGTGTCCATGGGGGCACATTCTCCATTTATTTTTATATCTTGTAGCTAATACCCCTTTAAGGTAACCAAATATTATAAGTCAAAGATATTTATTATGCTGTTGTATCAGCATTAACATATCTCATTTCCAGTGAGATTATTTGGCCCTGCACCTTCAGTCATGGTTCATTGATTTTGAATGTTTTGCAAAGTTTACATGTTTAAAAGTAGTGTCATTTTAATTTCAACATTTGCATTTTACTGTCTAAATGACACATAGGGGAGACATATCTCTGTTTCAACAATTTATTTATTTCAGTGATGTGTTATTGTAATGCATTGTTTGTAAACAACTTCTTGTATAATGCAATGGAGAGATTTAGTCTATTCCACTGTAATGTGTGTAATTTTCATTAAGATTTTATTTGCACTAATTAACTGGATTTTTGAAAGAAAAATCGGTTATTGATTAGGGGATGTACGGCAGGTGGCTGCCAAACAGTGTCCGTTCATTTACATGAAAATGCTTTGACGAAATCTTTTCAAATTTAGATATGTTGTTTCCTGTGACTAAATAAAGGTCAAGTTCAATTTTAATGATTTTAGCTGTTCTTGTTGTTCAGTTGTAGACCTTTCAGTAACAAAATTTATTTTTATTATATGAATTTGAGTTATTTCCCTTTGAACAGAAGTTGTTAATTAATTTCTATGTCATTTGGTCTTTTGTTTAGTTTGAGTTATTTCCCTTTGACCAGAAATTATTTAATGAATAAGTATTTTTATGCCCCCGCCGAAGCGGAGGGGACATTATGTTTTACCCTTGTTTTTATACCCCACGCAAATTTTTTGCGAAGGGTATAATGTTTTTGACCCGTCTGTCTGTCCGTCCGTCCGTCCGTCAGTCCTGTTTCTTGTCATCGCAACTCCTCTCAAACCACACAACAGAATTTCATGAAACCTTTTCAGATGATAATGACATACTATGTAGATGTGCATATTGACAGGAGTTTACGAATCAATTTTTTTCCCAGGAGTTAAGCCCCTTTGAACTTATTTGCTTCAATGTACTACTGCAACAGTTTGTCATCGCAACTCCTCTGAAACCACACCACAGAATTTCACGAAACTTTGTAGATAATAAGGACATACTATGTAGATGTGCATATCGACAGGAAATTACGATTCAATTATTTTTCTAGGAGTTGCACCCCTTTGAACTTATTTGCTTCAATGTACTACTGCAACAGTTTGTCATCGCAACTCCTCTGAAACCACACCACAGAATTTCACGAAACTTTGTAGATAATAAGGACATACTATGTAGATGTGCATATCGAAAGGAAATTACGATTCAATTATTTTTCTAGGAGTTGCACCCCTTTGAACTTATTTGCTGTAATGTACTACTGCAACAGATTGACATCGCAACTCCTCTGAAACCACACAACAGAATTTCATGAAACTTAGTAGATAATAAGGACATACTATGTAGATGTGCATATTGACAGGAAATTATGATTCAATTTTTTTTTCTTACACTTATTTTATTTCTCCAATGACAATGTGGGGACGTGGGGTATGTGAGCAGGCTCACTAAGGTTCTTTAATTAAATATTTTTTCAGATTATTTTTTGATGTAATTTTTACTGTTAAACTCATATATATATGTGTACAGCTTTTGTCTCGCATGCCATGAAGTTGCACTATGTGAGACATTGGGATTACTATCCAGCGGCAGTGTAAACTATTTGTATAAAGCTGTATGTTTCAAAAGCTAGAAAACCTGGATGCTTCATACCTTGTACAATGTTGTATTCAGATACCTTAAGTCCTTTTGTTACGAAGTTTCCGTCTGTCATATGTTCATTTGACCTTGACCTCATTTCATGGATCAGTGATTAAGGTTAAAGTTACATGATTAGGTCTGTTTCTCAGATACTATAAGCAATAGGTCAACTATATACATACCTGTCAACTTAACCTGTATCCTGCGGGTGATATCCCTGAATTTCACCATCTAACCCAGGATTTTTAGGTACCCATCAGGTTGTTAAATAACCTGGGACTTCTGAAAATGACCTGTTTTCACCCGGATTCTTGAGCATGTTGAGCCTTTAGACTGAATTCATAAGTGATTTTCCTTTGAAAGACCGGCAAATTAGTATTTCTTCCTAGACAGGAAGTTCAACTAGCTGTGTTAACTTGTCAAGTTCAGTGACCCATTAAGTGCATGGCTTCACTTGACAGCTTTGGTGTCAAACACACTGTTAATTAACACCAATTACCTTACTTTAAGGTCATAAATAATTTGTGTATTTCAAAGTTGTTTGACAAAATTTTTTGAGTTACTCCCCTTTTTGCCACCTTTCACAATATACTCCTTATATATAATTAAATTTATGTTTTTTTTCTCAAAAGATTAAATGTAATCAAATTGAATTCAAATACATATCAGAATATTACTTTCTATTATTTTTCTACCTTAGAACAATTAAAAAATTAATGTACATTTTAACCACAGTTAACATGGTTAAGTGGTGAATATCCTATAGTGTATTTTTTCATCTTATAACAGAGCCTATCCAAACCAAACATAGGTGAATTGATGATTTGGTTTCTTTCCTTTATTGATTTCACTGAATCGGTCAATATTGGAAGCATATACATTTTGTTTGTCACATTGTGTAGGCGATAAACACAGATAGTAGAAGCCATGGATTACCTTACAGCATGACATTACATGCAGCTAAAGGTATTCAATGAGTGATTATAAATAAACCAGGAACTAATATAAATGTGTGGATATTTGAAGTGACTCTCTAAAGTACAATATAGTTAATTTCCTTGTGTTTCAGATATCAAGGTTTGAGAAAGAAAAATAAGGCAAATTTCAGATGTTGTTATGTGAAACCTGGATAACAGACTTTCGTTAGTTTTACAGATGTAAGTATTTATTTGATAGCTATTGCTTTTTCATGAGTTGGAATTACTAATTCAAAAGTAACATTGCTACAGTCATATATATTTGTACAAGCTTAAGGATGCATCTTGTGCCAGCTGAGGACCACCTCAGAGTGCGGGATTTTCTCGCTGCGTTGAAGACCCATTGGTGGCCTTCAGCTGCTGTCTGCTCTTTGGTCGGGTTGTTGTCTCTTTGACATATTCCCCATTTCCATTCTCAATTTTACAGAGTATATGACTTCGACCTTTGTACAATGTACCTTTAAGTTTTACACTTGATCACAGCTCAGATACTACGTCACGAGTACGTGGCTTCGGTTAATCTCACATTTCAAAGTCTCAAGTGGAAAAATACTGTAAACAACAGGGTTGTGTGGTAGAATCTATATATAGCAACTAAGTTTACCAAGCCAGTATTCAGCAAGGCAAACTTTGTAAATATAGATTATTTTGTTTTATATACAAATGTATGCTGTAGTTCTCAGCAAAACAACAAACAAGTCCAAATTCTTTGACATAATAAAATACTGCACAATCAACATATTTTGTAGATGGTTAGTTTAAGTCATCAAGTTTAATTAAGCCAGTAGGCTCATTTGATTTATAATGGACATTACATGTAGCTGTCAAATTCATGTTTACTGATTTGACTCAAAATCTCATATTTGTTTTATAACATACTAAAATGTTTATCCAAATACATTGTAACAAAAAAATCCAAAAGAAACAATTAGCAATGCTTGGATTTGTTATTTATTAGCATTTCCTGTATTTAAGACTAGATGCCATCTCAGTCACCATTCAACATGACTTTAAAGAATATATAAACATGCATATAAATATGAAAACACAGACAAGCACATGCAGTCGTATAATCTCGATTTATCTAGGTCTGTTTGATTTTATGATTAAAAAAATATGTAAATCATTTCATCTGTAAAAGAATGATTTTTTGTGGGCCAAATCAGTCAATCAGCTTGCTTGTTTCACTTTGACACTCTTTTTTTTTTTTAATAAGTGAACATTTTGAACTTGTTTTGACAAAATTGAACCAAACTGATTGCTAATAGCAAAATATGATTTTGATTTTACACTTTAAAAAATTTTTGAAACAAAAAAAATCATATTTCAATTATTTGTCTAAATTGTAGATAATTCCCCTTTAATATGTAACTCTCATCAGTGCTATAACAAAGGTTTGTATAGAATACTTCCAAGTTACAGTGTGTAGTATTGTGAATAATGCATTCAGTAATTTCAAAAGGTACATGTAACACTATCTTTGTAGAGAACAAAGTCATCATGTTGCAGGAAATCATAGAGAAGATGTACATTGATCCAGACCTTTTGGAAGAACTATCTGATGAACAGAAGGCCATTCTTTTCTATAAAATGAGACAGGTACAGTTTTAAGGATTATTGTGTTTAATCCAAATCTCACATCCCATACAGTACCTAAGAAGTTCCAGTTAGTACCATGAGTACCATTGCATTTTTCTGCAGATATTTGAAATTGCTAGTGGCAAATATCTTTTTTTTATGCCCCCGCTGCAGCGGAGGGTGCATTAAGTGTCACCCTTGTCCATCTGTCTGTACTTCCGTCCATATGTACGTACCTATATCCCAAAATTAGTTTATGTTCTCTAACTTTAGTTTGCCTCAACCAAATGTTATGAAACTTATACACAATGCTTATTACCGTAAAACACAGATCAAGTTCCAATTTGGGTGACATCTCTTTTACAGTTCTCTAGTTATGTCCCTTTGAAACGTTATATGCATGCTGGGGCTTCATCTGTGTCCATTCATCTGTGTCCAATGGACACATTCTCCATTTATTTTATATTTCCCTGGCACATATACATGATATGTAAAATTATACATGTAGATATTTGTAAAAAGAACTTAATGTAAATTTCTGAATTTTAAGACAATATTGACTTTTTGTATGAAAAGTAAATGAAAATTGTATATTTTGAGCTCATATGACAAGAAAGGGAGTTGTGAGCTACATGTATTACCCTCACTTAGCATCTGTCATTCAATTCATCATTTAAGGGCTGTTTTCTTTTGTCGATTTCTCTGAAACTATAAGGTTATTTGAACCTAACTTAGCTGGATTGATGTATTTTATGTCATTTATCATGTTTATAAAAAGTCTCAGTTTGATGAAAATAAAAAGCATAGCAAAAATCAATTCAGATCAGACAATATTTGTCTCTTAGCTTGCATCAGATGTTTTTTTTTACCTTTAGACTTAGAATTTTACCCTGGCAATAGATGTTGCCTTTCGGTCAGTACCCCTTCCTGATATTTCATTCCCAAATTACTGACTTGTATTCGAGTATGTATGGTATATGATTATGTTATTTTAAAAAAGACAATTGTGGGAACACAAGGATCCTTGTAATAATGGATTACATATTTTATTTTAATGACTGTCTTTTACCTCAGGTCATGCTTAACAAATTCTTTGTTTGATGTTGCCTACCCATGCCTTGTAGGGTTGGGTAGGTAGGTAGGAATTTTATTTTTTTTGGCCAACAACATAAGTTACATGTTTTAGATAGACAAGAAAACAACGTTAGAGCACAAAAAAAAACTTTAAAAAAAAAATTTGAAATGATTTGTGTCATAAATTTTCCAGATAGGCTGCTTTAAGGTAGGTAGGTAGGCAACATCAGACACTTTTAATTTTATTTTTGGCCTCATAATGTGATTTTTTTTAACAGCTTCTTAGACGCTACCAGAACTTACATTTATTTCTGAATTCGTTTATATGTTTTCTTTACAGGAACAAGTGAGAAGATGGAAAGAGGAAGAAAATAAGCATGAGGAGAGAAAGAAACCAACGAAGCCATCTAAAGCAGGTTTGAGATTATTTTTAGGAAAGATGGAGATATGAAGTGTATGTTATTGTACATGAGTCAACAATCCAATAAAATACTATGCTATAGTATGAATTCATTATTTGTGTGACATTATTAGTCCACTAATGGAGAAGCTGAAGGGGACCATAGGTTTGCACTCTGTCAGTCCATCGGTATGTCTGTTCATTAAGTTATCCACACTTTCTTTCTGTAACTCCTAAATCATTTGATTAGATATTTGGTATATATAATCATATCATAATAAGTTACTAAAAAGTTTGAATTTCGTTTGGCTTGCTGACTTCTGTGGGAGTTTTTGCCCTTGGACTTACAAAATTTCTTGAATAATGTGTTTTCTGTAATGACTGAATCAGCTGATTAGATATTGGGTATATAGTCCTTTGAATATTGGGTACATAAGAAGATAAAAATATCAAATTTGAGTTTAATTCCAGTTGAGTGACTGACAAAATTTGTGGACCTATACTTGAAAATATCAGTTTTCCACAAAATGATATGTTTGGTTTTAAGTCCTATCATAAGAAGCCACAAATCAAGTTTGGCATAAAATGGTCAAGAAAAAATATCACCTTGCTACAATGTAGGCGACCCAATATTTTTATCATTACAAACAATTACAACCCCTTTCCTTAATTCTGCCCCTGATAAGATTATTTCATCAATTTCAGGTATTAAAAATGTAAGCTTTATGCATGGAAAGGATGGAAAAGAATGGGTATGGGTAATGGGAGATCACAGAAATGATAGAACAATACAACAAATATTGGATGATGAAGCTCAGAGAAATGCAGATAAACAGGCAGATATTGAATTAGAAAAACAAAGGTCAGTAAAGTAGCTCATGGAGAAAAACAAAGGTCAGTAAAGTAGCTCATGGAGAAAAACAAAGGTCAGTAAAGTAGCTCTGGGATAAAAAAACAAAGGTTAGTTAAGTAGCTCAGGGAGATAAACAAAAGTCAGTATAAGTGAAGTAGCTCAGGGAGAAAAACTAAAGTCAGTAAAGTAGTTTAAAAAACAGCTATTCATACCATTTATTACAAACATAAAATATATTGCAAAAAATATGTAAAAGTGGATGGAGGTTTGTTTAATGTTCTGTGACAAATAAAATGCATACTGTTTACCCTTTGAACTAGCTCATTAAGAATTCTGTCTCAGTTTGGGAGTCAGTTAAAAAGCAGGGTTCATATTCATATCAATTTTCCATGGACTTGTGCTGAATATACATTTAATTTGGGTCAAGTAAAACAGCTATCCATCATTTAACTTTAAAGGGAACAGAAAGTCTTGGCACTGAATATTTCAGTGACTTCAGAATATAAAAATAAGAAGATGTGGTTTAATTGCTAGAGACAAAATGACCTGGTTGGAAGCAACTATAAATCACTGTATGGCCTTCAACAATGAGAAAAATCCATGCTATACTGAACGCTTTAAAAGGCCTCAACATTACAATATGTAAACAATTAAACAAGAATACCAACCCCCTATTAATTAATGACAAAAAAATAAATGAAAAACAAGTATGACAGACAGCAACCAACTACACCACTGAATTACAGGTCTTGGGACAGGCACATACAAAATGGGGCAGGGCTAAACATGTTTGCTTATTGACAATTTCTAACTGAAGTCCAAGGACGATTTTGTTATGTCAAATGATTCCTACCTGAATTTGTATGGTATCCTGTTAGTATGATAGCCGCATTAGAACCAGTTGAATATGAATTGACACATACTAAACATACTAGTGAATTAAAATTCAGAACATTTTGGTATCTGTATGCATCATTTTATTCTTAATGAAATACATCATTTTGGTTTACTCTTTTAATTAGGATGAAAGAAGAAAAAGAATTTCAAAGGAAAATAGATGAAGAACAAAGAAGACTAGAAAGAGAGAAAGCAGAACGAGAAGCAGAACTCAAGTAAATTTATTTATATAAGTGCTTAAAGGGGCATTAGCTGTCAAATTCATGTTCACTGATTTGACTCAAATTCTCATATTTGATTTATAACATACTGAAATGTATATCCAAATTATAAAAAGTCTAAAATAAACAATTCACGATGCATGGACTTGATAACATGTATTAGAATTTCGTGTGTATTTTAGTCTAGAGGCCATCTAATTAACCATCAAGGTGGCCTCCGAAGACTGCCGACGGTTATATAACCCGCTATAAACATAAATATAGATATAAATAGATATTGAACATGTGCAATCGGATTTTTCTAGGTATGTTTGATTTCATATTATAGGTTGAAAAAATATGTTAATCATCATTTTTACCTGTATAAGAATGAGTTTTTGTGGATCGAATCAGTCAACCAAATGATTTACATTTGTTTCACTTTCAATGTTGACATTCTTTTCCTTTTAATAGCTGAACACGCCAAGTTTCTGTGTAACCCGTCTTAAGGTAATGGGTTAAATTTGAGGTCACATGGCCTCATGAGGTCGAATTATTCACTTGCAAATGAATATAAGTTAATCAACGATGTTTCTTAGCTTATTTTGACAAAATTGAACCAAACTGGCTTTTAAAAGCGAATTATTATTTCACTATTCCACTTTCATTGATGATTAAACAAAAAAATCATATTTTGATTTTTTTATATCTCGTAGCTAATGCCCCTTTAAATTTCGAATAAGACAAGAAATGAAATTATGGTCAGTAGTTGGTCAATTCAATATAAATGTTCACAAAGTAATATCCGAATGGCTTTTAAAAATGTCTTAATATTTGTTGAGCCTGCGACATATATGTTATTGAAGCAGACCAGAACAGAGCGATCCTCCATACTGTGTCAGCTAATAAAAGATATTGTCTGAAGCAAAATTTTGAAAATATATTTTTTTCCTGTTTTCAGTATTTACAGACAGTCTCTGATTAAATCTTTTGACAAAACAAATTTGTAAACCTTCATGGATTGTTATGAAACTTAAACAGAAGCTAATCTTCAAAATCAAGAAAAATCATTTGAAGCAAAAAGTTTGAATTTTGAAAAATTTCCTAAATTTTTCTGATTAATGGACTTATTTTTTACAGTCAAAATTACTATTTTACACTGACAACAGCAATGGTAGGCAAGACAGAGAGTTCTATAGAACCCTTTACCATTTTTTTAATAAATTAAAGGAAGATAACAATGATAACGTTTTATAGTTTGAAGATGTATTAAAAAATTAGGGGAGATAACCAAATATTATGATGTATAGGTGACAGCCTTGGAATTGTAGTTTAGATTTATTTCATCTCAATATTTAAAAAGAAATGTGCCAAAAAAAAACCTAATAAAGTGACGCAATTGAAATAAACGTCTTCAGTAATAATTTATGAGTAAAGTGGTCATGGTGAATGTCTTAGAATTACTTTAAATTATATTAAATGCTTCAAATTGTATATATTGTATACTGAAACTAATGCTATTTAAATGCATTTCAGATATAGATTGTTTTCTTTTTATAAAACATTCTTCTCTGTTTACAAATCATTAAATTGATATATAGCAACTTAGCAAGTTGTAAACTAAAAGATCTTTTACATAATAAATTATATTTGTGGAAAAACACTTATGAATTCATTTTTAAATTCATCCATTCTAAACTTTTTATCTAGAAAAGAATATTGTTGGAAGTTGAAAAAATCAAAGAAAAATTAAAAAAAACTTATGTGGCATGATAAGAACTATAACTACATTTTATACTTTGAATTAATGTATTTGTATCTCTTAGGAGAAAAGAAGAGGAAGCTGCTTTATATGCCTCACTTAAAGAGGCTCGAGAGGCAGCAAAGAGGTTAGAAGAAGAAAAAATGCGATCTGAAGAAGAAGTCACATTAAGAGTCAATGACTTAAGAGTAAGTACATATTTATTTCGTCTTTGTTGTGTTCAGTAGCCAGATAACATACCATACCTACCAACCTTATGAAAACTTCAGAAGATACTATATACCAAATTAAATGATGAAAATGTGTGAAAATAGGGTAATTTATTGCCAAAGGGGGATATTTTTGCAAAAACAATATTTTTCGCCACTTTTAATTTTTTGTTTGCCAACTAGCATGAAAATATTTTACATTTAAAATTTTCATCCTTGCTAACAAAAAAACATCAGTTTGCAGAGCAGCATTGATGTCTAATCTATTATAATTCTACATATCTAATTTTTAATCAACATTGTATTAGATACACATTCATTGATAACAAGCATTTACTTTTTTTAAAGATACTGTACATGTAAAAAAACAAATATGAAACATGAAATTATTGTGTTGACTTCTAGGAACACGCCGACGAGGTTCATCTTCAATAATATTATCGGATACTTCCTGTCTAGTCATGCTAGTTGAAGGATAAAGACAGATATTTCTCTAACTTATTAACATTTTTCTTCATAACAGTTTTCTTAAATTCCAGGCCTTCGTTTAAAGAAAAGTTGAGATCTTTAACTATGCTTCGAACACGTGCATCGCTAAAATGATTGTGAAATACCCACTTCCAAACAATTATTTCTGTCTTAAGTTTTAAAAAATCCTTTAGGTAACATGTGATGCCATTTAACCACACAATTTTATTAAACAATATAATCAACACCTTTATTGGTTAGTCCATTGTTGCAGATAGCTACAAAATGCAATCAGCTGATAGATGATTTTCTGTCAAAATGGTAAGGCGAGTTCAAGGTTAAATCCCAGTATGTCTGATCAGGGAAAACGTTCAAGAAACCAGAAAAAAATTGACAGAATGGAGGTAGTCGAACCGTTATATTTCTTTTGCCAAAGTTTTTCGCCAATAATGAATTTTAATCGCCACAATTTTTATTTTTTCGCAAAATTCAAAAATGGCTACCGCTAGTGGAAACCCTGCTTGTATGTGTCAAAGGGAGATTTTGATCTCTGTTATTTGTATCTAAGGGGCAGATATAGATCTCCCTTGTAGGTATCAATGGAGGAGATTTCAAATTTTCAATACAAGGTGCTAACTTTCTTTTGCTGAAAGGAAGTCCTATCAGTAATCTAAATGGATAACTTTTTATACCTCCCAAAAAAGTGGTGGTATACTGTTTTACCTCTGTCTGTCCTTCCGTCAGTCCATCCATCCATCCATCCGTCATTCTGTCGTCTAATGAATATTTTCGTCACATTTTTCTCAGGAACTACTTGACAAGGATTTCTGAAATTTGGTTTCAGGGTTTATATAAGTAAGTTGCACCGTGTGATGCGCTTTCAGATTCATCACTCAACTACTTCCTGTTTACCGAACACTTGTATTATTTTACACATGATAGCCAAGTTGAAAATTTTCGTCAAAATTTTTCTAAGGAACTGCTTGACAAGGATTTCTGAAATTTGGTTTCAGGGTTTATATAAGTAAGTTACACTGTGTGATGCGTTTTCAGAATCATCACTCAACAACTTCCTGTTTACTGAACACTTGTATTATTTTACACATGATAGCCAAGTTGAAAATTTTTTGTGACATTTTTCTCAGGAACTACAATACAAGGATTTCTGAAATTTGGTTTCAGGGTTTATATAAGTCATTTATACCGTGTGATGCGTTTTCAGATTCATCACTCAACAACTTCCTGTTTACCAAAATATTTCGGCAGGGTTATCATCAGTGAGCAGTAGCTCACAGTTTTACTTGTTGTCCCACTATGCAATTGGTTGATAAAAATGAAATTAAAGTATTAGTATAAACTTTGTAATCAATAAAATTAAATTTTTGCTATTTATTCTAAAATTTATACATTAAAATGTATTGGGTTTATAAATTTTTCAGTTTTCATATGTCACTAATTGGATGCACAATTTGTGGGTCTCTCATGTTCACAAGGACATGTCACTTACTGGGTTTACTATTTGTCTATATGTCATGTTCACAAGGACGTGTTTGATATGTCACTTACCGAGTGTACTATTTGTCAGTCTATCATGTTCACAAGGGCATGTTTGACATGTCACTTACTTGGTGTACTATTTGTCTGTCTGTCATGTTCACAAGGACATGTTTGATATGTCACTTATCGGGTGTACTATTTTTCGGTCCATCATCTTCACAAGGGCATGTTTGACATGTCACTTACTTGGTGTACTATTTGTCTGTCTGTCATGATCACAAGGACATGTATGAAATGTCACATTTGGGGATTACTATTTGTTGGTCCATCATGTTCACAAGGGCATGTTTGACATGTCACTTGGTGTACTATTTGTCTGTCTGTCATGTTTACAAGGACATATTTGATATGTCACTTATTGGGTGTACTATTTGTCGGTCCATCATCTTCATATTTTATGTCTCTGTCTCTGTTCTTCTGCACATTTTTGTTTTTTGGAGGTTTTGATTTTTTGATTTTTTTTTGCTATTTCTTATAACAGTGATACATTAAAAAAGACGATACACTGTTTGATGGTTAATTATTGAATATTTCAGTAAAATCATAATTTCAGAAATTTGTTCAAAACATTTGAGTGTAAGTTATATATTGTTGTTTTATCATTGTGTCTGAATGTTCCACAGCTTAACGGAGTAAATGATTGTCAACAAATAATTCAGGTATTGTTTAATTGTATGTATGACTGAAACTCTTGTGTCAACCATGAAAAAAATCAAGTGTTTCTCTCTTGAAGACAAGAATCAAATATTTCATTGTCAGATGCATTGTGGGTAGTCTCTCTATGGGTAAAATAAATTAAATTATAAATAAATGTAAGTGAGACGTCATGAAGTGATGATAAGAAAAGTCACATGATTAGTTTGCATTTCATATTTTCACTTTAGTGAAAGATGATGAAATACAAAAAAAATACATTAATTTCTAAAACAGACACTGATTAACACTAATAAAAATACCTTTCTCTGAGGAAATTGAAAAAAATTCATTCATTGTTGGAATTTGAAAGGGACTCATGAATAAATTTCTAAAACAATTAAAACATGTTCCGTATATATAATAAATGTATACACAAAGAATTTGATGCTCTATTGACAAACTTATAGAGCCTTTCTATTTTTTCTGAAGCAACACTTCCCTTATGTAATCTGGGCAGTTTCCCTTTTATGATAGAAAAAGTATTTCCAATTAAATTATTGTGTATAATTTTTAAAAAATTATTACCCCACAAAAGTCTCCATTTAGGCTTCTGAATTTGCCACTGTTCTTTGACCTACTGTGTCAAAACATATTCAAAAATTGTCAAAAATTCTGTTTTAAATTCGCTGACACAAGTGTTTCTAGTCTTTATTGATATGAAAATACTGCATGCTGATGTGTAAAAATAAGGTAGCATGCAGGATTTGTTTATTTTTCATTAACACATACTGTGAACCATACTGAATGTTGTCAAAACCAATTTTCATGTGAGATTGAACTCTAAGGCTTTACTGATCGCATAGATGATAAAGGGAGATAAAAAATACATGTTTAGCTTATCTCCCTTTGAAAATTTGCACCAAAAACAAAAGGTTTATGAGCTTTACAATTAATTTTGCAAAAAGGAAAGAAAGAGTAAATTTCAGTTGATAATGGTAGTCCTCAGCTTCTGTAGACAAAGTTGGAATAGAGGATTCCTAGTTGCTGCATATGAAAGGAAAGAAGCAATGCTTTCTGAATATTAAGGACATGCATTTTTCTCTATTATTTATGATTATTTAAAACAGTTGTATAAAGAGACTTGAAAAAAAGATATTTTGATGTCCTTGAAAATTGGTAATTTATTAAAATAAAAGAACGAATGAAAAATTCACAGTTTGTTATTTAAATCTGATGTTTGTTTTATTTTTAAGTTATAAAAGTGTATCCTTTTTTTGAAAAGCTTTGGTTCAGGTGTAGCTTTTAGTAGCTTGTCAGAGTATGAGTTCTTTGTTTATTCAATTACCCAAAAGCATTGTTCCGTATAGCATTTCAATTGGTGTGTTTATCTTTTCATATACCTTTTATATATCATTTTTCTGTTTGAATTTCTGCATGGATTAATCTTTGCACAGATTCTTTGTATGTTCTTGAAGTAAAATATAAATACATTTGCAGTAATAACTTCTACTATTTGTATGCAAAAGTATTGTCATAGTCTCAACATATGTTATACAAACTAACAAGATACCAAATTGCACCACATGTACATTTCAAAACTTAATTCTCTCAGTGATGCTATAATCCAAATACTGTAAATTCAGAAATTTTTGTGATCATTTAATATTGTGATTTTTCAGGAATTGACATAAATAGGAGCTCTATCTAAAATTATTGTGAAATGCTGCAAACAAATACTGCTATCACATTTTAAAATGCAAGTTTTTATTTTTGTAAAACCTTTACTGTCGCAATTTTTCTTTAACAGTATTAGAGATTTGAAAGTATTAAAAGTTGTGGAGTAGTAAATCAAAAATAACATGCAAAAAGGACTGTGAAAACAGCTAGGAAAACCTGTTCGTTAATTATCAGGAAAACAATTTTTTTTACATATTACTACGCAATAGAATATACAGACACATGTATTTATAAGAATAACATTTTTTGAATACTGTTCTTATAAATACATGTAACTGTGCTATTTGTTCAATAAAATGGTGTTGACCAGAACATTTGTGACAGTATAAATTCTGTTTGTTTCTGAAGAATTTCATATGATGAAAAGTACAAAAAAAATAGCTGTAAACTATAAAAAAGTGATGCATAGTCATGACAACTGCTTAAACTAAACTATATTTTAGGTTTGCTTCTTTGAAAATGTGCTGTGCAAAAAAATTAAAGAATCACGATTTACTTGCATGTAAATACAATATATTTAATATAATTTTCTTGTTTGATTTGGTCTGTTACAAATAAACATACATGGCACCTTTGGTTGGATGTCTTGAATAATTATTTAAAACCAAATACATTTAACTCCCTTTCCATTTTTGGCAAATTTCAGCTTATGCATAACTCTGACTGATTTTTGATGAGCATAACATGTGCTCCTTTCACAGCTGTGTACCACTTTAAACCACACTGGTCATCATTTGGTATTCCTTTAACATTGTTTAAGGTTAGAGCACTTTTACATATCAAATTATCATTAGAAACGGTTCAGCAACTGTTGAGATGGAGGTTGCCAATAAATATGCTATTCCTTTGATATAGTTGACATTTTCTAGGATTTAATGTGATTATTGTCTCATGTGTATACACTCCATATTACTGTTTTTCAATCGGCAGACATAGTTCATAAAAAGTTCCTTCAACCATCAACTGGTAATCATTCAAATCATATTTACTTGGTATTAGTGTGTAAGGTTTTCCCCTATATACTATATCATGTGAAATGTATGATTGTAGTTTACATGTATATATGTATGTGTGCAAACTAAGAGGATAACATGTGTATGCGTACTATAGTTTTGCACATGTTACAACTGATCATGATTGATTATAAGGATGTATTTGTAATATTTTAGAAAAAGTTTGCTCTGGAAAGACGTAAATCAATGGAGAGAGTAGAGACTAATAAAAAACGTAGAAGTAGTGAACTTTATATGAAATGGAAGCACATGAGAGATTCTATAGACAAACAAGCATTAGAAACGAGTAAAGAGGTAGAACCTATTTGGAAAGAACAAGGTTGGTAACATGTAAGAACATACTGTGGATATCATTTATTTTCGTAGGTACAAATTTTCATGGATGGAGGGAAAATTGTATTTCGTGGATATTTGATGTCATGGTTTTGCCAAAGTTTGCATATTAGCTATAGAAAATTTGATTTTCTTTGAATATTTAATTTCGTGATTCACTTACAACAACGAAATCCATGAAAATTGGTATCCCACGAATAATAATGAATTCATAATACACTTTATTGTTATATGTGTACATTAATTTTCAGCACCCACACAAATAAATTTTACAAAATTTACCAAAGCATTTTTACACATCTATATATATGAAGTATGTTTTAGAAAAAAATTCTTTTCTTTAACGAAAGAAAGTTTTCATTGCATTTGTATTTTGTATGTATGAAAAGGTTGCAGCACAGTCCTGTGATTTAATGAAAATTTAGTTTTTATTTTAAATTTAAAGATTCATAGCAAGAGCCTGCTATTGACACCATTATCGTGATTATAGGTTTAAAATGCCACGAAAAAAAGGAAGCTTGAAATGGTAGCTCTGTCAGAGTTCGTACTTAATATATGATTTTTCAATACATCCAAAATGGGACTGTAAACTGTTAAATCATATTTGATTTTGACATTTTATTGTACTTATGTAGTATATGTATGATTAAATGTATGTTACTGACAATGCCATGTTTTCTTTTTTACCAGAAAAGAGAGCAAAAGATGCAGAAGTACAGATGAGGCAGTTGGCACGTGATGCCAGGGAGGAAGTTAGAAATTCATTTAGGCATGTGGCTCGAAATTTGACTGCAGTTTCTGCTTTTGCTTCAGGCAAAGATAAACCTCCTTTACCTCCTAAGTATGTTTGCTTTTTTTCATTTTGGGCTGCAGATTGGTTTTGTTATGATCATAGTTTTATTTTTCAGTGACATATATATTCTTTGAATTAGGGGAACAGAATAGGGATTGTCGTACAAACTTTTATTTATTTAAAGTTAAGATTTCACAGCGTTTTTGTTTCTGATCAAAACTAAAGATTCAAAAGGTTCAATTTATTTAACAATATATTCTGATGCTAGGAGTTTATTTTTTGTACATTCAAATTAATCAATGCATGATTTTATAGCCGACCATACCGTATGGGTTTTTCTCATTGTTGAAGGTCGTACGGTTGCCTATAATTGCTTACATCCACTTCATTTGGACTTTGGTGGATAGTTGTTTCATTGGCAATCATATCACATCTCCTTCTTTTCGTCGAGCCTGCGACTTTTGTCACAAAAGCGAGACATAGCGATCCTACATTTCGTCGGTGTTGTCGTCAGCGGCGGCGGCGTCCACAAATATTCACTCTGTGGTTAAAGTTTTTCAAATTTTAATAACTTTCTTAAACTATCCTGCATTTCAACCAAACTTGGACAGAAGCTTGTTTATGATCATAAGATAGTATCCAGAAGTAAATTTAAAAAAAAAAAAATCCTGTTTATCCATATTTTACTCATAAATGGACTTAGTTTTTCTGCCAGTTAACATAACATTCACTCTGTGGTTAAAGTTTTTCAAATTTTAATAACTTTCTTAAACTATCATGGATTTGTACCACACTTGGACAGAAGCTTGTTTATAATCATAAGATAGTATCCAGAAGAAAATTTAAAAAACAAAATCCTGTTTATCCGTATTTTACTCATATATGGACTTAGTTTTTCTGCAAGTTAACATAACAATCACTCTGTGGTTAAAGTTTTTCAAATTTTAATAACTTTCTTAAACTATCCTGGATTTGTACCACACTTGGACAGACACTTGTTTGTGATCATAAGATAGTATTCAAAAGTAAATTTTGTTAAAAATAAAATCCTGTTTATCCGTATTTTACTTATAAATGGACTTAGTTTTTCTGCCAGTTAACATTACATTACCTCTGTGGTTAAAGCTTTCAAAATTTTAATAACTTTCTTAAACTATCCTGGATTTGTACCAAACTTGGACAGAAGCTTGTTTATGATCAAAAACTAGTATCTAGAAGGAAATTTTGTAAAAATTTATTTCCTGTTTTTCCGTATATTACTTATAAATGGACTTAGTTTTATTCCAGTTAACATTACGTACAGTCCGCAGTTAAAGTTTTTAAAACATTTATTAGATTCATAAATCTTCTTGGATTTTTACCAAACTTGAACAGAACTTCTTACAATCAAAAGATAGTATCTAAAAGAAAATTTTTAAGAATTTTTCCTCCATTTTTGTTGAGCCTGCGACTAACAGCAAAAGTAGGCGAGACACTGGGTTCCGCAGAACCCTTACGATTTTTTTATAATGATTGGATTTTCAAGGAGAAATTTAAAGTTCCAATTGAATGAACTCCACAGATAACAATAGCTATTGTATTTATTAAATAGGACAGTTTACTTTGCAAAAATTTGAATAGCCTGACAAAGACCAACTGATACTGGAGAATGGTTTTATTTCCATCACAATAAATGATTTTTGCCAAGCTGCCAAAAAGATGTACTATGACAATGTTTTTCAAAAATGAGAATTATATTCAGGAAAAAATGTGGCATTAGGAAAAATGTTTTTTAAAATATTCAACAAATGTTGCGTTTATATTTTGAGACCTCAGTATCACTTGCCTTTAAATAGCATAAGCATTTAACTTATTGATGCCAGCATGGGCCATCTCTCCAGCAATCTCATTTTGTTCATGTTTCAGAACTCAAGTCTAACTTAAGAAATGATTTTGCATTTCAAATGGTTCTTAGGAATCATTTATGGTGACTTGATTATTAATTTTTCCTTCAACCTATTGCCATTTGTTTTGTCAAATCAAAATATACAAATGGACAGAAATTTTTCTCTTCTATTACTGAAACGGATGCCTTGTTTGATCAAGAGCTTGACAGTGATGAGTTGTAATGTGTTGCCACTTTTTGGATCTGTTGAACCTTCTTGAATTTTTCAATATATGGTATGAACTTAAAATTTTTCATCGCATATTTCTCCAGTTCTACTGAACAGAATGATTTATTCTTTGGGCTTAACAGTGATGAGTTGAAACTTGTGAGCATTTCTCAGATTTGTCAGACCTACTTCAGCATGACAACACATGCATTCTAGTCTTGTTTTAAAAAGTTTTAAGAAACTATCTAACATATATCAGTTTTTCTACCTTGTCATGTATAATGGTTATATTTCTTATTATGGTCTTTGAACCTGTGGGAAATAGGCAAAAGTATGGGTTTCCATTTATTAAGTTATTATCATATGAAACAAGAAATGTTTAAAGCCAATAAACAGTGGTGAAGTTTGATTGTAATGGATTGAGCTTAGCTTTTTTTTATACGACTGCAAAAAATTTGGTTTCGGACAATAACTTTTGTATAAGTGAATGGATCTCTATGAAATTTAAGCACAAGGTTCAATAGTACAAAAGGAAGGTTGGGATTGATTTTTGGGGTTATGGTCCCAACTGTTTAGGAATTAGGGGTAAAAAAGGGGCCAAAAAAGGCATTTTTCTAGTTTCCGGACAATAACTTGTGTATAAGTGTATGGATCTCTATGAAATTTTACCACAAGGTTCCATACCACAAAGGAAAGGTTGGGATTGACATTGGGGTTATGGCCCAAACCGTTCAGGAATTAGGGGCAAAAAAAGGGGGAAAACAAGGTTTTTCTGGTTAATGGACAATTAAAGAAGTATTAGTCTATGGATCTCTAGGATCTCTATGAAATTGAAACACAAGGTTCCATACTACAAAGGGAAGGTTGGGTTTGACTTTGGCGGTTATGGCTCAAACCGTTCAGGAATAAGAGGCAAAAAGGGGGGGATGGAGGAACAAGGTTTTTCTTGTTTCCGGACAAATACTTAAGTATTAGTCAATGGATCTCTAGGAAGTTGTACCACAAGGTTCCATACCACACACAGAAGGTTGGGGTCAATTTCGTGGGTTGTGGCTTTAATCGTTAAGAAACTAGAGGCCAAATAGGGGCCAAAAAGATTTTTCTAATACTGGATAAGCTGGTTCTAACATAAATTATTTCTGATCTATATAAAGAAACAACAAATACTGATATGGTAGGAGATACACACCAAATAGGGTGTGTAAATTATTATATTTAGTTTGTAAACAGATTTACTAAGTATTGCACAACAGCAAGGAATCTTCAATTGAAAATAAATACAAATCTTTTAACCAATTTCAATGAGGATTAATTTAAAGTCCTGAATTGTTTGAGGTATTTATCATGTATAACTATATTGGATATTTGGACATTTTTAAATAGGTCTACATTGAGGTCCTAAGGGTCCAAAATTAGACTTTGTTTGATTTCATCAAAACTGAATTCTTGTGGTTCTATGATATGCTGAATCTAACTGTGCGCATTCAGATTTTTAATTTTGGGCCATGTTTTTAAAATAAGTCCATATTAAGGTTTGAAGGGTCCAAAATTAAACTTTGTTTGAATTCATGTTTTTTTTTTTATGCCGTATCTAACCATGGAATTAGATTTTGGATATTGGACCATTAAGTAGATTAAATGTCCCATTTCAAATTTTTAAGTTATCTGACCACATTTATTCTGTGTCAGAAATCTATAATGTGTCAAATATTTAATCACTATCCAAATTCAGAGCTGTATCAAGCTTGAATATTGTGTCCATACTTGCCCCAACTGTTCAGAGTTTAACAAATCGGGTAAATTTCAAGATTTTGTGTTTTGATTTATATCATAAAAATGCCGCTACCATATTTCTTAAAGGAGTAGGCCCGGTGAGACCCATTTTTGGCCCCAAAATATAGCATTTTTACAATCTTGTTGAAATGTAAACTTTCAGCTCTATATTAGAAAGTAGAATACTTTTGTTCCATAAATATGGGCTGTTTTTGACAATACAATGCACATGCATCAGGTAATAGCATTTGTGCTAATGTTGAGACGTTGTTGTCTAAAATGGAAGTGGCCGCATTTGTGTTCAGTCTTAATATTTAATTATATGTTGTATTTGATGATAATACATAACATATATAAATGTTGAGACTGAACACGAATGCGGCCAATTCCATTTTAGACGAAAACCATCTCAAAAGTGACGTTTTATGGCATATTTGATAGATTTTTCATATTTAAGCTTGAATTTGAGCATCTTTAATGACCAGATCAGTTCAAATCTTTTTCATAAACTCATTGAATCGACTGAAGTAGACACTTACATGTAAGTGTTTAACAAATGTCAAAAATCTTTCATCAGATGTACTTCAAATTTTAGACCAAATTAGCCCTTACTGGACTTTCTCCTTTGTCAATGTCAGTGACTAAGATAAGATAAGAACATTTGATTTGATGCAACATTAGTAAACTATACAAAACAATCTCTATCAAGTTTCTGGCTGAATATAAAAACATACAAACAACAATAAAAAAACTATGTAAATAACAACATCCATGACATCCATGACATGCATTGATTTGCATTTGAAAGTTGAAAGACGTTTCTGATCAATTTTGAAGTATGATAAAAGCTTATCTAGCCCATGAAAAAGATATTTTCCCCCATATGGTCAACCTTTTTTTATAAAACATAATAATTTACATGTGTTAGTACATAGAATTTTAGTTAGATTATTTGTTGAGTGAACCATGAATTCTTAATTAGCATTTATCAATTTATAGAGAATATATGAAAGTGAAAATGTGTAAAAGTGTCAATATTTGACACTGAAGAAGTTATTCTGGAAATTTCCTTATTTTAGCTCATTACTAGAAACTGGCAGACTTTTGCATATTAAATTTTTTTAAAGTCTCTGGATATAGGTTTTAAAAAAAAAATTATGATTAACAACAAATCACTAATAAATAGCTAAAATTGCATTTATTTTTTTTTTACTTTTAACTCTGTTCTGTTTCAAAGCATGGCAGAATTGGCATGACATATTTTGCTGGAATATTGTTTAATTTAATACCACCTTATAAACATTATCATCCATTTTATTATTTAATTAGTTTCATAGTAATTTTGTGTGGTGGTTGTGGAGCAGTGCTGTGAAATACACCTTAGTTGAAATTATAGTGAATTTATTAGTTTGCAAAAGGAATTTTCATAAAAGTTTGTTTATCTTAAAGGAATTTATTTTATTGATATTAAGAAATAATGGCTTTTAGAAAATTAATGAAATAGAGGTTCAAACATTGGACCTTACCTTTTCTCTTTTTTTGTGATTTTGGTCAGTTTTATAATACTAGAATTCAAATGGTTTATTTTTTTAATTGTAATAATGTTATTTTGAAACTATTCAGATCATTATATAATCATTAATAAGGTAATAAAAATGCTAAGTATATTTATTTTTTATTTATCAGAGAAGACAATGGGTAAGTCAAGTGTGTACACAGGTTGTGGTAGACATTTTACTTCCTTCAGATTTCAGATTAATACATTTATTTTCACTCTTCAAAAAACTTCATATACTGTAATTCTGAGAAGACTTTGCTTTCTTAACAAACTTGCAGACATAAAGATTCAGTTTTCAAAAACTAAAACAAGATGACAGACATAAAGAATCATTTTTTTTTAAAAACTTATATATAATTAAGAGGATTTTTTTTAAAGGGTTCTGTATTTCCTAGATGTAGTAGTGGTTTTCTTTTGGTTGTTTTATTAATATATATCATCCCATATACTATATTCTGGGTTATGTCAGTCCTTCCTTCTACCCATGTGTCTGTCTGTTCATCCATCCTATAAAATTGAAGTCAAACTGTTCTCAGGAACTATAAACCAGAGCTTCCTGAAATTTGGTATCAAGTTTAATGCCAGCTAGCTATTCTTTGTGATGCATTGTCAGATTCAATGCCAATCCACTTCCTGTTTACCAAATACTTATATATTCTTACATATATATTTTGTATAAAAATTTTGTAACATGCTTATCAACTATTTATTCAGGAATCATGTCCATATGAAATGTTATTTTTTTATTAAGAATTGCATTGTAAGCACCGTCAAGCCTACATTTCTAGTTGGATTTGTATAAGGCAATTGACTCTTATTGGCATCATGTCACAGCTATTTTGTTTACCAATTGAATACCTGATATAGAGTGCACACATTCTTCATTGCTTTTTCATTCTTTAGTAGTTCCAATGTCGAGTAAAACTATTTTTTGGTTGATTTTTATACTGAAATTTATTTTAAGGTAACAGGAGTGTCTTCTGCCATCTTGGATTGTTAAATAGCAGAAAATAATTGGTCTAGATTTTTTACAAAATTAGCAAATTTTGAGAGAAGATTGTAATTCATTTGTTTGACTTTACATCTAAATGAAGAAAATTATATGTTTTATCATATTTTTGCAACTGTGTTTTTTAAAATTCAAAATATTATTGTTCGAATCGATTTTTTATACGACCGCAAAAAAATTTTGTGGTCGTATATTGGTATGACGTTGGTGTCGTCGTCGTCGTTGTCGTCGTCCGGCGGCGTCGTCGTCCGGCGTTGTCGTCCGAATACATATTGGTTTTAGCACTCTAACTTTAGTTTAAGTGAATGGATCTTTTTGAAATTTGACCATAAGGTTAAATACCACAAAAGGAAGGTTGGGATTGATTTTGGGGGTTATGGTACCAACAGTTAAGGAATTAGGGGCCAAAAAGGGGCCCAAAATGAGCATTTTCTAGTTTCCAGACAATAACTGTGGAACGGTGTATGGATCTCTCTGAAATTATACTACAAGTTTCCATACCACAAAGGGATGGTTAGGATTTGCTTTGGGGGGTTATGGCTCAAACCGTTTAGGAATTAGGGGCAAAAAAGGGGGAAAAACAAGGTTGTCCTGGTTAATGGACAAATACTTTAGTACAAAACATAATTTAAAGCAGTGTAAGGGAGATAAATCAAATACATCATTGAAATTATCTCCCTTACACTGCTTTTAAATTATGTATAAAGTAATGGTTAATGAACAATAAAGATAATCTAAAACAGTGTAAGGGAGGTAATCCAAATACAACGTTTTGGTTACTTCCCTTACACTGCTTTTAAATTATGTATAAAGAAATGCATATTTATAAAGGAAGACCAGTAAAAATATCTGCAAATGTTTTCATCTTTTTTTTTTACAAAAAAATCCATATGAAAGATTTGACACTATATTTTTATTAATTCTATTATAAAATAGATTAAGTTAGCACTATGGTAAATTTAAATGGGCAATTATGGTTGCCAACTCCATTGGAAATTTGAATTGAGATTATGACCATATCTTGAGGGAAAGAATTTTTTTGGGGGAAAAAGGGGGGTGGGGGATAAAAAAAAATTGTGGGGGGGCCAATTTTTTCTCATTTCAGATTTCAGAAATTAAAAAGAATTATTCTTCAAATATTATTTTTTTTTCAAATTTCAAATATTGAAAAATTTCAAGAAGTAATCTTTAATTGCACAGTATGGCGCATTAGATTTGTAAAATCTTTGATCACATTTATTTATTTGTTATGCCGAATCTAACAGTGTATTTAGATTTTTAATTTTGGGTCCAGTTTTCAAATTGGTCTACATTAATGTCCAAAGGGTCCAAAATTAAACTTTGTTTGATTTTAGCAAAAATTGAATATATGAGGTTCTTTGATATGCTGAATCTAAACATGTATTTAGATTTTTGGTTTTTGGCCCAGTTTTCAAGTTGGTCCAAATTGGGGTCCAAAATTAAACTTTGTTTGATTTCAACAAAAATTGAATATATGGGGTTCTTTGATATGCTGAATCTAACCATGTATTTAGATTTTTTATTTGTGGACCCCGTTATCTAATTGGTTCATATTGAGGTCAAAAGGGTCCAAAATTAAACTTTGTTTGATTTCATCTAAAATTGAATTATTGGGGTTCTTTGATATTCCAAATCTAACCGTGTATTTAGGTTTTTAATTTTGGGTCCTGTTTTTTAAATTGGTCTACATTGAGGTCCAAAGGGTCCAAAATTAAACTTAGTTTGATTTTGACAAAAATTGAATTCTTGGGGTTCTTTGATTTGCTGAATCTAAACATGTGTTTAGATTTTTGATTATGGGCCCAGTTTTCAAGTTGGTCCAAGATAGGGTCCAGTATTTAAACTTTGTTTGATTTCAACAAAAATTTAATATATGGGGTTCTTTGATATGCTGAATCTAAACATGTATTTAGATTTTTGATTATGGGCCCAGTTTTCAAGTTGGTCCAAATTGGGGTCCAAAATTAAACTTTGTTTAATTTCAACAGAAATTGAATATATGAGGTTCTTTGATATGCTGAATCTAACCATGTATTTAGATTTTTGTCGAGCCTGCGACTTTTGTCGCAGAAAGCTCGACATAGGGATAGCGATCCGGCGGCGGCGGCGGCGTTAGCTAACTTCTTAAAAGCTTTATATTTTAGAAGATGGAAGACCTGGATGCTTCATACTTTGTATATGGATGCCTCATGTTACGAAGTTTCCGTCAGTCACATGTCCAATGTCCTTGACCTCATTTTCATGGTTCAGTGACTACTTGAAAAAAAAGTTCAGATTTTTTGTAATGTTAAATTCTCTCTTATTATAAGTAATAGGATAACTATATTTGGTATGTGCGTACCTTGCAAGGTCCTCATGCCCGTCAGACAGTTTTCACTTGACCTCGACCTCATTTCATGGATCAGTGAACAAGGTTAAGTTTTCGTGGTCAAGTCCATATCTCAGATACTATAAGCAATAGGTCTAGTATATTCGGTGTATGGAAGGACTGTAAGGTGTACATGTCCAACTGGCAGGTGTCATCTGACCTTGACCTCATTTTCATGGTTCAGTGGTTATAGTTAAGTTTTTGTGTTTTGGTCTGTTTTTCTTATACTGTATGCAATAGGTCTACTATATTTGGTGTATGGAATGATTGTAAGGTGTACATGTCTAGCTGGCAGGTGTCATCTTACCTTGACCTCATTTTCATGGTTCAGTGGTCAAAGTTAAGTTTTTGAGTTTTGGTCTTTTTTTCTAATACTATATGCAATAGTTCAACTATATTTGGTGTATGGAAATATTTTATGATCTATATGTCAGTCACGCAGGTTTTATTTGACCTTGACCTCATTTTCAAGGTTCATTGCTCAGTGTTAAGTTTTTGTGTTTTCGTCTGTTTTTCTTAAACTATAAGCAATAGGTCAACTATATTTGTTGTATGGAAGAATTGTTAGCTGTACATGCCTGCCTAGCATGGTTCATCTGACCTTGACCTCATTTTCATGGTTCATTGGTCAATGTTTAGTTTACTTGGTTAATGTTAAGTTTATGTGACAGTTGTAATAAAGCTTTATATTTAGGACTATCAACATAATATCAATGATTAGTAAAGAAGGCGAGACATTTCAGCGTGTGCACTCTTGTTTATATGTAGGCCCCGCTATCAAATTGGTTCATATTGAGGTCAAAAGGGTCCAAAATTAAACTTTGTTTGATTTCATCTAAAATTGAATTATTGGGGTTCTTTGATATTCCAAATCTAACCGTGTATTTAGGTTTTTAATTTTGGGTCCTGTTTTTGTCGAGCCTGCAACTTTTGTCGCAGAAAGCTCGACATAGGGATAGCGATCCGGCGGCGGCGGCGGCGGCGGCGGCGGCGTTAGCTAACTTCTTAAAAGCTTTATATTTTAGAAGATGTAAGACCTGGATGCTTCATACTTTGTATATGGATGCCTCATGTTACGAAGTTTCCGTCAGTCACATGTCCAATGTCCTTGACCTCATTTTCATGGTTCAGTGACTACTTGAAAAAAAAGTTCAGATTTTTTGTAATGTTAAATTCTCTCTTATTATAAGTAATAGGATAACTATATTTGGTATGTGCGTACCTTGCAAGGTCCTCATGCCCGTCAGACAGTTTTCACTTGACCTCGACCTCATTTCATGGATCAGTGAACAAGGTTAAGTTTTCGTGGTCAAGTCCATATCTCAGATACTATAAGCAATAGGTCTAGTATATTCGGTGTATGGAAGGACTGTAAGGTGTACATGTCCAACTGGCAGGTGTCATCTGACCTTGACCTCATTTTCATGGTTCAGTGGTTATAGTTAAGTTTTTGTGTTTTGGTCTGTTTTTCTTATACTGTATGCAATAGGTCTACTATATTTGGTGTATGGAATGATTGTAAGGTGTACATGTCTAGCTGGCAGGTGTCATCTGACCTTGACCTCATTTTCATGGTTCAGTGGTCAAAGTTAAGTTTTTGAGTTTTGGTCTTTTTTTCTAATACTGCATGCAATAGGTCAGCTATATTTGGTGTATGGAATGATTGTAAGGTGTACATGTCTAGCTGGCAGGTGTCATCTTACCTTGACCTCATTTTCATGGTTCAGTGGTCAAAGTTAAGTTTTTGAGTTTTGGTCTTTTTTTCTAATACTATATGCAATAGTTCAACTATATTTGGTGTATGGAAATATTTTATGATCTATATGTCAGTCACGCAGGTTTTATTTGACCTTGACCTCATTTTCAAGGTTCATTGCTCAGTGTTAAGTTTTTGTGTTTTCGTCTGTTTTTCTTAAACTATAAGCAATAGGTCAACTATATTTGTTGTATGTAAGAATTGTTAGCTGTACATGCCTGCCTAGCATGGTTCATCTGACCTTGACCTCATTTTCATGGTTCATTGGTCAATGTTTAGTTTACTTGGTTAATGTTAAGTTTATGTGACAGTTGTAATAAAGCTTTATATTTAGGACTATCAACATAATATCAATGATTAGTAAAGAAGGCGAGACATTTCAGCGTGTGCACTCTTGTTTAAATTGGTCTACATTGAGGTCCAAAGGGTCCAAAATTAAACTTAGTTTGATTTTGACAAAAATTGAATTCTTGGGGTTCTTTGATTTGCTGAATCTAAACATGTGTTTAGATTTTTGATTATGGGCCCAGTTTTCAAGTTGGTCCAAGATAGGGTCCAGTATTTAAACTTTGTTTGATTTCAACAAAAATTGAATATATGGGGTTCTTTGATATGCTGAATCTAAACATGTATTTAGATTTTTGATTATGGGCCCAGTTTTCAAGTTGGTCCAAATTGGGGTCCAAAATTAAACTTTGTTTGATTTCAACAAAAATTGAATATATGAGGTTCTTTGATATGCTGAATCTAACCATGTATTTAGATTTTTTATATGTAGGCCCCGCTATCAAATTGGTTCATATTGAGGTCAAAAGGGTCCAAAATTAAACTTTGTTTGATTTCATCGAAAATTGAATTATTGGGGTTCTTTGATATGCCAAATCTAACCGTGTTTTTAGATTTTTAATTTGGGTCCCGTTTTTTAAATTGGTCGTCATTGAGGTCCAAAGGGTCCAAAATTAAACTTTGTTTGATTTTAACAAAAATTGAATTCTTGGGGTTCTTTGATTTGCTGAATCTAAACATGTGTTTAGATTTTTGATTATGGGCCCAGTTTTCAAGTTGGTCCAAGTTGGGGTCCAAAATTAAACTTTTTTTGATTTCAACAAAAATTTAATATATGGGGTTCTTTGATATGCTGAATCTAACCATGAATTTAGATTTTTTATTTGTGGGCCCCGCTATCAAATTGGTTCATATTGAGGTCAAAAGGGTCCAAAATTAAACTTTGTTTGATTTCATCAAAAATTGAATTATTGGGGTTCTTTGATATTCCAAATCTAACCGTGTATTTAGATTTTTAATTTTAAGTCCTGTTTTTTAAATTGGTCTACATTAAGGTCCAAAGGGTCCAAAATTAAACTTAGTTTGATTTTAGCAAAAATTGAATTCTTGGGGTTCTTTGATATGCTGAATCTAAACATGTGTTTAGATTTTTGATTATGGGCCCAGTTTTCAAGTTTGTCCAAGTTGGGGTCCAAAATTAAACTTTGTTTGATTTTAACAAAAATTGAATATATGGGGTTCTTTGATATGCTGAATCTAACCATGTATTTTGATTTTGGACATTGGACCATAATAGGTAAATTAAAAAAAATTCAAGTTCTTAGACCACATTCTTTCTGTGTCAGAAACCTATGCTGTGTCAAATATTTAATAACAATCCAAATTCAGAGCTGTATCAAGCTTGAATGTTGTGTCCATACTTGCCCCAACTGTTCAGGGTTCGACCTCTGCGGTCGTATCAAGCTGCGCCCCAGCGAAGCATTTTATTCATCATTGCCATATGATGGGAAATAACTCAGATAATGTTACGTTTACACTGGAATGTGTTATGAATTTACCTATTTAGTTTTGTAGCATGAAAACGAGTCAAGTGACCATTAGTTTTCTTTTTGTTTTCTGAAAGCCAATTATAAGAGCTATCTTCTTATATCTTATCTTAAAATTCTATTGTTTTGTTTTCTTTTTATCACTCAAAATTGTGTTTTCCATGAACAATCTATACAAATTTTACATAATCTGCAGCTTGAAAAAAAAACCTGTGACCCATACTTTTTATCATATATTTGAAAAAGCAAAGATATAAACTGCATTTTGGCAAATTATTAAAAAAAAAATGATTTTAATTTTAGACCCCCCCCCCACCTGCCCCTCCCCCCTTAATTAGATTCAGCATTCTTCAAATGCAATGTGTAAATGGATTGTACAGGTAATTTGAAATCAATTGGATCCAAAATAACTCTCCAACATTTATGTAATAGACTTGGTTCCAGGCACAGTGATACAGTTAATCAGAGATATTGTCTGTGTCGTAAGCAGTCTCTTTTCTATACATAATTTTCTGCCACATATCTGTCCTATTTCTAAGGTTAAACAGGCTACTAATTTCTAAAAATTTTACCCAATTTTGCCATTGATAATCTGCCCAAAACTCATCATTACAGTCTATCAAATCATCTGAAAGTATGGCAAAATGAAGTAAATATCTTGTGTTTGGTTTGTTTACTAGTTTTGTATCAGTGATTTGTAATTTAACAGCATTTACAAATTTATGGATCATATAAATTTACTGGTTCTTGAATGGCTACGGGTTCATTGTGAACAAAGGAACAGTAGGCGACGTTTTCAGATCCAAGCCAGTATTAACCAGTTCATATGATGATAAATGCTTATTTAACTATATCATGCATTTCACTGTTTTGACATTTTGGGGCATGTGAGCAAAGGAGTAGGTTCGATAAGGCCCTAAAATGACCCCTTTTTATTATACGACCGCAATAATTTTTGCGGTCGTATAATGGTATCACGTCTTCGTCATCGTCGTCCGAAGACATTTGGTTTCCGGACAATAACTTTAGTATTAGTAAATAGAAATCTATGAAATTTAAACACAAGGTTTATAACCACAAAAGGAAGGTTGGGATTGATTTTGGGGGTTATGGTCCCAACAGGTTAGGAATTAGGGGCCAAAAAGGGGCCCAAATAAGCATTTTTCTAGTTTCATGACAATTACTTGTGGAACAGTGTATGGATCTCTCTGAAATTATACCACAAGTTTCCATACTACAAAGGGATGGTTAGATTGGCTTTGGGGGGGTTATGGCTCAAACCGTTTAGGAATTAGGGGCAAAAAAGTGAGAAAAAACAATGGTGTCCTGGTTAATGGACAATTACTTAAGTACAGATTACAGTGTAAGGGAGGTAATTCAAGCACAACTTTGAATTACCTCCCTTACACTGCTTTTAAATTATGTATAAAGAATTTTTGTATTGTCTTGAGGTGATTAGCTGTCATTTCATTTTTATACAACCGCAAAAAAATTTTTGTGGTCGCATATTTGTATGACGTTGGCGTCGTCGTCGTCGTCGTCGTCGTCTGGCGTCGTCCGGCGTCGTCCGAAGACACATTGGTTTTCGCACTCTAACTTTAGTTTAAGTAAATGGATCTCTATGAAATTTTACCATAAGGTTCAATACCACAAAAGGAAGGTTGGGATTGATTTTGGGGGTTATGGTACCAACAGTAAAGGAATTAGGGGCCAAAAAGGGGCCAAAAATAAGCATTTTTGTAACTTCCAGACATAACTTGTGTGTTAGTGTATGGATCTCTCTGACATTGTACCACAAGGTTCCATATCACAAAAGGAATGCTGGGATTGATTTTGGGGGTAATTGCCTCAAAATTTTAGGAATTAGGGGCCAAAAAGGGGCAAAAAACAAGCATTTTTCTAGTTTCAGGACAATAACTTGTGTGTAAGTGTACGGATCTTTCTGAAATTGTACTACAAGGTTCCATATCACAATGGGAAAGCTGGGTTTGAGTTTGGGGGTAATTGCTCTAAACGTTTAGGAATAAGGGGCCAAAAAGGGGCCAAAAATAAGCATTTTTCTAGTTTCCAGACAATAACTTGTGTTCAAGTGTATGGATCTCTCTGAAATTGTACTGCAAGGTACCATACCACAAAGGGAAGGCTGGGATTGAGTTTGGGGGTGATGAATCATAAGGGGGTTCAAAAAATTTGGGGGGGGGGATTTTTTTTTTTTTCCTTTTTTGTCGAGCCTGCGACTTTTGTCGCAGAAAGCTCGACATAGGGATAGCGATCCGCCGGCGGCGGCGGCGGCGGCGTTAGCTAACTTCTTAAAAGCTTTATATTTTAGAAGATGGAAGACCTGGATGCTTCATACTTTGTATATGGATGCCTCATGTTACGAAGTTTCCGTCAGTCACATGTCTAATGTCCTTGACCTCATTTTCATGGTTCAGTGACTACTTGAAAAAAAAGTTCAGATTTTTTGTAATGTTAAATTCTCTCTTATTATAAGTAATAGGATAACTATATTTGGTATGTGCGTACCTTGCAAGGTCCTCATGCCCGTCAGACAGTTTTCACTTGACCTCGACCTCATTTCATGGATCAGTGAACAAGGTTAAGTTTTCGTGGTCAAGTCCATATCTCAGATACTATAAGCAATAGGTCTAGTATATTCGGTGTATGGAAGGACTGTAAGGTGTACATGTCCAACTGGCAGGTGTCATCTGACCTTGACCTCATTTTCATGGTTCAGTGGTTATAGTTAAGTTTTTGTGTTTTGGTCTGTTTTTCTTATACTGTATGCAATAGGTCTACTATATTTGGTGTATGGAATGATTGTAAGGTGTACATGTCTAGCTGGCAGGTGTCATCTTACCTTGACCTCATTTTCATGGTTCAGTGGTCAAAGTTAAGTTTTTGAGTTTTGGTCTTTTTTTCTAATACTGCATGCAATAGGTCAGCTATATTTGGTGTATGGAATGATTGTAAGGTGTACATGTCTAGCTGGCAGGTGTCATCTTACCTTGACCTCATTTTCATGGTTCAGTGGTCAAAGTTAAGTTTTTGAGTTTTGGTCTTTTTTTCTAATACTATATGCAATAGTTCAACTATATTTGGTGTATGGAAATATTTTATGATCTATATGTCAGTCACGCAGGTTTTATTTGACCTTGACCTCATTTTCAAGGTTCATTGCTCAGTGTTAAGTTTTTGTGTTTTCGTCTGTTTTTCTTAAACTATAAGCAATAGGTCAACTATATTTGTTGTATGGAAGAATTGTTAGCTGTACATGCCTGCCTAGCATGGTTCATCTGACCTTGACCTCATTTTCATGGTTCATTGGTCAATGTTTAGTTTACTTGGTTAATGTTAAGTTTATGTGACAGTTGTAATAAAGCTTTATATTTAGGACTATCAACATAATATCAATGATTAGTAAAGAAGGCGAGACATTTCAGCGTGTGCACTCTTGTTTTTCTTTTTTTCCTCTTTTTTTCTTTTAAAATTTTCCATTTTAAGTTGGTTATTTCTGATTTATATTTAAAAGCAAATATTAATGATATGGTAGGAGATACACACCAAACAGGATGTGTAAATTATTATATAATAAGTATTGTGCAATAGCAAGAAATTTTCAATTGCACAGTATTGCACAATAGCAAGAAATCTTCAATTGCACAATATTGCGCAATAGCAAGAAATCTTCAATTGCACAGTATTGCGCAATAGCAAGAAATATCCAATGGCACAATTTTGCGCAATAGCAAGAAATTGTCAATTGTACAGTATTGCGCAATAACAAGAAATATTGAATTGCACAGTATTGTGCAAAAGAAGATACTTCGTATAAATTGCTTATTTCTTGACCAATTTCAATGGGGTTTTATTCTTGAGTTCTTGGGGTTTTTTAATATGCTGAATCTAACCGTGTATTTAGTTTTTGGATTTTGGACCCCGTTTTTAAATTGGTCCACATTGAGGTCCAAAGGGTCCAAAATTAAACTTTGTTTGATTTCATCAAAAATTGAATTATTGGGGTTCTTTGATATGCCGAATCTAACCGTGTATTTAGATTCTTAATTTTTGGTTCCGTTTTCAAATTGGTCTATATTAAGGTCCAAAGGGTCCAAAATTAAACTTAGTTTGATTTTAACAAAAATTGAATTCTTAGGGTTCTTTGATATGCTGAATCTAAACATGTATTTAGATTTTTGATTATGGGCCCAGTTTTCAAGTTGGTCCAAATCGGGGTCCAAAATTAAACTTTGTTTGATTTCAACAAAAATTGAATATATGGGGTTCTTTGATATGCTGAATCTAACCATGTATTTAGATTTTTGATTTTTGGGCCCCGTTATCAACTTTGTCCACATTGAGGTCAAAAGGGTCCAAAATTAAACTTTGTTTGATTTCATCAAAAATTGAATTCTTGGGGTTCTTTGATATGCTGAATCTAACGATGTATTTAGATTTTGGATATTGGACCATAATAGGTGAATGTCCAATTTAAAATTTTTAAGTTCTTAGACCACATTCATTCTGTGTCAGAAACCTATGCTGTGTCAAATATTTAATCACAATCCAAATGCAAAGCTGTACCAAGCTTGAATGTTGTGTCCATACTTGCCCCAACTGTTCAGGGTTCGACCTCTGCGGTCGTATCAAGCTGCGCCCTGCGGAGCATTTTATTAGAAGTTACTATTTTAATAATTTTAAAAATGATGATTTTTGCAACAGCATAGTGTATTGCACGAAAGCAAAAAATTGAATAAAATTCAAATCATATAACCAATTCTAAGTTCTTTGACTACAGTAATTCTGTGTCAGAAACCTATTATGTGTCAAATATTTAATTACAATCCAAATTCAGACCTGTATCAAGCGCTAATATTGTGTCCATTTTTGCCCCAACTGTTCAGGGTTGGACCTCTGCAGTCGTATCCAGCTGCGCTCGGCGAAGCAATTTATTTTAGCTTAAATTTCAAATTAGGATTAATTGACCAATATCACAATGAATCATAGCTAAGATCAACATGATCAGTGACTTACAATTACATGTAGGAGTAGACAAAAGGGGGGGGGGACTTCTGAAAGAAACAAGCAAAAATTTTTATATATATATTTTAAATATAAAAAATTTGTTGTAATTTTCCAAACAAGTCACATTATTTAAAAAAGGAAAAGATGAAAATGCACTAAAATTGTATTCATATAAATCAAAACATGACAAAAAATTATTTTCACAATGTTTCTCTAACTGTTAATATCTATATAGTCTTATAGTCTTATAGTCTAGAAGTTAGTCAGTGTCCTCTTTCTTTATTATTTTCAATAAAAAAAATGTTCAAAAAGGAGGGGGGGATACTCCTGGCTCCCCGGCTCTAATGCCAGTGAATATGCAATAAGGGTCAGGTGGTTCCAACTGATAAAATTCTGAGTCTGTGGTTTATAAAGGATGGAGGACAGGATCGGTCATCATCAGTGGGACTGAATACTTGACAATGATCACTGATCTTATTAAAATAATGTTAAATTTTAATGGTCTCTAAAGAATAACAAAGCTTATGAAGAGTTTTCAATTTGGTCTTCGTTAGCATGTCACCTTTCTCAATTCAAGAGCTAAGGCCTTAATCAAAAATAGATTAATTACCACAAATTATAGCAGAAAACTGCATACAACTTTCAAGTTTCACCAAATTTCTTAACAGTTTTTTCCTGAATTCCTGTGGCGTAAAAGGGTGTGCTGATTATACATAAATATGGATTATTGCAAGACTTGTTTTATGTTGATAATGATTTGTGGAAAGCAGCTGGTGGAAAGCAACAGACATGACAAATTAAAATTGAAATAATTTTGATGACACAAACTTGTAATTCCACAGGAATTGACCATAATACTTGAAGTGTGAGATAATAAATAAAGAATGGAAATTTCAATATGATTATGAATTATAAATGAAATCTGATTAACAATACCACATTTCTTTTGACTGCCTAAAGTAAAAGTTAATCATTGTATTTTATATTTCATAATGGAAAAGTGTTTTAACATAACTGATAAATGGGGATAATTTTGTACTTGTTCCAAAAAAGGGGAACTCCTGCACATATTGCTTATTATACAAGAAATACCTTTTCCAGCATTTTTGCACTTTGATTAAGAAGTTAATTATAAATTTTCATATCAGCAAGATCTTGGACAAGTTTATTTATCAGCACTGATTATATAGAGATTTGCATTGTAAGGAATCTCACACCTACATTTCTTTTACAATATTTACGAAAAAAATGAAAGAACAATAAAAGAAATGTTGGAGTTATTGCCCTTGGACATGAAATATTTGCATCAGTGGGGAACATGTGCACCAATATGTTTCTGGTACAAGAAGTACAACTACAAGGTTATGTAATATTGTTCATTGCTTTTTCAAAAGATCACAGTAAATTGCCTGTAATACATTTAAACTAATTCTAAGATAAAGAACAAAATCATAGCAAAAACATAGCCATTCAAAAAAGATACATTTTAAAGATATTATTTTAAAAGATGACCTTGTTGCGATCATTGGTTTAATGGGCAAGGTTGAACTTTGCCCTTTCTTAAATTCCTTTGGCAGGGGATATTTGATTTCCATGAAGTATACATTTTATTTAGGATTTTAAATACATTTACATGTATTTTCGTTTGTATGTATTTTTCAAGTTTCTCATTAAGTAGAAACACTTGTAAGGGTGACATTGAAAAATATATATATCAGAAAGTGTATTTGAACAAGTCAAAATATGTTCTGCCAGACCAGGGACTTTCTATACTACCGGGACTCGTCTCTATTGATTTCGACTAATAACTACGCCTCCCATGTAAAGCTACCACATAACAATAATTACATTAGATGTATGTTTCATTATTATACATTATTTTGATTGGCTAACAGCAATCTCACGTCATTCTTCATTTCAAAATGAATTGCATGAATTGAAACATACATGATGACACACGTTTCCACAATAAAATTCACAGGTAAATAAAAGAAAAACTTGATAGTAATCGTGTTAATTCATGATCAAAGGGAAAAAATGTAATTATAAGTATTGAATGCTTCTTTTGGTAATTTCATAGGGTTGTTAAAGCGTTGACATACGAAGCTAGTAGTTATTTGCGTATTTCAAAGTACATTGTAATTTAATATTTATATTTATAAAAGAATGTTAAATTATTAAACTGAGACATATCGTTTTGAAGAGCACTCCAGTCATGCAAAAGGGGTTACATATTGAACAAGATGGCAGCCACTCAAAATTTACTGACAAAATACGGTTTTAATACCTCAAAGTTCAAAGGTCTATATTTTAAAAACTGTCCGAGAAATATTTTCAAAAACAGCATTTTGCAATGACAAAATGAATAAAATTTCATAAAAATGTTACTTCATTAAACTTGAATATATAATTATGAAGAACACTTCGTAAATGTGAAATGAATTGCTATGAAGTCACGTGACACCATCGACGGCACAGTTTTGTCTGCAAATTTGTATAGACATTGTTATAAGTGACCAGTCCGGTAAGTATAGAAAGTCCCTGGCCAGACATTGTATTTGAAGAAAAATAAACATGAACATGTCATAGACAGACCTTTCACTAGAATTCATTTATAGTTATAATTTTAATAGATGAATATTATTTTTCCTGCAGAAATTCAGAAAAAATTAAAGCACATAAAAGGAAGAGTCGGCCACCAAGACCTCAAAACAAAGATGCAATTATTGCTTGGTTTCATGATGAAGAAAGAGAACGGAGTGCTGGTCTAGACCCTCAAACAAATAAACCTGCAGAATGGTTTCATGGTAAAAAAAAAAAAAAAAAAAATAACTTTTTACATATGAGGTATTGCATTTATACCTTTAATTCAGAAATTTTTATGATGGTTTTATTACTGTATAAATTGCAACAGGATAGGTTTTGCAAAAATAAAAAGTCACCTTTTAAATTTTAATAGCATAATTTGAGTGCACCATATCCTGAAATGGCAATTATTAATCTAAAATTTTTGTCCATTGTCAATAAAAAATGCATGCAAACATTTCTGAATTTACAGTTATCTATTTGTCCACTAGCCAAGTTCTTTCAAGACATTATTTTTGGGAACAAAAAATTCAAGTTTGGAATAATTTGAAATAAAACATGTTACTTCCAACAAATAAATAAGTGTAGATGGGTTCAATTTTTAGAAAGATGTATAAAATAAAATTGAGAATGGAAATGGGGAATGTGTCAAAGAGACAGCAACCCGACCAAAGAGCAGAAAACAGTCGAAGGCCACCAATTGGTCTTTTACACAGCGAGAAAATCCTGCACAAGGAGGTGGGCTTCAGCTGGCCCCTTAACAAAAATATAGTAGTTCAATGAAAATGGATGTTACACTTATCTCCAAAAAAATATATAAATGAACTAAAACTGAAAAAAATACAAGACTAACAAAGGCCAGAGGCTCCTGACTTGGGACAGGCGCAAAAATGTGACAAGAGTTAAACATATTTTGTGAGATCTCAATCCTCCCCTATACCTCTAGCCAATGTAGAATAAACAAACACACAGAAATATGCACAGTAAAATACAGTTTAAAAGAAGTCTGAGTCCTATGTCAGAATAAGCAATAAAAGAAACTAAGCAAAATGACAATGATACATAAATTAACAAAGGACTACTAGCAGTTACTGACATGCAAGCTCCAGACCTCAATTTAACTGATTGAAAGATTATGTCTTCATCATATGAAAATCAAGTGCAATCCCTCCCGTTAGAGGTTTAGTATCATACCATCATAAAATATATGAGAAGAACGTAACCCATATCATGCCAACAACTGGTTTTAGAATAAATGTGTTTATTTCCAATGCAAAGACCCTATAAGTGAATCAATATTAAAACCAAAATATACCATCTTTAATGACCTGACAACAGTATCCTAACTATATACACATAACATTTTCTAATAACTTAGTTATATCCACTTGTTCAACAACTGGCTGCTAAGCAAATAACAGTCAATTATACAAACAACTTGTAATTTTGCTTCCATATTTTTGTTGCTATCAGACTCTAGAAAATATATATAATATATTACTGACAGAATGAATTACACATGGCTGTGACAAACTGAAATATTTTTTTAATCATAATGTCTTTATACTTTTAGGTATTATTCCTAGAATGGATGCTGAGACTATGCTTATCAATGAACCCACCGGTAGTTACTTAGTCCGAGTTAGTGAGAGAGTATGGGGTTATACAATATCGTACAGAGCATCAGATAGATGTAAACACTTCCTTGTTGATACAACAGAGAATGGTTACCAGTTCTTTGGAACAAATCAAATCAAACATGCAACTTTAGCAGATCTTATCTTATATCATGTGGTAAGTAAAGTATTACAAAAAACAGAATTCATTAATTGATTACTTTATTTGAAATTAGAATACTTGCAAATGTATCATTTAATAAACTAGCAGAAAAAAGAAACTGTGTACCCGAAAAACTGTAAAAAAAAATTATGATAAAACCTAATGTTTCAAGATATGAGGTGTAAAAATCTTGTTTTCATAATGCAATTGAAGATATCTGGTGATAATCAACTCTGCACAACAGATTTTTGAATGATTCTTGAGCACATCCTCATTTTTTTCAAGTGCACAAAATTGTTTTGTGTCAGTCTTTTGTGGAATATGGTGTAAAACAATTGGTTATCTCTAATGAAAGAGGAAACTTGTTTGTATAAATGAGATATCTTTTTCGCACAGACATGAATAAATGAAAATTAGTGTCTATGCTCACAGACATTTAAAGTCTAGTGTTATACAGAACTTTGCTAACAGACAGTGGAGGTAGCTGGGCATTTTAATGTCATCCAACAGCACACTGGCGTGTAATTATGTACAAGGACATGGTTTATAAAGAGGAATTACAAACCTTCCAAAATTCTAAAAGCATAAACCTAAATGACCGTTTTTAAAAGTTTAATGACGATTTCATTCAAAAATAAGATGACCTCTACCGCGTTAGAAAGGTGACTGCTGAAATGAGTTAAATTATATAAAGAAAATGTTGGGAGGGTTTGAAAGTGACCATTAGAGACAGGTGACAGCTGAAAGGATGTAACCGTTAAAGCAGGTTTGAAAGGAGATGACCGGTAAGGCAGGTTTGACTGTATTGAGAAAGTTTCTTTTTTCCGATAGTACAATGTATATTTATGGAAAAGAAAGCTTAAATACGTAAAGAAGTAGTTTCGCAACACATAAAACAAGAAAATACACAGTCAAATTAATATGTATCACAATTTGATGAAAAAGAAAATAGAATCACAACTCTAAAACTGCATGTATAGAAATAATGTGATGTAGACTATGTGTTGACCTGTAAATATCTTTAGGCATGTGTGTCATTGGGTTGTCTCATTGACATATACCACACATCTCTTTTAATTCACTACTGTATAACTAGCCTGTCACATGTGGCAGTAGCGTTTGACTCCAATCTTATGTTGACTAGGATTGTCAGGTTTCCTGCCAAAAGTCTGTTGTTCTCTCTGTGCACTTTGGCTTCCTCCACCAATAAAACAGACCTAAATATAGCCAATACATGTAGTGTTGAAAGTGGTGAAAAACACCAACAATAAATTTATCAATTTTAATTCACAATTATATTTCTTTATTCTTATAACCAACAGCAAATATTTTCTGCTTTCAGAATAACCACATAACAGTAGCAGGTAAAGAGATGCTAATCAAACCAATTGGACAGATAAAATCACCACCTGATTATTACGATCTTTTTAAAAACAGAAGATCAGAGTCTACGTCATTGTAACACAGCATTATTTTTGTTAATACCTTTCAAATCAGACAACTCATGACATGTAATTTTTTTTTTTGAAGAGCATAATACATAACATGCATTAATTTTATATAGAGTTAAATGACAGATGATTATAGTTATTGGAATAAATTTAACAATGGAAGAAGAGTGATTTTTCAAGGTAACAGTACATCTGAATTTAGGTTACCAGTTTTAAACATCAGAATGATAATCTGATAAAAGATAAAGAAAAGATCTACTAATTTTCTTTTATACTTGTTCATTTTGTTTGAAAATTTATTATAGCTTTAAATTTGCCATTATATAATTTTTTTCATATATGGCTGATAAATTGTATTTCAAATTTCACATTGAAATCATGATTTTTGAAAAATCATCTGTGTGTATTACGCTGATTATGGAGTGTGTAGTTGATATTTTATGACAAAAACAAGGTCCGGGACATCAGGGTATATTGAATATATATATATAGCTTTACATGTTTTTGAGTTGTGTGATTTGAATGGTTTGTTTTAGGTTCGGTTAGTGCTATTATTTGCTTTATTATCATGTTACGGTTGTAAACTTTTATACAGTATATGCATTCCCATATTGGGGAAATCTTTTAGTTCGTTATGTGATAAATATATGCAACAGATATGCTATTTCATATTTGGATATCTATGCAAAATTCTGATACCTGTGCATTCTGATATATTTCATTGAAAGTTAATAATTTTTACTTGTACCATAAAGAAAAATGAGTGATGTTGGTTAGGGACTACTCTACTCAACTATAGCTGTTATCTAAGTTAAACATTTCTACTTTACCTGTTCCACTTATATAAAGGGATATTATTTTATTAATAGGTATCAGTGGAGAGTTTAATTTCAAACATTGCTTTGTTGTTCTTTTTTTTTTTGCTTTTTGGATGGAGTTTCTGACAGTTACTAGCTTATTAAATTTCTATGAATGACTTAGAATTAATGGTACACTTCACTATTCAAACTTTAGGTAATAAAATTGTGTAAATACCAGAAAAATGACATTAATGCAATTTCAACTACTTAATTCTTGCTTAGCATTAGTTTAGGATAAAGTTAACTAATTAAGGGATTTTTTATGCTACCCATACATTGGAAACTTATTAACTCTTATCATAGAATGTAATATTTTGTAAGAAGAAAATTGATATTTCTAACATACTGTATCATTATATTGTTCTGCAATCGAAAGGTAGTTTTGAGGCAATTATTTGTAATTTTTGAAACTTTTATTCCTAATATAATAAAAAAAAAAATGACAGTAAATAAACTCTGAATTTGATAAGTGGTTCTTATTTTGGTAACAACCCATATTACATTTTTACTGAGACTTGTAAAGGATTTTTTTATGATAAGAAAAATACCTTTCACACACACCTCCCCCCTTTTTATACGACCGCAAAAAAATTTTGTGGTCGTATATTGGTATGACGTTGGCGTCGTCGTTGTCGTCGTCGTCGTCTGGCGTCGTCGTCGTCGTCGTCCGGCGTCGTCGTCCGAATACATATTGGTTTTCGCACTCTAACTTTAGTTTAAGTGAATGGATCTTTTTGAAATTTGACCATAAGGTTAAATACCACAAAAGGAAGGTTGGGATTGATTTTGGGGGTTATGGTACCAACAGTTAAGGAATTAGGGGCCAAAAAGGGGCCAAAAATGAGCATTTTCTAGTTTCCAGACAATAACTGTGGAACGGTGTATGGATCTCTCTGAAATTATACTACAAGTTTCCATACCACAAAGGGATGGTTAGGATTTGCTTTGGGGGGTTATGGCTCAAACCGTTTAGGAATTAGGGGCAAAAAAGGGGGAAAAACAAGGTTGTCCTGGTTAATGGACAAATACTTTAGTACAAAACATAATTTAAAGCAGTGTAAGGGAGATAAATCAAATACATCATTGAAATTATCTCCCTTACACTGCTTTTAAATTATGTATAAAGTAATGGTTAATGAACAATAAAGATAATCTAAAACAGTGTAAGGGAGGTAATCCAAATACAACGTTTTGGTTACTTCCCTTACACTGCTTTTAAATTATGTTTAAAGAAATGCATATTTATAAAGGAAGACCAGTAAAAATATCTGCAAATGTTTTCATCTTTTTTTTTTACAAAAAAATCCATATGAAAGATTTGACACTATATTTTTATTAATTCTATTATAAAATAGATTAAGTTAGCACTATGGTAAATTTAAATGGGTAATTATGGTTGCCAACTCCATTGGAAATTTGAATTGAGATTATGACCATATCTTGAGGGAAAGAATTTTTTTGGGGGAAAAAGGGGGGGGGGATAAAAAGAAATTGTGGGGGGCCAATTTTTTCTCATTTCAGATTTCAGAAATTAAAAAGAATTATTCTTCAAATATTATTTTTTTTTCAAATTTCAAATATTGAAAAATTTCAAGAAGTAATCTTTAATTGCACAGTATGGCGCATTAGATTTGTAAAATCTTTGATCACATTTATTTATTTGTTATGCCGAATCTAACAGTGTATTTAGATTTTTAATTTTGGGTCCAGTTTTCAAATTGGTCTACATTAATGTCCAAAGGGTCCAAAATTAAACTTTGTTTGATTTTAGCAAAAATTGAATATATGAGGTTCTTTGATATGCTGAATCTAAACATGTATTTAGATTTTTGATTTTTGGCCCAGTTTTCAAGTTGGTCCAAATTGGGGTCCAAAATTAAACTTTGTTTGATTTCAACAAAAATTGAATATATGGGGTTCTTTGATATGCTGAATCTAACCATGTATTTAGATTTTTTATTTGTGGACCCCGTTATCTAATTAGTTCATATTGAGGTCAAAAGGGTCCAAAATTAAACTTTGTTTGATTTCATCTAAAATTGAATTATTGGGGTTCTTTGATATTCCAAATCTAACCGTGTATTTAGGTTTTTAATTTTGGGTCCTGTTTTTTAAATTGGTCTACATTGAGGTCCAAAGGGTCCAAAATTAAACTTAGTTTGATTTTGACAAAAATTGAATTCTTGGGGTTCTTTGATTTGCTGAATCTAAACATGTGTTTAGATTTTTGATTATGGGCCCAGTTTTCAAGTTGGTCCAAGATAGGGTCCAGTATTTAAACTTTGTTTGATTTCAACAAAAATTGAATATATGGGGTTCTTTGATATGCTGAATCTAAACATGTATTTAGATTTTTGATTATGGGCCCAGTTTTCAAGTTGGTCCAAATTGGGGTCCAAAATTAAAGTTTGTTTGATTTCAACAAAAATTGAATATATGAGGTTCTTTGATATGCTGAATCTAACCATGTATTTAGATTTTTTATTTGTAGGCCCCGCTATCAAATTGGTTCATATTGAGGTCAAAAGGGTCCAAAATTAAACTTTGTTTGATTTCATCGAAAATTGAATTATTGGGGTTCTTTGATATGCCAAATCTAACCGTATTTTTAATTTGGGTCCCGTTTTTTAAATTGGTCTTCATTGATGTCCAAAGGGTCCAAAATTAAACTTAGTTTGATTTTAACAAAAATTGAATTCTTGGGGTTCTTTGATATGCTGAATCTAAACATGTGTTTAGATTTTTGATTATGGGCCCAGTTTTCAAGTTGGTCCAAGTTGGGGTCCAAAATTAAACTTTTTTTGATTTCAACAAAAATTGAATATATGGGGTTCTTTGATATGCTGAATCTAACCATGAATTTAGATTTTTTATTTGTGGGCCCTGCTATTAAATTGCTTCATATTGAGGTCAAAAGGGTCCAAAATTAAACTTTGTTTGATTTCATCAAAAATTGAATTATTGGGATTCTTTGATATTCCAAATCTAACCGTGTATTTAAATTTTTAATTTTAAGTCCCGTTTTTTAAATTGGTCTACATTAAGGTCCAAAGGGTCCAAAATTAAACTTAGTTTGATTTAAGCAAAAATTGAATTCTTGGGGTTCTTTGATATGCTGAATCTAAACATGTGTTTAGATTTTTGATTATGGGCCCAGTTTTCAAGTTTGTCCAAGTTGGGGTCCAAAATTAAACTTTGTTTGATTTTAACAAAAATTGAATATATGGGGTTCTTTGATATGCTGAATCTAACCATGTATTTTGATTTTGGACATTGGACCATAATAGGTAAATTAAAAAAATTCAAGTTCTTAGACCACATTCTTTCTGTGTCAGAAACCTATGCTGTGTCAAATATTTAATAACAATCCAAATTCAGAGCTGTATCAAGCTTGAATGTTGTGTCCATACTTGCCCCAACTGTTCAGGGTTCGACCTCTGCGGTCGTATCAAGCTGCGCCCCAGCGAAGCATTTTATTTTGTACATGAAAATACACAAAATATTGTTATGATAAAATTTGATTGCTAAGACTATATTTAACTATGATCCAGATCAATGTGGCAAGCTTTGTTTTTATGTTAGTGTTTAATTTAATTTTGACATTAAATCATGAAAATTAAATTAGATTTTTTCTCTCAACTTGGAGGGTTGTCAGGCCCAATCTATATAAACCTTCATTTAAGATTCAATAATGCTGTTCAAAAATGCTTCATTTCACTTGTAGAAAATAGATATTTTTATATTAGTATTGTTAAAAGCATTTTATAAATTTGTAATGTACTTAATAATTTTGTATGATATTTTTTACTGTGCAATACAAATCTGAGTTAGTGATAGTATTATATATTTCTGTCAGGTTTTTGTAAAAGATTTTATTCACCTGTGTGTTATCATATATTGTACATGGTAAACAGGATTGACTGCCAGTCAGATTGTTTTTTTTAGATATTTGTAAGATTGAATAATGATATTTTATTGTCAGCTTCAAGTTTGACCTTGTTAGGAGAAAATATGCAGCTACTCTTAAGGTTCAAGGGACAGAAAATAGGCTATGTCACAGATTTTGGTAAAATTTTGGATACAACTTTAGCTCGTTGAACTATAACTGAAAATTGAAAAAATAGCAATTATCTCTTTTCTTTTCTCAAATATTGCTGATTGAATTCTTTCAAATTGGTGATCATTTGTATAGAGATCACATAAAAATGGTGAAAAGCATTCCTGAATTTGTCTTAAAATCATCAAATTAAAAATTTAAATGAAATCAAATTAAAAAATAATTCAAAGTGGTGTTCTAGGTGAAAAATACCACAAAACATCTAAGTAAGCGTAATGTCGTCATATTAGAACAATATTTAAGATGCCATCTTGATTTTAAAGCAATTTTGTACTGTATCTAACAATTTCAATCAAAGGATTGAATACTGGGATTGTTACTCCTGTACATGCTTATTGCATCATATTTAAAATAATGTCCATAAAAAATAGCTGATACGAGAATCTCACATTAAAAAACATTCATTTTATTGTACAGATTATTATTGTATTTCCATATTTGTAAATACATTATGAATTATTTGTACAAAATGCATTATGTATTTAAGGAAAAAAACAAAACAAATAATGAAGTTTAGTGTAAGGGCTATTTCTAGTGCCAAATAATGGCAGATAATTATTTAGTCAACTAATAGAAGTCATAGAAAAAAAAAACCACATAGATTTTTGTATATTTGCTTTAAGGAAACATTATTAACATTAGAGAAACATTCTTACATTCTAACTAACAAAAGATGTTTCTTAGGTTGCTTATATTATGTCAAGTCTAATAAATATTGAAAAAAATAAAGATTAAGGAAAATATGGAGAATCATACCCTTTGTTATTTTTGTAACACATTGAATGTGAAAATATTCATTTGTATTCTGAGCACCACTTACTGTAAATTCAGACAATTTTGCATGCATTTATTATTGCGATTTTTGAAGAATGGACTAAAACGTGAAATTAATTATTAAGATTTCAGGAACAACTGTCTTCAGATATATGTATCAGATATTAGTATGCAAGTTCTTGTTATCGCCTTACTCACCTAGTCGCATAATTTGCATTCATAAAACCTCACAAATCATTTCTGAATTTACAGTAACTCAATGTTGTTATCACAGGTTTGTGATTGACATGATTGAGTACAGTATAATTTCACTATACAAAAACTATTTGGGTCAATGAAATGACGGAAGCTTAGATCATTGATAAGCAGATTGTGATAAATATAAATACTAGTCTACAGCTCTTTTTATATAAAAAAAAACATACAAGAAAAACTGCATTATGTAAAATATTTAGTTTAGTATTTGGAAAAAGAAAAGACGCCAATTCCTAATCAGTGTATGTAATCAACATTTAAAAGTAGATTGTACTTAACCAAATTTTGAGGCATAAATAATTACCTCTGTTAATACTCTAGATGTATTACATATTTTTTTATATTCAAATGTACAAAATGAATTGATTTGCTGCAATATTTTATGTAAAAATTTGACAAAAGGTAGTTATATTAAAAAAAAAAATAGATACAGCAAATAATTATTTTCAGTTAAAACTTAGGTTGACAACATGTACATTTGTTTGTATGTAAATCATGTGGAACTATGATTATTCTTTTTTGTATGTTTTTTTAAAGAGTGATAGGCACTTGTCTCCAGAAAATATTTATTGTATTTGCTGTGTAAGGAATTTATCAATCGCAAGTTATATTGGAGTGTTGCTGATGAGTCCTTTGTAGACGAAACGTGTGTCTGGCGTTCAAAATTATAAGCCTATATATAGCTAGTATCACTATTTTTTTTTCTGTAGATATTACAATTAAGAAAAAAAAAATGATAAGATATTTCTAAAGTTAAAGATATATTTCATGTTTTGATAAAACATATCACTATAGTTGAAAAACAGAAAATCCTGAGACTGTGTTATATATATTAACTCAGTTTCTTGAAACCACTAAATCTACATTGTGATAATTTTACTTAAACCAACAACATGAAACTATAAAGGAACTCATCACTTCGGTATTCTTTCAACAATTAAGAATAAACTAATATAAGGGTTTTACATTTCAGTAATTGTTTCAGGATTTTTATAGTTTTCTCTTTGAGGAAAAGTTCTACCAACTTAGGGGCTTCATTGTTTTTAGTGCTATGTAATGAAAAAGGAGTGAATTATATCTTACCACTAATACTGTGGATTCATTTATATTTGTGGGTACCAATATTCGTGGATTGAGGAAAACTTACATTTTCGTGCCGTGGATATTTAATTTCGAGGTTTCGCCAAAGTTGGCATACAAGCCTATAGAAAATTAACAATTTGTTGAACATTTAAATTCGTGGTTCACCTGTTCCTACGAAATCAACAAAAATTGGTAGTCAACAAATAATAATGCATCCACAGTAAGCATAGGAATGTTTTAAAGCAGGATAAACATTTTAGTGACTAGTCTTTAAAAGATATACATGTATAAATGGCAGTGATTGAAAGATATCTTATTTAAATGTAAAACTCTTCTTGTTATGTATTATGTAAATATATTTTTTTAATGTATAGAAATAACCAAGAAATAGCATTAAGTTTGAAAACCATATTAATTTTAATCTAAAATTGCTAGAAATAATTTCACACACAAAATCAGACATAACAAAATTCTCTTTACTTGACATGTTCTTACCCCGGTACAAGACTTAGGACTCTCCATAAATCATTGTTTATAACATTAACCATTTAAGCATTATTGCCCGAAGCTTCAGTATACATCCACAATTTCAGATTTATAAGATCTCTTGCTCAAGTTGTATTTTGTTGCTTTGATTATTGGAGCTTAATTTATTTCTAACTATTTTCTTGTTTTGGATACTCTTGTTTGATCAGAATGATCTATTATCTTTTTTGTGACATATAGAAATTCACTAATTTTTAAAGAGATCAGACTTTTTATGCTGTTACAGCACGAAACTTGCATTCATATCAAAGAGTTAAAGAGCTTAATTTCGTCATGTTTTATTCTGCTAACTTTTTACTAAAAATAACAAGTAATGAATTAAATACACTATGTCAAGCTTTAAAATTTAACAGACATCAGTTCAGGAAATGTTATTTGATAGATCAGACACATGGTCAATGATATTTATTTGTCATGCATTCATGCCAGTATTATAGTGTAAATTCGTAATGATAGAGAATATGACAAAAAGACAGTAACCCAACAGCAGCTTTTAAAAAAACTGTAGTCAAGTGTAGTCAGAGCAACATTTATCATAATAGAGTGGAAATATTTTTTACGTTGTTAAGGAAGGCTGCATGTTAAACAGCTGTTGTATTTTTTCTAATTTGTTTTGGAAAGATATGTATATGTTAATACTTTAATTTGAATTGTTTCAAAGAATTTTACAGGAAGACTGATTTTGTTGAAAGAAATTCATTGGTTGTATGGATACAACTCTGCTCACTGTGTTCAAAATAACTATATATCAATATAAAGTTATAAATAAACTCATATTTATTTATACATGGTTTTCATTTTTTTTTCGTAATTCTAGTCATGACCTGCCCCTTCATTGGGATGTGGATGGTGATTTTATTGCACAAGATTTTCTTTCATTTTTGTGTACACTTGTCTTTGCTTTGTATTGCCTTTGTTTTTCTCTGAATGAGTTGGAACAACTGTTTTTTGGCTGTTTATTCCAAATGGTATCAGCTATATAATACAGTGTTATGGTAATAGTCATAAATCATCAAGGCCTTAAATTTCAATATTAAGGCCCTTTTCTAAGATTCTGTAAGCTAAAGGTCAACTACATTTGTTGTATGGAATGATTGTAAGGTGTATATATCCGTCATCTGACCTTGACCTCATTTTCATGGTTTGGTCTGTTTCTTGTATATTATAGGCAATAGGTCAACTATATTTTGTGTATAATGATTATAAGGTGTACATGTCTGTCTGAATTGTTTTTTCTGACCGTGACCTCATTTTAATGGAACTGATAATGTTAAGTTTATGTGATACTTGTAGTAAAACTTTATCTTTAGGACTATCAACATAAATCATGAATTGTAAACAGGCAAGACATTTCATCGTGTACTCTTGTTCAGTCTATGGGAGATTGATGATTATAAGTTCCTCTTCAGCAGATCATTGTATGAGGTTGATTTGGGACCAACATGGTGGCAATTAATGTCACATGGTTCTCATTGAATCAGATTTAAATCATCTTCTCTAAAACTATGTAATCCTTTTTAACCAAACTAGGCATGAATGGAGCTTTGAAGGTTCTCTAAAAATTATCTTTATTTCTGTTGGTTAATTGAAAAAAATGGCTGCCAGAGCTGGTCTTTAATTCTGATTGTCCAGTATAAAAAAATCCTTTTTACTCATTTTGTACAAAAAGATTTTAAATCAATTTTGAATCTTCAGTTGGTTTTGAGACTATTTTATTTGACAAAAACACAGAACAACTGGGTAAAGCTGGGCATGGGAATCCTTTTATCAAATTGTTTATCCTTTTAGCATTGAACCAAAAACCATGCTTTTCAAACAGAAACATAATTTAGTGATTGTTGAGCACTCACAAATAGGTTTGACTCTGCCACATTCTACATGTGCCGTGTCCTAAGACAGGAGGCAGTAATTCAGTGGTTGTCTTTGGTTGCTATCAGTCATGTTTTTTTTTTGGTCATGAATCAGACCGTTGGTTTCTAACTTTGAATTGTTTCACATTTTTGTTATTTTGGGGCTTTTTATAGCGGATTATATTGTATGGATTTTGCTCATTGTTAAAGGCATACAGTGATCTGTAGTTGCTTAATCCACTTCATTTGGACTCTGTTGGATAGTTGTCTCATTGGCAATCATACCACATCTTATTTTATATTAAATACCAATTGAGCAATACAGGCTCCTTTGAACTTCTGTTTGAATCTTTATTATAGTTTCACCCTTTGATCATTTTGACAAAAGCAGTCCTGTATGCTAGTAATCTGATTCATAACAAATCTATCTCTCTATGAATAATCTATGCCATGTCTGTTCCAGAATAGCTACGAATGAAACAAACAATATACAAGACAAACACCTGGTAATAACTTATTCTGGCTCTTTGGGAATAGACAGCAAAAACGCTTCTGAAATAAAAGAACCTCATTAAAGATATCAGGATTAAAATTGAGTATGCCAGACAACATTTCATCTACAAAAGACTTATCAGTGATGCTTGAAACAAAAAAGTGAAAAGACCAAATAAAGTACGAAGTTGAAGAGCATTGAGGACCCAAAATTCCAAAAGATTTTGCCAAATACAGCTAAGGAATGACATTAACTGAGAATTATCATGAGTTAGTAAACATGAGGTATAAGCCAGTCTAAATACAACAAAAATGGATGTTCAGTTTTTATTCTTTCTTCAATTGAGAAAGCACCCAATATTGTGAAAACATGAGTTTTTTCCTCATTTCAACAAAACAACATTTTATATAAACATGTGATATTTTGTGAACAATTATTTTCTAAAGAAATGAAACAAATAACAATATGTTCATGCAAAATGAGTAGTCGGTTCATTTAAAAATGATACTCAATATCTTCACATATTCATACAATTGGCACATACAATAAAATATCTATAAAATTCATTCACTCCCACAAATCATAAAAACTGGTAAACAATAAGGGTTTCTTGGCAACAAAATGAAACATGAAAAATATAGCCAAGTGGTCAAATTTTTAAAACAAAAAACTTGAATGTCTCTGTGTACTCTTTAATATTCAAACATGTTAAAATGATTGATTGATTGTTTCAATGTTCAAAGACTATAAAGAATGAGATTACAAGTAAAAATGACAACAATCCAAATTGAATCATAAATTCTCAAATTAATTCATGCACTTTTTCATTACTTTTATCATTTTCCTATCAAATGCAGCATATACATATGTAGCGATAGTAATATAATAGTTATCTTTTAAAAACAAAGATGACAACACGTATCTTATCATAATTCAAGATTCTGAACAATATTTAAATCATTGATCATTAATATAATATAATAATACAGTCACATAGGGTTTAACAATCTCACACACAGTCTTCTTTCATACATAAAATCACAGAAAGTTCAGCTTACAGTACACACTTATTTTGTATACAAATGACCAACCGGGGTATTTTGTTACATAAATTGGCTATTTTTAATAATATTACATTTGCTATTTATAATAAATAGTATCTGTTAAATGCATACAAAACACCTTATTGAAGACTCTATTGAACTAAACATCCAACTAAAGACATCTAGACTATGTTGGTTTAATTTTGGTTTGGTATCGTATGCTATTTTTCAACATTAAAACAAAACTGAGCATATTTTTTCATATAAAAGTTAACATGAGTAAAATATGTAATACTGATTTATTTTGATACTGATAATACTGTAAGCCTTATTCATAGATATTATACATATCTCTAGGTTTCCAAATCATAAAAATAGCAATTTGATGTACAATTAACAAAAATTTCAAATCATGAAATGACTAAAAATCTAGCATGAATAAATAAATGATGACAAAGAGGAACAATGGGATTTAGATTTGTTTTTATATAATAATGAAAACATACACATCCACATCCTCGTAAAAGGAACTTCTATGAAAAAAGTTAAGTAATTTAAATGGAAACAAATATTTTTTGAGCTAATCCAGGAATAAATCATATACCAGATAGTCATTTTTAATTTGATAGTTACTTGTATAAATCATTCCTTCATATCACCCATACTCAGTGAGAGGAGGAATACAATGAAATAGGATACAAAGTCAAAGATGGTGTCACAAGGTACAATAGTAAATTATTCTTCTGAAGTTTTTAATGGATGATCAAATAGGCATAAAATATTTCATTCTGTTTTATTCAGCTATTATCACCCTTGTAAACATTTTTTTAGTATGTATATACATGTATATGTAAAAGTACATGATTGTGATAAAATCAATTATTAAGAAGCTTTCTTTTTGAAATCTATCTGAGAATAGATCATTTTTGGAAAATGCAGATTGAAAGATAAGTAAAAGAAATCCTAAAGATAATGCCATTTGCCTTTTATCCAAAAATGATATTTGAGTCTAATATATATAAAGTGCTAATAGAAATGCAACACCTAAGTGTATTTTCCATCAAATATAAATTCAAACAAACCCATCTTCGTAGGAAGTTGTTTAACAACTGTAAGATTTTGCATATGAATACAGAACAATTCTGACAATTTTCATAGCTTTTCCAATATGAAATCCTAACATTCATCAATTCCTTAATATTATCCCCCCCCCCCCTCCCGCCCCTTTTTTTTACATAAAAATTTGCATTTTGAACAGCAAATTTGAACCATTATTGAGCTGTCTTACAAATTTATCAAAAATTGAAAGTTTTATCATTTATCCTTTGGGCTTGGTGCATGTGATTACAAGAACTGTTTTGTATTGTCATACAAAAGGAATCCAAAAGTAGACTTCGGATAAATTTTGTTGCATTTCTACTGGTGCTCAGCAGATGTTTTTTTAACCATTCATATATAAAACTTGGTGAACAGTTTTTTTTTATCATGAACATTATAAATATTGCAATAAGTTATTACAAAATTTATTAGAATTGCACATATACATTCAGTTAGTAACAGAACTCTATTTACATTTAATAAATATTAGGCAATGTACAATGCACTATCAAGGATGTATATTACTTTATAAATCCTTTGCACTATCTAATAAAAAAAAACATTGTTAAACAATTGCATAACACATACATATATAAAGTCTACCTCCTTATCAAATAAATTACTGTGCATTTATTTATGTTGATTAAATTTTTTGGGGTAAATTCACAATATCATACATCCCATAATGTATGAGGCATGAATTTCGATTCAAAGTCAATGACTTAATTTCAAATGGAGGCAGGGCATAAAAATATATTCAGTTGACAGAATTGTCAAAACCATTTTCCTATCATGAATTTTGTAATAAATATGATTTTTCTGCATATCTGTCTGAATGAAATACTTAACACATATCATTAACCAATGATGAAGGCAATGGATATGACTGATAAATGTGTTACATAAATATAAACAAAGACAATAGTATCTTATTGATAGGAAATGTTGACAATAACAGGCCCTTAAGGATGTTAGCTGGTCAGTTTCAAAATAACAAGCTTTTTAAAAGACTGTAATAAATAAACATAAATAAAGAAATTAAAAAAGCAGGAAAAATAAAATGTTGATGTCATTAATTTTGAGATGTATGCCATTGAAAATTTGGTTGGAACTGATTCTTTAGATTATCATACTTTCAACTTTGGCACATTTTTCTTTCAAGAACTATGAAAAATAACAAGATTTTATATTTTTAAAAATTGCTTTTTAAACTAAATGTAAAAAAATTATGAAAAGAAAAGTAGGTATTAGCAAAATTTTTATTGGCACTATATGGATAAAACAAGAGGATTCTGAATATCTGACAAAAAGTCAAAATCAAGAGTAGCGAACATCCTTAAATAAACCTCTTGAGAAGATATGAATAATTAAGATTGATATGGAATATGATATGGGATTTGATATGGAAAAAAACACTCAATATTCTGTACATAGAATATCAAAATAAAGTGCAAATATTAATATTTGAACAATTTACAAATAATACTGAAAATGCTCTTCCTATTTCATAATGAAATTGAAAATGCAGAATACTTTTTTATGCTTTTTAAATTTCAAAATGCATAAAGCTTTACATGTAAAAATAAATGCAAACTTAAAAAGAAGACGGAGTATACTTGGCACATATACAATTATCACATGAATTAGTACTTATCAGGTATTAAAAATATCTGACCTTATATAAATCGGTAGATATCATTTACAATAATAATCCTGTAATAATTCAATAATTTTACCGATATAATTTTGTTTTTATTTACTTTGCATGAACATAGTTAGAAAGTAAATAAAGACAACGATTCCTGTATAAACAGTCAGACGTGAAACTGTCAGAATGAGATCTTCAAAAATTCAAATTATCCCACATTTCTAAATATAGATTTGCCCCCATTTTAAACTGCTTCTCTGCACCTTTACTTTCACATTTTCAGAAAAACAAATAAACTGAGTCAAAAATTTGAATTACTTTTTTTGAAATATGAATTGACATCTGTTTGAGAACGTATGATGTTCTTGATGTTTTTCTGTCATTAGAATAGATGACATACTGAATCAAAATGTTCTGGCTGATGATAACTGATGACATGTCTCATCAGGCTCACTTTTTGTATTCTTTTATAGACAGTATAATATGTTATATACTGTGAACAAAAAGCTTTTGCTGACCAATCACTGATATAATGAAGTTTATCCCTGAGGTCAGATTTGGTTTTGATTGCTGCTCATCATCATACGATAGGAAGATTGTCATCTTTGTCATTTCCATTACCATTAGTGTCCGCCTACAAAATAAAAACAAAAAAAATATAAAAATAATCGTATCAATTATATCCGTGTCAAAAACAACTGAAAATAAGTTTGATTGTAGACAGATTTATTAAAAAAATTTAAACTTGCTCCGATTCCCACATTTGCATGACTACTATGTTAAATTGTACTATAGTGTTGTTATAATTTCAATAATAGATAAACTAAGTGTTTGATTTCAATATTTTTCTTCTCAGTATTACTATCACATGTATTCCAAAAATATAAAATATTTTTATGTACATTTTCTACATTTTAAATGTTTGTCCATTCTACAATGAAAATCATCCATTTAAAATTTCATTCAAATATGGATTTTGCTATTGTTATTCAAAACATAATTAATTCAGGTACACAAACATTAGAAAATAGTAAATATATCATTTATTCTTTTTTGTATCAGTTATCAACATGCAAGGATATTTTGGATATTGTTAAGACCTGAGGTAATTGGATTTCAAAATGGAGAAGAGGGTGAAATATCACTTAGGTTTGTACATAACTTATTTTGTAAATCATGCAATAAATTGAATTATCAACTACAATTAGTCTTTTTTTATGTTTTAATTGATAAAATTTGGTCAAAGAAGTTTTGAAAAAAACATGCAGTATAGTAGTTATTAAAACTATTAGTTTTCAAATGGCACTGTGTAAAATATGGTAATGTTACCCAATATACATAAAAAAAGGGCAAAACATATGTTCAAATTGCAGTAACTGTCTTTTGCAGTTTGACTTTTTATGTAATAATGCTTTTATATATACATTCTCTGTGACCACTACACAACTATTTACATGACAGTGTAATTTCTTCATTCTTTTATAGAAATATTTAGCAAATGGCCTTTAAAAAGACTGATTTTAAATTGAAATTAGCAGAACAATGTCTTTATCTCCCTTTTTTCCCCATCTGATGAAAAAACAAACAATATTATTTAAAAAGTATATGTATGTAAAATGTGTGTAAAATCAGTGGAAACATCTTTAAAATTATCGTTAAAGCCTCATTTCTTTAAAAATCTTAAGTTACTATCAGTACAATGCATGAAAGCTTAAACATCATCTGAAAACCACATATTCACCCTTCAAAACACACACACACACAAATGTGATTTTTTTCATGGGGGAAAAATGAACAACAAATGTGAAAATAAAAAAAATATATAAAGGTATCCTGCCTTTTATCATTGAATGTAATGCTACTTAATTATTAGATCCTAACTCATAGCAAACTAACATAATAATTCAGAAAGCTCACATTTTATATTTATAAATATTCACATATAAATTTATCCTTTTTTAAAAATATTCAAGGGGCATTTCTCTGAGAACAGCAATTATGGCATCAGAGAAAATTGAACTTGATCTGCATTTTCCCAAAAAATTTAAGAGCATCAAAAATCTGGTGACATTGCATATTTACTGTTCTTTTAATGATATTAAGCAGATACGAATACGAATATGAATACTTTATTAAATCCAATTTTAAAAAGGATCCGTTTCCGAGCATATACATATATATATATATGTAGTATTAATTATACAGTAATTTTAACGATATATTACATTGAAAATAAATGAATGAATAAATAACTATCCTCCATACAAGATGGTGTTTTAGAAAAAAAATAAAGATAAGCTCAGCTTACTATATTAAACACAATATGAAACACTTTCCTGGATTATTGGTTGCGGAATAAAGTTTAAACAATCTATTTTCCAGCTGACAGAGCATGTCTGCATGGTCATTTATTTCAAAGTAAATCACATAAAAATTGTATGAAAGTCACAGAGAACTATACAAGAGCTCTTGGTAAAGGTGGAGGGAACAGTTTGTATACCAGTACCTTTTATGTCCCTTTATAGCATCTGAAGTAAAACATTACACTAACATCCATTTTGGAGAAAAAAAACAAATAATATTAATATCATTTTTTTGTTTATTTTGTTTTAAAGAATAATTCAAAATTGTAAATGATTTTCTACATTTCTAAAGTTTAAGTAATATTTCTCTGAAAACAATTTGTGATAGTATTCAGTTCTTTCATGTAAAAATTACCTTGTCATGATGACATGCTTGAACTTTAAATTAAATTTCATTTCATCTAATATTAAAGATGTAATGAAATCAAAAGACAGGCTATCATATTATATATGTGGGCAATATTTCCCTTTCATTTGTTAGCTGGCACCATTTTTTAACAAAATTATATTACATCAAAAGGTCCTGTATCAATAAAAATTTAAGAGAATGCAAGAAAATCACTGATGTATCATAAAATATGACAAATAATTTTTTATTGTTGAATTCTTAAATACTGAATTCACTTTAGAAATACAATTCAATATCCTTTCCCTTCCTAGGGAGAACTGGTTTGCTGTAAACAATATAGAGCAATGGTTTCCAAACTTTATTCAATTCACTATTAATTTGCATAAAACATAGGGTTTGTACAGTCTTATTACTTCTGACACAATTGTAATCCAGTTCAAGCATAAAGCTCAGGGAATAATTGCAAATGATAGTTAAATATTATCATTATTTTCTTCTTGTAGCTTTGAATAGCTGTGAGCTAATACTGATACTTACATTTGCAAAAGGAAAGGGATCTATATTTGTTATGTGAGGTATTTGAGCTATGGTTGTTCTTTGTTTAGTCTGCAGAGGTTTTGTTTTTGTAGGATGAGCTGAAAAAGAAAAAATGTCAAAATTCATTACCACAATGAATGAGAAATCACAATGACAACAATATCAAACTGAAACAAGCTCTAAAATAGTTTTTTGAAATCATTCATTTAAAATTTTTTATCAAGATAACAGAAAAATAAATATTTGTTTAGTTATAAGGTGATGTGCAACAATTAATTTAAAATATATGCATTGATGCCTTAATCAATGTATTTTTCAGCAATTCAAACTTTGTTGTGTAGTCATCTGTTCTCGATAGTAATCAGTTCTCGATAACAATGCGTGTGGTTAAAATAGACGTATTTCGAGAAATCGCACATGTTTTCTATTTGTCGGGATTTCAAGGACAGAACAAAAACTCAATTCAAGAAAGCAATAATTTCACCATTTCAAGTTTTCAGACATGGTACAACAGTAGAAATAATATTTTCCGATTTTAACCTACTTTTCCTTATTCCCAAAACTACCCCAACTTCATCCCCTCGGTTCATAAATAGCACGTTTTTAAATGTAAACAAAACTTAGCCCGAAAAGAAGGTCAATTCCACATACGTAATACACAACCGTTAGATGTGGTGTGACGTCGCTAAGGAAAATAAATTGCTTCACTGAGCGCAGCTGGATACGACTGCAGATGTCCAACCCTGAAAAGTTGGGGCCAAAATGGACACAATATTCACGCTTGATACAGGTCTGAATTTGGATTGTAATTAAATTTTTACACATAATAGGTTTCTGACACAGAATAACTGTAGTCAAAGAACTTCAAATTGGTTATATGATTTGAATTTATATTCAATTTTTTGATTTTGTGCAATAAACTATGCGAATTGACCCCCCCCCCCCCAAAAAAAAAAAAATTTTACCCCATTTTTTTGCGTTTGTGCAATTCACTATGCTGTTGAATATTAACCCCCCAAAAAAAATATAATTTCTGAAATCTGAAATGAGAAAAATTGTCCCCCTCCAATTTTTTTCACCTCCCCCTTTCCCTTACTGTGGATTCATTTATTTTCGTGGGTATCAATTTTCGTGGATAGAGAAAAAAAGACGTTTTGTGGTATACGTAAATTCGTGGATCGCTGATTACAAAAAAAAAAAAAAAAATCAGATACGTAATTCGTGGATTTCTTTTTGATTTTGGAGATCATATAACCTCCTTGGTTTGATCAATAATAAAACAAACAAAAAGAAGGAATTCATTGAAAAAGTTTTGAAAATGTCAAAATCCTCGATTGGTCATTCTAAGTTATAGTGTTCATTGAAAACTTCTATTACAATAATGGACAGAGACAACTCATTATTTGTTTGTTTTACAATTTATAAATTCTTGTCGGAATTATATAAGGCATTCAAAACTCTATGATTGAAAGCTCATATCCCTAATCACGATATAATAAACAGTCGATCATATAAGTTAAAGGTGTGAAAATAAATGTTACTATCATAAACAATATTACCTACGGGCAATATCCTGGTACTTAATCCTATTTATTTTGAATCACCAGTAAACCAAACCATGACACGGTAATTAAAAACTTGCAGTTATTTTCCATGAACAGTTTTAATCAATTTTAAAAAGTAAATCATCACTGATATTCGATATTTTTATTATTGATTTAATCAAAATACTTGTATCTTCTTTCAATAAAAACATGTGTTATGTTACAATGTTTATCGCTAGTCAACACTCTACTAGAACTGCATAACATAACCAGAAATAAACATCCGAATCCATACACATTTCGCGGGATTATTCTTTGTTGAATTCTTAAATTCGTGGTTTGCTGTGACCCACGAAACCCACTAAAATTGGTATACCACGAATAAAAATGAATCCACAGTATTCCAAAAAATAATTCTTTCCCTCAAGTTATGGTCAGTATCTCAGACAATCATCATTTCTTAATACATAATTACAAGCAGTGTAAGGAAGGTAATCAAACATTGTTATTTAAATTGATTTGGATTTTGATTTGGATTACCTCCCTTACACTGCTTTAAAATTGTCTCAATTGTCCTTTAACCAGAAAAACCCTTGTTTTTACCCTTTTTTGCCCCTAATTCCTAAATGGTTTGAGCCATAACCCCCCAAAATCAATCCTTACCATCCCTTTGTAGTATGGAAACTTGTGGTATAATTTCAGAGAGATTCATACACTTTAACACAAGTTATTGTCTGGAAACTACAAAAATGCTTATTTGGGCCCCTTTTTTGGCCCCTAATTCCTAAACAGTTGGGACCATAACCCCCAAAATCAATCCCAACCTTCCTTTAGTGGTTATAAACCTTGTGTTAAAATTTTATTGATTTCTATTTACTTATACTAAAGTTATTATCCGGAAAGCATCTGTCTTCGGACGACGCTGGCGACGACGATGACAACGTGATACCAATATACGACCAAAAAATTTTTAATTTTTTGCGATCGTATAAAAATCTATGGAACGCAGTTTGTGGCATATCTTATGAACTTTTAAATTTAATTCAATTCAATTATCGGTAAAGTAAATATTGTTACTGTGACAGTAAAATATTAATAACAGCTGTGACAACATCTTATAACATATTAGAATTGGTTCAATAATTTAAAACCATCTAAAATATATTAAAGATTAATATTCAATGCATATTTTTGTCCTTGAGTGAAAATTCCTAGGATATCTGTTAAAGATGCCTAAATTGATTGATAAGGCTTAAATTCATAAAAAATTATTTGTTTCTAGAGACAAATGATACTTAATTGATATTTTTCTTCAATTTGCGTTATTTTAAATCCTCTATTAATATCAAACATGCATACCATACTATACTTTTCACAACTATGGAGAACTGATGACGTATTGCACATAGTGTCAAAATTGAGCACAACAAAAGATGTTTTGATTTTTCTTGATTTACGCAAGAAAAAATCGTGAAGATAAGGGGAAATAAATACAAGTATCTAATAAACTAACACAATCAACTTTGACTACATTTATTTGGAGAACTGGCCCTACAGTGAAAAAGTTTATTACACTATCGAGAACCGATAACACTAGGATACTGTAACTTGGTATCAAACTAAACATGTGTAACAGTATAAGATCAATTTTCCCAGTACTTTTTGGTCTCATTTCACAGATAAGACAAAAAAATTCAATGTAAATCAGATCATTTACTCAAAACCTGTATAATACTGGTTTTATGCAGATAGAATCAATCAACGAAATCAGTCTTCCTGTTGCTGCCTTCCCTTGTTTCACTTTTTCAGCTGGCATTCATTTCAATCATTGTACATTCTAAGCTACAAATCTCCAACAAAGGTTAAATCAAGGGTCTCATGAACTCAAATTTGCAAGCCAATGAGCCAATAATACATCAGCGATATTTATTAGTTTAGATTAACAAAATTGAACCAAACTGACTGATAATAGCTAAATTTTATTTCAATATTCCAGAATTATAAATGTACATCTAAATTGAAGCTAATGCATCTTTAAAATGCATGAAACAGCTTGGTACAGACCAAAACATCATCATACAGTCAATCTTCATTCATTCCGTAAATCCTAATCTTTAACTCGAGGCTATAAAGAGCCTGTGTCGCTCACCTGCATCTTCAACAATAGCCATTTTTTAGTAAAAATCATCATGAAAGGGCAATAACTCTATAAAGAGTTAACTGACAATTTCATTCATGTTGACATATTTGTAGATCTTGTCTTGCTGATAATTTAAGCTATATAAAGTTTCTATTTTATCTATTATAGATTTAAAAATAAAAGGCAAAAATGGAAATAAAATCGTCATTTAAGGGAAATAACTTCAATAAGGAGTCAACTTACAATTTTAGGCATGTTTGACTTCTTTGTAGATCTGGACTTGGTGATTATTTTTGCTATCAAAAGTTTCTTTCTATCTATTGTAGTTTTTAAGATATAAGGCAAAAACACAAAAAAGGTTAAAATCGTCATTAAAGAGCAATAACTCCAATAAGGAGTCCTCTGATGATTTCAGCCTTGTTGACTTATATGTAGAAATTTGACTTTTAAGGGCTCTAACTCCTAAAAAAGTCATCTGACAATTTTGACATAAATAGACAGCAGGTAGATCTTAACATTTCTGCCCATGTCAGATTTCTCTACTCAAAGCGGTTTTCAAGATAATAGACAAAACTTGCATTTTACTCCTATGTTCTATTTTTAGCCATGTCGGCCATCTTGGTTGACAGGCAGTGTCATTGGACAAATTTTTTAAAATATATTTCCCAATAATGATTGTAGCCAAGCTTGGTTAAATTTGGACAAGAAGTTTCAAAGTAGAACATTTTTGTTTAAAATTTTACGGACAACAACGACGACTGACGACAGATGCCAAGCGATGAGTAAAGCTCACTTGGCCTTTAGGCCATGTGAGCTAAAAATGTATACAAATCAACACTATACCTTCAGCACCTCTAACTTCAGGAAAACTAAGACCTTCTTTTTCTCTTTTCTCCGGACTTTTTGATTTGAGTTTATCATGAAGAAAACTTTTCTCTGATTGAAATGGCTGTGGACTTAAAGTACTACTGTGGTGATTTGTTAGGTTTTTCTTTTGCATGTGGGAAGGAGTCTTCTTCACCATCTTGTCACTGACCCTGAAAATATATTGACAATCATTTTTTTTAAATGCTGTAGTTCAACTGCAATAAAACTAATAGAAATGAAAACATCAATGTTTGGGTTTTTAAGTAAAAACACTAAACTGTCAAATAGATTGAAATTTCATTACTCATTACATCAAGACATGTTAAAGAACCAAATTATCAAAGCTGAAAAATAGAAGTAAAATATCATGCAAATTAAAAAAAAACAAGATCATGCATTCAAAAAATACTTTTTGCATAAAATGAATGCAAACTTTTCCATGTTTCAAATTAAGATTAATACCGGTAAGTTAAAAAAACAAAACAATTAATGTACTTTCAAATTAAATCACATTTGTAGCAAAACTGATAATAAATGCAAGTTTCACACTGGCCAAGAAGATATACTTGCAGAAAATGCAATTTGTTTTAGTAATACTTTGGATATATCAAAGTGAAATAATAAGCAATTTATCTAATAAAGGTTTTGAGTATACATCAATTAATTTTGACACACAAATGATGTCATAAAAGCAAATTAAAATAAAGTGTAAATTTATTACAAAGTAGTTTAACAAACAATCAGCATCTTTAAAGATTGATATATATAAATGTCTCCTCAACACGTTGAGTTAACCACAGTGGAGAGCTCTAAATTACAATCATCTATTTTTTAAGCAGAGAAAGCAATTAGTTTAGATGAGAAGCAGACATTTTACTCAAACAAAAGAGCATAATAAAACTAAGTCTGATCCATAAAAGGTATAATAACTTTTTGTAAGCGTCAATGAAGAATTTCTATGACTAATTTAAAAAGCAAATTATGATGTAATACCCATGTTAACAAATACATTCGGCTGTAAAATATACAATTCATCAATCTTTTATGTCTCTTCAAGTCCTGAGTATTCAATATTTATTTGAATAACCCCCATTCACTTTACATAAATTATATTCAATGAATATATGATTGAGAAATCAACAGTCTGTAAAAATTTCTTAACAAATCTAAAATACTTTTATTCTAAATGAGAAAATAAAAGGTAACGATAAAAGATAATCATATAACGTGCATGTCGCCAGCCTTAAACAAACAATTACATAATTCGTAAACGATGTTAGTAATTCATAAGATAATGTGTCTGATATAGAATAGTTAAGAAAAAACCTGATTACAGCTGTCAAGAAGTGTTAGATTGAAAAAATAAATCTGAACGAGATCAATTATCTAAAAGTGGTAAAAAACCAGTCGATAATTAATCAAAATAAATTATTTATTAACTAACAATTTCAATTTAAAGCATTAAGTAATTGACCCAATTCCTCAATAAATATATAAAACCAAGTACATCTCAATTTTCTTGAAACAGCCAATCCCATTATACCTTGCATTTCTTCGTAATTCGGTTATCCAACTAGAATACAAAAAGGAAGCAATTCATTTCATCTACAGAGCTTGTATTATCAACTGAAGAGAGAAGGAATCTGAAAAATCTTCAAATAAATATCCTTCCTTTTAAATTTATATTCTTTTTTTTGACACAACTTAACAGTCTTCACAATAAAGTTGTGCAGCAACAAGCCCATCATAATTTTTTTGAAAATTTTGTATAGATTCTATTGATTGGTCGGTAGAAAAAATTCTTACCCCAATAGAAATTTCATTACCATGGGCTAGTGAGTCTGTGACCAGGCATGAAGAATTAGATTGCAACTTTTTAAGAAACAAGTTATTCTGAGTGCTTGCAAATCGTCAAAGTGCATGAAAGATTGAGACAGTTATTCCTTTTTCTTTTTTTTTGGGTGAAGTTAAGCAAGCCAAAGATCTGGCTGTGCAAAACACACAATATTGTCACTTCACCACTTACCATGCCTGAGGTGTCCCTCGATCTCTGTTAATTATCAAAATTAACATTCATAAAATCTTTTCAAAAGTTACTGACATTAAATATTTATTCAAGTATTTGAACAACAATTAATCATATTCTTACATTTAGCTTCCTACATGTTATTGTTTTAATTTTTAAAATCTACTACATGTATCTATCATCTGCTAAAATTCAGCTTAAATCTGTTTTTACATGTAATGTATATTCCAGCTCATAAAATTTTTTGACATTTTCTCCTTTTCTTTTTAAAAAAAAAAATATTGTAATAATTTTTATGGTGCTCCATTACAATTAACATCATGTATATCAACAAGGTCTATTTGTTATAACACTGATTCAGCCAAACCTAAAAACTGTGTATTTTTTTCCAACTCAATGTGACACAAGCATAATACCTTTCAATAACTTAAAACTCCCAAAAAACACACTTGCATAAATTAGTATTCACAACACAATTTTCTTGATTACAAAGAAACTGCATGATGAAATGAAGTGGTATCTTTGACTTCAGACATACTATGAGCCAAGGTAAAACAAAAAAGTTTGTACAACTTCTCTGAAAACAAACAATGCATTGTAAAACATTCTATCTGTCAAGAACTATCAATCCTTAACTGAAAGGATGAATACGGCTAAAATTCCCGAAATGTTTGTAGATTCACAATAGCTCATATATAAATTTCAACTTTGTATACCATTGATGGAAATAAAATATTTTCCTTGTTTTTTAGCATTTAGAAAACAATTGGCATCATTAACCAAAAGTGATTATTTTGCAAGCATCCTTAGGTTAACCTGTGTAGTTATAAGTCTCAGAACCTCATATAACTCAAAATGGGTGTAATTTCTAAAACTTCAAGCTTTCAACCATGAATTTTCAATGAAATCTTCAGTTTGACAACTATACCATGAATGTAAGTAATGCTGTAGCATTTATAAAATTTCCAAACTCAGTTTCATGTTTCATTCAAGATACTAAGTTTTCACTTTCTTAAATAAATGTTGCAACCACAAATCTAATTTGGTATTGATAATTGATTTCTTTTGTGTATTTAAAGGGGTATGAACCTGCTACCAGTTTTGAAAAAGGGTATGTATTATATACCTAAAGGGGTATGAACCCGCTACCAGTTTTGAAAAAGGGTATGTATTACATATCTAAAGGGGTATGAACCTGCTACCAGTTTTGAAAAAGGGTATGTATTATATATCTAAAGGGGTATGAACCTGCTAACAGTTTTGAAAAAAGGGTATGTATTATATACCTAAAGGGGTATGAACCTGCTAACAGTTTTGAAAAAAGGGTATAGATGTATATTTAAAGAGGTGTATACTAGTGCTTCCAGTTTTGAAAAAATACAGTATGAATAGATGATATGATAGCAATGAAATGAAGGAGAGATTATTCCCAATAGGATGATTTTTGCAGCACTTTAATGCTACATCCTCTGATCAGATTTTAAACTATATGACAAATTTTAAATTAATTTTTGATCATCTGGCTTACTTTTCCTTGGCTTTTTTCAATTTTGTATGAATTATACATGCACATTGTGGAATGGGAATTTTCTAGCATCTCAAAATTTAAAATATTTGATATAAAACTTCAATTTTACTTTGATGTAAAGAAAATCTCACAGCACAGCCATGATAATATGAAAAGTCTTTATTATGGCACTCTTGCTTTATAGCAATTTAAAAACCTGAAATTTCAGTTATTATGTGTAATATAATTATTATTTTCAACATTAACCAAAGCCAGAATAGAAATTTTACTATTATATAAAATGTACTTAAAAAAAAACTGTGATAAAATTTACAATTTTAACAATAAACTAATCTACTCTAGTTTATGGCGATCAAAAAATAATTTCTAAATTAACAGAATGACTGATGAGAATGATAACTGACATTTGTCCATCAGCCTGAAGATCGTTAGAAGCAGAAACTATCTTGTTAGAATATTCCGCCACCAAATATAATTCCGATCTGTGTTCTCCTTACCTTAATGGGGGAGGACCAAAAAATATTGGAGAGTTCGCTATCGGACTTGCCATTTGTACAGAGGCAACACTAGGCGACAAACTAGGAGTGAACGAACCTGGTGTCATTGTAGGTGTAAAAGGTGACATACTAGGAAAAGGACTGGAAAAATAAGTCATTGCATTTTTAATTCCTTTATAACACTGATTCAAAAATGGTGTATATTGATCAATCTCAAATAAAAATAAATTTAAAAGAATAAACCAAATAAATATTTGATACATGTTCCTGGTTCTTGTACAATTAAAAACTAATTCACCATCTGATATATTTTCGTTGTGTAACCTCAGTGTATTAGGACTGTTCCATTAAAACATACATGGGACTCAGGGAAGGAATTCTGAAATTTCAACTATGCGTGAATGTTCAGTTCAGTGAAATTGTTAATGTAATTCTTAATTTCACTCTATAGGTTTTTATACCATTTTGAAAGTGCCTCTCCTTGATACCATGTATGTTTAAATGGGACAGCCATAAGTAAATTTTATGAATCCTAGCTGTAATTTGCTTTGAAAAATTGATTCAGTTTTGATTTTCCTTTTTTTTCTTTTTAACCTTCTCAGTTTTTTTAATCAATGTCTATAAAATCATTATCTTTCCAAATTTCCATGCTGTATTTTAATTTATTAACAATACATCCATATTAAGTTATTAGTTCAACAGTATCATGCAAATAAATACATGCAATATTTAATACAAAAATAATAAATTTAACATATTTCTGAAAATGATTTAAAAGTATGATGTTCTATGAATGATGCAAAAATGACTTGAATACTGAATGACAAATGAAAGAGATACAGATGTTTCAGAAGTTATGAATGTTAAAAAGTGATCTGACACATTATAATGAAAATGATCTTTTTTTCTTTGAAATGAATAAAAATGAATAAATTACCAAATCTTTGAAAAATACATTATACTGATACATCCAGAATAGCAAGTGTGTAAAATAAATTTATTAGGATTTAAAAAATTTGTAATTAAGGATAATTTGTAAATAATTAATAAATTCAAACAAAGGGGGAAAAGCCAAAAGTGAAGCGTTATATTTTTGTATATATATATATATAAGAAGAAATGGCTGCTCTTATGTTAAATAGACTATACTATGTTATATAGAGAAAATGTTGTGATACGATACCTTAAAAAGTTAAAGCACTGGGATTTAATGACAAGAACTGGTCTGCTGAGGGAAAAAAATCTAATTAATAAATAATATATAATGGAATTAACAATGGTTTGTTTTTATTTGATATACATGTAAAAAATTAATCTGGACATTGATTTAACAACAAAAATGATATTGCACATGAAGAACTTTCAGCCTCCGTTTTTAAAAGATTAAAAGGTATAACAGAAAGGTATAATTCTTGCTTATCATGAACACAGATCTTTAAAAGCCTTCTGCAGCTTGAAGCAACACATCCCTACCCCTTCTAAATAATAATGTTATTTGAAAATTAAATAAAAATCTGGTATACAACGGTATTCATGTAAGAGTCACTGTATATATGACATGTATGTATTCAAGTACACTGTTGATGTTGATGATTTACACAGGGAAGCTACAAATGTTCATTTTGTGCACTTTTTAGGGTACAAAAGTCTACAGGAAATTATTGATGATTATTTATTTAGATGTGTTGATGGGAGATACAAATGTATAGATTGTACTAACTCCAGAATATACAATGAACAGATATATAGACATGCAAAATAATTCTCAATTCATTTTGTGTACCAATGTACAGCAAAACTTAATAATAAAATGTCAGCAGCCTTTTATATGCTCCTGCAAAACTTAAAAGAAAATAATAAAGATTCATGGGACTTTTATATTCTTTGAATCACTGATATGCAAAATAGATTATACTTCAAAATTTTTCTATGTCTTAATATAAATTCTTTCAATGATCATTCAAACACACCTTAACAAATAATTTTAAATAATAAGTTTTAAGTTTTGTTAACTTTACATTTGGTGTTTGCTGGTTTTTTTTCTTCAGGTAAACATACTGCATTAAGGAGAAAGAGCAAAGACAAGTCGATTTGAAGTCAATGAATTTGTCTGATTATGCAGAGATGTACCTTACAAACTGACTACTAAAGGATACCAGAATATGCTACCAGTATGCTTTTTATGTATGTCTGCATTATACGATAAAGCCTATACAACAAGAACAATAAAATTGAAAAAGAAAGGTTTTTTAAATGTAATTATGAATACAGGGCAAAGTTCATCAGGGAAATATGTATCCAAAACTATCAATATCAACATTTTATTTCTGCAGGCTATTTTCTACATCTAATGTATGTTTCTTTCTACAGAAATAGTAACTTTCTAGTTTTATCATGACAATACTAACTACTAGCAGTGTAAGCAATACATTGATAAGCTACATTATCAAATACCAAATCAAATGTCCATAATTATCCACAAAACTGCAAAAATGTTGACCTACAGAAAAGTGTGATAGAGTAAGCAATGCTTAAACACCAAAGTGTGATTTATGTGATAAAGCTACCAAGAAATGTCTTTATTTGTATTAATGTAGCGCTTTGAATTTTTATTTAGTGGTATATAGCATTTTAAAAGTTTGTTTGATATTAAATTTTAAATTTTTATGCTATATGAAAAAATAAATTCCTACTGCTATCTGAAAGTTAAATATTTTTATCTTTGATAAAAAGAAGAATGTCAAATTCTTTATAAATATTTATCTAGACAAGATGAGCCTTAAATTCATTTTTTTTTTTTAATTTAGAGGAAACATAGACCCATCTTTGTTTTTTTTTCATAATTCTGATTCATTCTCTATAGAAAAAGAAAGATATTGTTTTCAATTTCAGTAATATCATCCCTTAACTTTTAACAGAGCATTGAAGAATTATTGCCAAAGTAAGATATTTTTGAAATTTTCTTCTTTACATGAATAGACCATCTTAACTCTGACAACAGTTTTACAACAAATTAAACAGACAACACCAAAACTTTGACTACTGTTACCATGGAAACAAATACTAACCTGGTTATTGAAGGCATTGACTGTGGATTATTTGTAGTAGAAACATGATTAGTTTGACCAGCATTATTCACAATAGGAGGTATTGAAGGTGTTGTCTCTTTAATTCCTTCACCATTTTCTTTAATATCCTTCTCATTTTCTTTATCACTTTTCCTATCAATTTTATCAGTTTTTTCCTTGTCTTTTGTTTGATCTTTGATAATTTTATTGTCTCTTTCTTTGACATTATTAGACACTTTTGAGTCTTTAATCATTGTCTTTTCCTTTTCACGTTGGTCTCTGATATTTTTCTCTTTTTCCTTCTGACTATCCCCAGATGGGGATTTAGCATTTACAGGGGTCAAACTCGTGTTTTGCTGTGAAGTCTTTTTAGCAAGTTTTTCTGTTTCCTTTTTGTTGTCTTTCTTATTGACATCCTTTAAATAAAAAAATATTTACTATGTTAAGTATTTCTACTGAAAGTAGTTAGCTAATGGTTTTGGATCCAAATTTAAGGAATCTATTGAGTATGCCTCCATTTTTGCAAAATCAAGACATTAATGAATGATTAATTGAGTGACTGATTGGTGTTAAACGCCACTTTCAGCACTATTATGATATTTCCTGGCAGTAAGTTTGTATTGGTGGAGGATGAACGAATATAAAAAATGATAGATTTATGTAATCAACTGAAAATAAGATTGATTACAGATGAACAAGAAAGAAAAAGAAAATCAACTGTTTTTGCAGTAAAATGTGAATTCAAGTGAAAATTATCCAATAGTCAATTTGTTAATATGGTAGTCTTAATATTAGATTTTAATTTGATTTAAGGAGTAGGTTCCATTAGAGCCCAATATGGTCCCAATTTCTAGCTTTAATTTCAAATAAGGATTTATTCTTCATTTTCACAATGAATAGATAAAAAATCAACCATTTTACCTAAACTGTACATATTAGCGTTCATTCCATGATGTCACAAATAGTACAATTTTTTATTCTCCACAAGATTCTATGAAAACAAGTCAGTTTCCTATGTTTTTAGGACCGGAAACACATAGTGTGCATGGGTAGTTTTTTTGGGACAATCTGACTTGAATTTTTAGTTTGTCTAACCCCTGCACTCTATCCTTCCTAGGCCTTAATGTGGGTGAAATTAAGACAACTTTCAACAAAGTCTCTACTTTTTGTATAATTGGGATGTAAATGTCAACGCTTTATAAGAAAACCTCCACATTAATAGTTCTGTTTCACTATATGTTTATTCCTCTACTTGTAACACTATTAATTGGAAACAATGGACTTAAAAATTTGTGACTAAAAAGGGCCCTTGCCGAACTTACTCCTTTGACAGAAATGCCATTCCTCAATGTAAGCTATTTTAAATTCATTTAATTCATTCAATTTAAAATCATAATTTTTATCTTATAATATACATTTTAAAGAATTTTTTTTTGTAAAAACCTTATTATCTTTAAGATCATTAATTTTTTTCTTTTTCTTGATATTTGATCCTTTGGCATCGTCTCCGTCCTCTTTTTCACTAGACGATGTTTTTATTAATGGATTATTGTGTGTCTCTCTGTGTACTTTCTGTTTCAGATCATGTTGAATTCTAGTAATAAAACCATCTTTCTGGAAAAATTCATGTTTCAGTAACTGTGTACATGTAGGTCTATCATCAGGATCTAGTCTTAAACTTTGCTGAAATCAAAGAGAAATATTTGATATGACATTTCTTTGTGATCATCTTGTTATCCAGTAGGTGTAATTTAATATCAGAAGTTAACTGAAAAAATGAAGTAAGCAAGTCTTTTATGAAATAGTTTACATCATTATTCATGGTCTCAAAGAAAATGTCCTTGACCCCATTGTTAACCTGGACCTTAATATTTTCATCAGTGAGTTATTTCCCTTGCCAGAATTATCTTTTTTGTTGTACATAGCTGAATACTTTTGATGATAATCAGCTAAGTATACAGACAACAGCAAGAAGAAGATATAAAAACTATTTTTTTATTTATGTTTATTTCCTAGTGCATTTATTCATTGTATTGCATACTGCTTTTACACCAGCAAAAATGATTTTCTTGGACAGGAATGTTATCATAATGCCTTTACCGGTGTATATAAACTCTTTGATCTAATATGAATACCAAATTATTATAGATACATGCATGTTGAATACAGTTAGTTTTTTTCTGAAGTAAAACAAGATTGTACACATTATCTAGGCTTAGCATACCACTGCTCTTAATTCAAAGTATCGAAAAACAGGAAATCTTAACATGATAATACATGCAAGACAGAAGATATTATACATGTTGGTTTAGTTTATTCAATGGAAATGAAGCTAGCTTACATTTTATATCATGCACTGACAATTCTACACAACAAATTTCCTTTAGTTCCAGAGTACAACCAAATAATAGTGAAATTTGAAATGAGCAACTTTACAACTCCAAATATAGAACTTTACAACTCCAAATATAGAACTTTACAACTCCAAATATAGAATGTAAATGACCTTTTTGGGAACTGACCAGTTAAATTTGAATCTTATCAAGAACTAAATAGAACAATTGTTAGGAACTGTTTAAGTAGTTCGACTTTATATTTGCCTTGATTTCACCTAAGCTATTTTTGTTTCAACACGTTTATTTTGTAAATAAATATCTCTACAATTTATGCAAACCTATACACTAGTTATCAGCCAGCATATTTATCATATGTATATTGATCAAATTACCAACCTATATTCCAGATAAGTTTGCTTCTGTCAGGACTTTTTATAGAAAGCTGACATTTTACTCTTATCAATATATACAGTGAAAGCTGATGTCTTCAAACATTAAGCTTTATACATCACTTTTCAAAGGTCTTGCTTTTTAAATTTTAACCAAGAATTTCATAATTGTGCTGCCATGATCTATAGCCAATTCCTTTACAATGTAAAACTAAACAAAATAAACATCAACAAAAAATTAAGGCTTCACTGTAAAATTGAAGTAATGGCTGTAGCATGATATTTGGTATTTAATTAAATCTACCTTTTAATAATATCAATATTGGCTATTTTCTCCAATATACTTTTATTATTTCTTAATGTCTATGTATGGATAGAGGAATTTTAAAATCCTATTAACAAGCACTTTACAGATAATAAAAGCTATAAATAAGCACTTCACTCCGGAATTACCTTCATTAAATCTAAAGCGAAGGAGGATATTCTGTTGAATTTCTTTTCTAATGGCACTGTTTCCTTTACTTCAGGGATTCTCATACCAACAAACAAAGGGTTTCTAAGGAACACTTCTTTGTGACGAGGTGTAAGATTACCTTTAAAGAAAGCATAAAATATATATGCATATTATTCATGTTAGTTTTATAAAAGGCATGTCTTTATAAGATGTGTGTACTTCACAGAAACAGCAACCTAACGACACAAAAAAAAACACAGTGGGTGTCAATATTCTCATGTAACTTTTCTTTAAACTGTTTGAACAAAGGGCAGCATTATTTCATCAATCCATAAATAATAAATTTTAGTAGATAATGGCCATAGGAGACTTTGAAATTTATGCACAGTGAGAACCAACATGTTCCATCAAGTTGTTTACACTGATTGACCTTGGGTCAACGGGTGTAACTCATTCATAAAAAAACAACCCAAGATCGATCTCTATAACTTTATAGTGTCCTTCTTTTCTCTTGGAAATTCACTATTCTTTTGCATATAGTTTTTCCATTCAAAATATACAGGTTTTTCCTGACATTTAAATAAAACGCACAGTCCATTTATCTACATATATTCATACTGCAATAAAACCATCATGATGAAAGGAGAATATTCCTTTTAACTTCCTTTCTAAAACACCACAATTAGGAATTCCAAGAAAGCAATTCCTTGGTATGCATTTATTTTCATGAATTCTTAACACACCACCATTCATGCCATTGGGAATTCCAAAATAGCAATTTCTTTGTATGCATCTATTTTCCAGAATTCTAACTGAGAATCTGATATATAATTAAAACTTGTAGATAAAAGTATGTAAATAATTTACCAAAGCATTTAACTATATGATAGAGTTGATCAATATCTGAATCTCCAGGAAACAATGGTTCACCAGTAAGCATTTCTGATAATAAACAACCTATTGCCCATATATCCACGGCTCTGTAAAAATTAAATAAAAAGTTACAATACTGTGGCTTTATCATTATCCATGGGGTACTCATTTTTATTGATTTCATGGGTATTGATTATCAACAAATTTTACTGTTCATCAAAACAAATATTTCCTATGGAATTGTATAGGCAATTTGTCAATCACAAGAAATCAAGTTTTCATGAAAATAGAATTTCCTCAATTCATAAAATTGATACTTATGAAAATAAAAGAATTTACAGCATCTTTAAACAAAAACAAAAACATTTCTGTATGATATTTTGATGTGATGCATGTTTTTTTGCATAGCTGATATCATTCATTGGACCTTAAATACAAAAACCTACAGTCATATATCCAATCCAATGTGAGTTTTTATTCATCATTTATCCATATAAGATCCAAAATTAGACTGTATTCAATTTAATTATTAACCCTTAAATCGTTCCTTATTGTAAATAGGATATGAATGATAACTTATTACTTGTTTGTTTATTAATTAATGCTGCTTTCAAAAAAGTTTTGACAAACATTGTTTTGCAACCTTTGAGAAAGTTTTTTCACATACATTGTTTTGCTACTTTTTCAATCATCTGGGACTGTCATTTCTAACATGATTTTTTTACACGAAGAGAATTATATTGTCACTGTTTTGTTCTGAGCAAAAATATCAACATTTAGCAAGTTTCTGACATGAAAATGTAATATTATTTCATTTGGAGGGTTGCATTTTGTATTGTCAATTTACAAGATATTGTAACATGATTCTTATTAGAAATTCACATTGTCTCCTCTGGGACTTGAACCCTGGACCCCTGATTACAAGTCAGCGCTCTAATTGACTGAGCTGAAGAAGTACTTCCATAGTCCAAGCCGTTATGGCTAGCTAAGTATCTATTACTCAAGAGAAGTAATCCAATCACACTTCCACAATTTCGCTTCTACAAAATCCACATTAGTCACTGATATCAACTTACTTTCCATATTTTGTATCTCCGACTAGTAATTCTGGTGCCCTGTACCACCTGGTAGCTACATAATCTGTATAAGATTCTCCAGGTTGTGCAAGAGTTCGTGCAAAACCAAAATCACACAATTTTACTACACCCGATTTACTAACTAAAATATTTTCTGGTTTTACATCACGATGAATGATCTGTAATAAAAATCAATTATTCAATACATAAAAAATTTGTAACATTATGAAAGAAAGATGATATTTTTTGTTTGCTTTTAAACCTTAATACTGATACTTTAATTTTCACTTTAGAAGCAGAGGGGATTCAGGAATTTTGAAAGGAGGCCCTGTGAATTCCAGAAAACCAAATTTTTACGAAAAGGCGAAATACTTTTGGATGAATTTATGCTAAAGGAAGTCATGAAAATCGTGAAAAACACAAGATTGTTTTGTTGGTGATATAAAAAAAAGGGGGGGGGGGCCTAAAAATATGGTTACATGTCTCTTGACAGTCATGGACTATGTATGCACCTGTTACAAAAAAAAAATTAGGTCATTATGTTACCTAATGGATATCAAAGGTAGCAAATTTTAACTAGACATTTGGCCAAGTAATTATTCAGCCATACATGGAAAATATTGTGCTTTACTGGACTTTCATAGATATAATTCTTTTTGTTTTCTATTTATATACTGTAGCCTAAACTTAATTAAAATCTAATTTTCTCATACTGGCTAAATTTTTTGGGGCAATGGACTTCTTTCCTAAAGACCTTCAAAATGGCTCTAAACTTTCTGCACTAATGTCCTTTAAAAGCAGTCAATTAAAGGTTACTATATGTGACAAGGACCTACTCATTGCTGTAGAACATATATTCTAGGATACATATCAATATCTATATAAAGATACATTATCTGATTATATTTTGTTTTAATAGAAAAAAAATAAAAGTGTCAGTTTAATCTTAAGAGTTCAGTTGGTTTTAAAAAAATGCAAGGTTTCCATTTATCTGTGGAAATGTCTAGATTTGTGACAACTGTCAAACTTAAGGGCATACATTTTTTGCAGAGTGTTCTAATTTATAGGCCTTTAAGTTCGTTCCTTAAATGAAAGTTTGTGATATCATACAATTATTGGTAATAATAAGCCGGAGACAATTTTCTTGCCAATAAAAAGACATACAGAAAAACATAAACCATAAATTTTTCTTGCTATTTCGATAAATAACATTCTTGAAGCAGAACATAGTTGATCGCAAAAGAAAAAAATGGGGGTCCATGTGCTAATTTTTTTACTACAAATAAGAAACTGAGTTTTCCAAAGGCTGGCAATTCCATTTGCCTTTTTTGTTTATACCGGTATATATATATACACATTTTCTTTTGCAAATACTTTCAAATCTATGCAACCAATTTGATAATGTTAGTGATTTTCTGCAAATTTTGGATGCTTATCATTAGCAATGTTGCCAAAACAACATGTTAAATTTGGTTGGATTATAATTATATCATATTAGTATCTGCCCTTGCTACTGTAAACCAGTAAACCATCTACAGTGGATTCATTTATTTTCGTGTGTACTAATTTCGTGGATTGAGGAAACTTTTTCGTGGATATTTGATTTCATGGTTTTGCTAATGTCTGCATACATTCATGTAGAAAATGTGTAATTAGTTGGACATTAAAATTTGTTGTTCCCCTGTACCCACGAAATCCACAAAAATTGGTATCCCACGATTAATAATGAAACCATAGTCTAATAAATTTCCAAAAAAGAATAAAAACTGGAGGTATGGGATTAAAGAACTTTCACAAAGCACCAGTATGTTGATCTACTTCCTTGCCAAAAGCATGCAGACGTGACAAATACACCTTACCAAGGATTTAAAATCTTTTTATAACAACTATTTGTGAAGATATTAATTAAGATTAGTATGTTTTTTATTTGTGCACATGTAAGTTTGTTAATAATAAATGATTAACAAATATTGTGATAAGTATTATTAAAACTGTGCTGTTTGTTGGTTCAAACAAACAAGATTGAATTTCCAAAGAATCATATTTCAAAATATTTAGAAGCTTAAGTTATGAAACGAAAGCAAGTAAGGGATATTTTTTTGGAAAGCAATTTTAATTATTGCAAAAGTTCTTTCAGGCAGAGTTCAAAAGCAAACTAAAAACACAAATGAGATATATCAGACCAAGTTTTTTTCTGACCCCACATATAATTGAATGGCCTGAAATAAAGCAATTTCAGTCTTTGAAATGTGGTCACTTTACTGTTTACAGCAGGACCCATTAAAAATGGTTTGCCTCTTAATAACAACATTGTTCACTTTTGCTACAAGAAAAAAATTAAAGAAAATTTCCCTGTGATGTTTTGGAGTTTTAATATTAAATGCCCAACCATATTTAGAATTTTCTAAGGAGATCTTAGATAATTGCAATTGAATCAAGCTAAAATAACATATAACGGGTATCTAATTATTGCATTGCAGTTTTTTTCTCTTAAATTGAATGAAAGTCCAAGCTAAAATACATTTTGTAATACTTACATTATGTACATGACAAAATTCTACGCCTTTCAAGACTTGCCACAATATTCTACGAACAGTGTTTTCATCTAATCCATTTGGACATTTTTCTAGTTCATCTAACACAGTATGATCAACAAATTCAAATACTAAATAAAGTCTTTTCTTTCTACGGAACACTTCTATTAAATTGACTAGGTGGTCATGTCGTAGTTGCTGGAAAGAAAAAAAAGACATTTATGCACTACATAAACTATCTTATCAATTCTATATCATTCTCTGCATGAAATGGCTTTGCAATATTCAAGTAAAAAGAGACCACCAGAGCAGGGGCGCAAACAAATATTAAGAAAAGTTCTGTACTTGATGCCTTTAAGACTTTTACTCACTCTGAAAACAAAGTTAAATTACTCCTTTGTCAATGCTTTGAGTTATAACCAACTTCAGACTAAGAAGGAAAAAGAAATTAAAAAAAAAAGTTCTCAAAAGTCTTGCTTGTCAAACCTATTCAATTCATTCTGCAGTGGTTCTCACAGCTTTGAGAAATCAATTGGATATTTGGTCCAGTAAAACATTCTTCTTAACTGGACCAGACTCTTTTTTACAGGACATTTACACCTATGATTCGGACAAAAACTAAAACTTTTACTAGTCATTTGGTCCTGTAATGCATATCACAGTGACACTTAACTGGACCAAACCAATTTTATTGGTCTTTGCACAATGTCCAGCGACCTTGGGAATGACTGATTCTGTCTAAGTTGTCTTATACAGTACTATGCTTTATTGAATGATACACTGTGCATTGTTTTTGCAGTGCCATTTTATCAAAATTTTAAAAGATTAGACCGTTGGTTTTCCCGTTTGAATGGTTTTACACTAGTAATTTTTTGGGGCCCTTTATAGCTTACTGTTCGGTGTGAGCCAAGGCTCTGTGTTGAAGACCGTACTGTGACCTATAATGGTTTACTTTTATAAATTTTGACTTGGATGGAGAGTTGTCTCATTGGCACTCATACCACATCTTCTTATATCTATTGAATGATGTGGAGGTTTTCTAATACCATGATGGCCCAAGACTGTCAAACCTCCCCTCTAGAGAAAAGGCACCTTCCACTGATCAAAGGTATTTGTACACATTTGCCAGAATAGATAGATTATATGATATACTGGGTTTCAACATGAGGTGGCACCAGGTACTTTTACCCTTCTAATATACATTATAGTAATGCCTGAAATTGCAGATTAAATATAGTTGAATAAGTTTATTACTAAAATTAAAATAACTTTCAATTTGCTTATAAATTTTCTTTCTTAAAAATCTAAAAACATCAATGCATTATTAATAAAGATTGTGAATAGTATAAACTTGTACCTCAAATTCTTCATGGGGGATACAGGTTCAACTCGTTTGTTAAAAAAGTAGGATAAAAAACGAAAATATTTGTTCTGAAATTTCAATCCATAGTTACATGTCTTAACATATATTTCAAAGCATGCATAAAGACCACATATACATATCAAATTAACTCATTAGAATTCTAAAGCAATACATATCTTTGTATTCTGGTTACAGTTCTAATGATTTTTGTTGGTTAACACAGCTTAAATGGTCACATAATAAGTGTATATTATGTAATAGCTACAAATTCCAGATTCTATTACAGTTGACAGGGGAACAGTCTGTTATCTTTACAGATGAGAAGTTATCATAGCACTGGAATGCAACTTGATAATGCTGTTTTATGTAATAGTTGAAATTTTCAATCAAGACAACCTGTGACTAACTGCATCCATGTTACATCATACGATTTTTTTAAAATGAAAAATTTTCAACAATGGCTTTCATTCCATTATCTAACAAAGCATATTGATATGAAAAACACTTACTTAAAAGCATTAAATTTCAATATTGGTATTAAAGATTGCAGCATGCATTAAATTTTATCAAGACCTTGAATTTAAAAAAGCAATAAGAGGAAATGCTTGATTTTGTATTTAGAACCCGTACATCTCCTACTTTAAATCTTTTCTTAGTTCCAAAATAAAGTCATTCTAAAGACAATTATTCAACCTGCACAAATCTTTGAAATCCAAAAGGTGTAAGTCACTGGTCAGATTATGAAACATGTATGTAGTACATGTATGGTGTAATTCTGTAAATGTTTGAATCTTAGGCAATATCTATCACAATAAATTTGGTCCAGATTTTGGTTCACTTAATGAAAACTAATCAGCATTTATTTTGAATGTAAATGTAAAAATTATACACTCACTAATCATACCTCCGCATATATTGAGAATATGCTGAGAAAAATGTGACAAAAATTACATATATATGATATAAGTTTTTAGAAAACAGGAAATAGAACCTTAAATGATCTGAAACATGTCATACAGTTTGGTTTTACTAGATGAAGCTTGGTGTCATATATATATATCAAGAAGCTATGACTTTTAGTTGCTGAGAGAATGTGACAATAATGTGTTACGACAAGGTTAAATCAGTATGCCCCTTTTTTGGAGTGGGAGTATCAAAATACTTCCAAATCCTCAATCGGAAATTTTATATTATATTACAGTATCATGCATGTTTACTATTTCAAGCTGTTCAAAATCAAATCAAATATGAAGTCATTAATCAGAAGACAATATAAATATACTCTTTAACTCTAATTAAATCAACCATTGATATCATAAAACCGTGATCTTCAGTACATGCTACACACACGGTAAAACAGTTGTTAAGCTCAATTCCTAAAGTGTGCCTATTAATACTTTTATATAACAAAAGACAATTGATTTAGACGAGCAATCTTATATGCTGAAATAAATAAGAAGTTAAATACAATTCAAAAATTATTTACGTGTATCAATAGATGGATTTTAATAAATTTCAATACATAACCAAAGGCAAACTAAAGCATTGATTTAAATTCCAAGTGTAAATGTGCTACGATTATAGGATCAAGTTAAGTATGAATACGAACAAAGTATTAACTAACCCGCTTTTAATACTGTCTTGATTAAATTGTAGATATTAGATTATTAATAAAAAATGGTCTATGAATATTAAATGATCTTTAAAGAATATCCTTTGACTTGAGTATAAAGCATTTAAAAGCACATATAAAAATGCAGGTACAATTCAAGCTGATTATATACCTTTTAATGAATTTTTACATGGCATTTCACATAAAACGTTAAATAATTATTTTAAATGGTGTCACTTCAGCTTTCACTATTTCAAAAACTTTCTGTTTGTTTGTGGTAGTAACTGCAATTAAGAAGTAATTAAACACAGCATATTAAGTAGGCCAGTCGTTAGGTGTGAGTGTTATTGGTGAGGGTAAATACAGAAAAGCGTTTCGGACACACAATATTTAATAAAGAGCTGCGCCATGAGCGCATGATAAGCCCATCGTTCTTTCAACCTATAAAGTTCCATAACTCCTCAATATCATATCAGAAATTTTAATAGAAATAAACTAGCACCAAAGTTTCATGAAAACTGCTCAAGGCACTTTTGAGTTATTGTCCGAAACTGGAAACTCCCCCCTTTTTTATGAAAAAAATCCCATAACTCGGAAATGTAAAATATATAAAATTTATAAAAATCAAAACAGAGCTTAATTCAATAGATATAAACAATTCACCAAAGTTTCATGCAAATTGGTTAAAGAGTTTTTGAGTTATTGTCCGACATGTTGACGACGGACGGACATACAGACAGATGGATAGAGGTATACCATAATACATCCCGTAAACGGGCATCTAAAAAGGGTTACATTCAATTCCTATGCAAAGAAAGGAACTGTAAAGGTCAACAAACATATGCATGCAGTCTGATTCTGACATATGTAGTATTTTGAGGGACTGCTGTGTTACAAAGTCTGACTCTAAGACCTAAAACACCTATTTTCCTCAAAACTGACTGACATTTTTTGATAATTTCAAAATTAGTATTAAGAGTGATTCTGCTGTATAATAAACTATTTTCGATAATTTATCCTGTTGGGTTGCTCACTTGCTGTCTTACATTTATTGCTCTATTCATATTTCAACAACTCAGACAGAATGAAAAACTATCTGTGATACATTTCCCTTTAATAGTATAAAGTTATAGACTTGTAAACAATAATTGAAAATATCTATACAAATTATAACCCTAAGAAGTCACACCTTTTAAACACCTTTGAAACAATACAAAAAGAATATCTTCCATTATCATTTTATCTACCATTGTGATCAAATTGCTTGCTCATTGTTTAACTTTTAGTTTATTGTTTCACACCATATAAAGTTTATTGTTTCACACCATATAATCACCATAAACATGAACTAGTCATATGCATGTACTTTAAAAAGTAATTCCGTGGTTATCTGTTGTTATTAACATATTAACATAGGAACAGGTAAAATAAAAAAAAATGTTTTTCCAAGACATGCAGACGCTGCTTACTTAAATTTTGTTTATAAATTCTGTATTTAAAACTTGATCAAGTGCTTTTATCAAGCTTATTGTAATCATATAAGTCCCCTAGTACCTAATTCAAAGGACTATGTACATGTGTCTATACCAAATATGTCAGCCAACTATTTTTCACAGAAGGGGCCTTGGTGGCTGAGTGATCTAAGTAGTTTAACTACTATATCACTTGCCTGTCAACACTCCGGTTGAGAGTTCAAACCCGGCACATGGCAGGTGCTTTCGACTCCAATCTTAATTGACTTGGATTGTCAGTTTTCCTGTGAAAGGTCTGTGGTTCTCTCCGTCTGTGGTTGTCTACGGCTTGCTTCACTAATAAAAACTGGCCCTCACGAAAAGAGCCAATTGTGTTGAAAAAGGTGTCAAAGACCAAAAATCAATCTTTTATAGAAGTTCTGTCATGGGTTTGGGTTAGTTCTGTCATGTAAATTAAATAAATTCATTTTAAATGGATATAGTGACTATTTGTCTTTGAAAAAATGGTTCATTTTTATTCAAATGAAAAAAGGGACAAGCAAAGAATTTCCCTCCAATCTTGATGATAAAGTTTTGCAGTCACAGCCCTGAAGCCGATATTCCTAAATTTTGTATAGATTCATTTGAGCTGAAGTTGAAATCTTACAGGCCTGATTATTATTTTACAAGCCTGGGATGGTGGGACTGTGACCAAGGGTGAAGACTGCACCTCTAAACTATGCTAGGCTGGCTAGAGGTCATCTTTGACTTGCTCAGTCAGAATCTAATTATGACTGGTACATTTAAGAATTTTGTGTAATATAAATTATAAAACACCAAGGCTCCTGTGTGTCAGGGGGGAGAAAATTTTCAGGCTGTGAGTATGCCCATTGGAAAAATGCAGGCAGTAGCAGCTGTCCTGCCGACCAAGAGGAGAACCATACTCTTCTATTCTGTATAAGTGTTTTGCTAGATTACATCATATTGATTTAATATGTCAGGTTCTAACATAGCCATCTAGGCTTTTGAAAAAAAAAGAAATAAAAGTGGTGGACATTTTAGACTTTTGATATGCAAAATATCAGTAGTAGCAAGAAGCACCATGACCTCCTTATTCTGTTAAAGTCATGGCAATTTGACATAAAAATCAGACAGACATATACTCTTAACAACCAACCAAAATTAGTTCAAGGTATGATGACAAGTATACAAGTCAAGATATCTTCAGGAACAACTTCCATACAAATTGAAAGTGGAGATGAAATTATAACTAAGGTATCTGCAAATAATTAACCATGAATCACATGAAAATAATACATTTATATTTGAATTTCACCTACTGCAACGATCATCATGACAAAGAGAAAACAATTTGCAAAAAATTAGAATAAGATAAAAAGTTGTAAAATTTTAGACTAAATTATAATAAAATGTAAGTATGTTTGGTTTTTTTTTCTTGGATGTATAACAGTCTAGACAGATTAAGAGCTTTATTTTCCTGTTTATTTTCTACTAACTAATATTACCTGTATATACATTTGATACCATTATGAGCATTCTTTATTTTCTATAATATTTTTGTTGTATCCATTTGTATCTCAATGTGTATGCTGAATATAACAAAATCAATCGTAATTCAGACAATATTGATAGATTATGTAAAGCTTAAAGTGGGGTAAAACAATTTTACGTGAGAAACAATAGTTAAATGGTCTAATGCAAATGTATACTTATTGCCATGTGATATATATTCAAACAAAAAAAACTGGGACATCTGGTGTCGTGAACTTCAAGAATCATTTAAAAGTTTGAATTAATGCAAAATCTATACATGACAAAAGAAACAAAATAAACTTGTTTATTCAACAAATTTTAATCCAAAAATGATGACAGTTTGTTTGCTTACACTAATTGATTTGAATGCTATTATTATTGTGTATACTGATGAAGAAGTAGATCAAGTGACACAGTCACAGGTGGTCAAATCCTTTTTAGTAACTCTAAATAAAATGTATTTGACCATTATCACTAAAAGCATCCTACTTCAAAACTTACAATGACATCATTACAGTATCAAAAGCTTTTTCAAAATGATCATCTTACAATCTATATATAATTTTCAATGAGTAAATTCTAAATTAAAAAAAAATCAGTATATGGATATATTGTAAATAAATTTATCTTAGCTGTAACATGTCTAAAGAAGGAAAAAAATAGAGGTTGACAAATTAGTTCATTAAATTCTGAATTTTAAATTGTTAAAAAAATTAGGAAATCATTTTAAATTTAGGAATGCATCTCCATCATGCATAGTTCTGATTCTTTGTCTTATTTTGGATATACTTTTGAACCTTTTGGGTTTTATCAGCTCTTCCTCAACATTTGTATTAGGTATTGAATTTTCAAATGTTTTGGCATTGAGCATCACTAAAGAGACACTAATTGTCAAAATGCACATTTGGTGCAGTATCATTAGTACCATTAATGTTATCAACTTAAATACCTTTAACATTCTGACTTCTCGAAGGGCAATCTTCTTCACCATTTTATCATCTTCACTTTCTAAAAACTTTTTAATAGCTACAAGCTGTCCAGTCTCTTTATGTCGACATTTTAAGACCATTCCATAACTTCCTTCACCAACTAATCCCAGATTTTCATACTTCTCCATTGTGGACTACAATTCTGTCCTTTGCTTTTAATGCCTGAAAAAGAAATGGAAGAAGTATGAAAATGCAGTGTTATTTTCTCTTATTGCAAGAATATATCTGAAGATTAAGGAAATTTGATGAATCAGACTGTACAAAAATGTATAGTGAGAAATGAAAAAAGAATGAGCTGTCACAAAACTGGTTTAACCCTCCCATATTTGTATATGCTAGTCCCACTTCAGAAGTCTACTCAGTGGTTATCAAAGACTCAGAGATAAATTTGTCATCTTCATAGAATTTGACATCAATGTAAGATCTTTCTTTGGTCATTTTTTAGTGAACTGAAAACCTAGCTCATACATGTAAACAACTTCCAGAAAACATTCAATTCTTTTCAGTATTTTACAACTCATTATATTTTTTTATGGTTTATTAATTTGTTTTTAAATATAAATATTTGACTGTCATTTTAATTATGATCCAGCTATCTCAAGAAAATTTGATGCTTAAATAGAATGCCTTTTAACTGTTAATGATGCCCATGATCATCAAAGAGGGACGAAAGATACCAGAGGGACAGTCAAACTCATAGATCGAAAACAAACTGACAACACCATGGCCAAAAATAAAAAGACAAATAGACAAATAATAGAACAGATGACACAACATAGAAAACTAAAGACTAAGCAACACGAACCCCAGCAAAAACTGGGGGTGATCTCAGGTGCTCCATCAACTGAAGTCCTAATTAATATATATACATTAACCTCTAGATTTCATTAATGGTTTCTTTGTGGTACTAAATTGCTGACTTTTTGACATTTAAATGATATACCAACATATCCTTTTACTGATAATACACATATTATTGTTACTGAAATGGAATATTCAATCAAAAAAAATGTTAATTGGAGAAAAATAAAAGATTAAATTTCCTCAAAGTAAAATGCTAAAATACTAGCTACTTATTAATAAACAAACAGATGATTCAAGATTGAAAGGTGTAACAACAGTATCCTCTTCGGCTGAACTTTATACATTTTCAGTACATTATTAACTTTTTAATATCATCATGATTATATTGGATTCATATTAATGAATGTCTCAGTTTACAACCAGGATCCAGGAAAGAGAAGATTAGTTTTTTTATGCCCCCGCCCTGTGTGGGGGAAACAAGTTTTACCCTTGTCCGATTGTATGTCCCAAAATTGGTTTCAGTTCTCTATCTTTAGTTAGTCTCAAACAAGTATTCAGACACTTATACACAATGATTATTTCCACCAGACACAGATCAGTTTTGAATTAAGGTGGCATTACTTTCACCGTTAACGAGTAATGTCCCTTTATAAATGAAAAAATTGCTGAATTTGCCATACAACCCTTTCTTTACTTTGCCTAAACCAAATAGTATGAACATGATGAAACTTATACACAATGTTATTTAACAAAATACACAGATAAATTTCTAATTTGGGTGGTGTCACATTGACCGATCTAGAGTTTGTGCCTTTACAAATGGAAAAAATTGGTGAATTTGTCATGTCCACACTCTGAGTTTACTTTGCCTCCACCAAATGTTATGAAACTTAAACACAATGCTTATTAACACCAAACACAGATCAAATTTGAATTTGGGTGGCTCTACTTTCACCATTCTAGAGCAAGTCCCTTTAAAATGGAAAAATAGCTGTTTCCACACTTATGCTTTACTTTGTCTCGACCTAATGTTATAAAACTTATACACAATGCTTATTACCACCAAACACATATCAAGTTTGAATTTGGGTGGTGTCAATTTTACTGCTCTTGAGATGTTGTCATGGAGAAAATTGAGAAAAACACAGCTTTTTAACTTTCAGCATCTTACCACAGTTCTTACAAGGAGAACCACCATAAGAAGGCTTTAATAGAAGTGGCAGCAAGTTAATTTGCAATTACATTTTTTGAAGGACCATTTGATTAAATGGAAAACTGTTTGATAAGATTGTGTATGGTCACTGCTCAATCATTACTAACTTACAAAGCAGCCTACATTAGTCATGTTATGTCTAGCCACAAAATAAAACTAATATTCAGAACTACACATGTAGTTGTGGAGATCTCAAAATTGATTTTGAAAATTTGTTGATTCATAGATTTGTTAAGGTAAGTTCTAGTTGCAAGGATTCTGCATGATTAGTTATCATCTCTATAAGGCAGTTCTAATCTTTAGCCTCCCCCTGAGGATACAGAAGAAATTGGCAAGACACAAAACCACATTTCATTTTGATTTACATTGTACTTGATTCAGAAGAAACTTGATGTAATATACATGTATAAAGATAAAAATTCTGCTGGAGGTTTGACTGAGAGACCATCTCTCCAGTCATAAACTGTCTCAGATTTCTTCATGTTTAATGGGGAATGCATAACTGAAATGATTCAACATGAGTGAGATTCCCCTCCTACTTTTCAGTCTACTCCTAAGCCACTTGCTTTATCAGTAACATCACAATTATAGAGCTTTGGTCTGACTTGTACAAAATGATGCATGCAATAATCAAGCCACAAAAGATAAGAAAACTACATGTATAATATGATTCCTACCTGATTCAGATTAAGACAATTCCTTTCAAAGCACCTCAACAAAATTCGTTTTCAACAGTCATAGGCAAATGCATAAGCGGTTAAAGCCTTCAGCATATATATATAAAATGTAGTAGTTTTTTATCCTGACATTGACTGTTTTTAGAAGTATATATCTTTAAGACTTATGCAGCTTTTTACTTGGGATTGATACATGATCAACATATCAATTGTTCCCAGTATTCACACCATCATATTTTTTCATGATATCAATATATACATATTCATGTACAAAACCTTGAGGTCACTAACAGAACGGAGTAATTTGTCCAATATTTAACACCAAATTTAAAATTATGGGTTTAAAACCACAGATCATTTTGGTCAAGAACAGATTAAATTTGGTAAGATTGATAAAACTTTATCTTATGGTGTCTGATTATAAAAAATGATGAAATAAAAAAGACTGATGAACAGTAATTTGACCAGAAAAGAATGACTAAATAAAACCCATTATGTACATTGTATATCGTCTTAAGTATTTAAAAATTGCTGGCATGGGGTTTAAAACAGATTAAACTAAAGTTTCTTTTAAATACCTATTGATTGCATATAGATTTTATGGATTATCTTTGTGTTTATGCATTTCAATGTTTAAACTGACATAGGATAAAATCTAAACCCTACATATAAGTTAATAAATCTCACATTTGTTTTAACATTAATGGAGTACCTCAGTACATCAAAAACATGTACTGTACCATTTTCACAGTAAAGAAATAAACTAAGATCACAAAACAAATTCTTAACATCTGATTGAATACTGTAAATGTGGTTAATTCTTAAATTTGAAGTGGGTTTTTATTTCATGTACAATGTACTAGTACCAATGTATAAAAAATATATGTATGCACTTTATTATTAATACTTGGACCATGCATAACAGGCATTATAATTATGAAATACATGTATTCTTTATTGTTTTGTTATAAATTAGGACATTAGATTTCTCAATTGAATTGTTTCATATTTTTCATGTCAGAGCCTTTTATAGCCGACTATAAGGTATGGATATTCTCATTGTTGCAGGCCGTACATTTGCTTACAAAGTTTGCTTACATCCACTTCATTTGAACTTTGGAGGATAGTTGTCTGATTGGCAATCGTAACAGACATCTCCTTATTTTTATAACGACTATTGTACTAATTATCATGCATATCAGCATTTCGATATTAGAACACACATACAATTACACTACATCAGAAATACTTTCTATGACGAATTTATCTTGATATGCCCTATAAATTACTACATGCAAGCAGCATTTCAATATCTTATAACCATGATAACAGGCTTCTTAAATCATAATATCATGCTTACAATGTATCTGTTTTGTTTTTACTTCCTAAAGTAAAATGTTAATGAAAATGAAAGCTTCATTGTTTAATGTTTATCCCAGTTGTTTATAAAATATTTCATTACTTTTCTTTATACAAAAATAAGGAGATGTTGTATGATTACCAGTGTTCATTATCATCTTATAAATTTATCTTTTTTTTAAGTCTAAAAAATTAAGTCTTCTTTAAAGAGTGCACTAGTTTTTAAATTTATTAATCAAATTCATCCCTCAATCTTTTAAATACACTTTATCTTTCATTTTCACGCTTATAAAGCAATTTATTTCTTTACAAAAATGTCCTTGGAACTCAATGTACAGATAATAAAGGCAGTTCTCCCCTGCTGAGACATCTATAATATTAATTGCAGCTGTAAATTTCATAAAATTGTAAATGATTTATAAGGATGTTTTATACTATATAAATTTGTTTTTAATAATCTAAGCACTTTTCTATCTGACAAAAATTCAGTCAATACAGAGTGTACAAAAAAAGGAAACCAGATATTGGTGTCAACCTTATTTCTCTTTTAACCCTTTACGCCATGGATTGATTGATTGATGTTTGTTTTATATCCAGGGGCAAATATTTCATGCATGTTCAGGGTGAGAACAAATTTACCATTGATACAATAGGTACAATGTACATGTAGGTCCTTAAATAGGGGTCTCCTGGAATGAATGGTGGAAAATTTGGACTGCCACCGGGAAACGAGGGTATATTGGATAGGGATAGAAATTAAACCTTGCAAGAAGCCACCTACATGTACAAATTAACATCTCAAAGACTTGTTACAGGAGTTATTAAGTTAAGAAATTTTTTTTAATGAGTGGTACATGTATTCTCCCTACAGGAGATATAAGATTTAATGACATAGAGGCAGCATGTTATGAATATTAATCTTTATTTCATATACATGTACAATGTATATTGCATGATTCAAAGAATCGTGCACTTTTGTTAAAGCTAATGTCCAGAGTTTTTCTTTCTCAAATGTGTGCACTCAGTAATCCATGCAAGTGTTAACTTAAAATTTTCACAATGGTGAAGCTTGTCAAAATTTTCGAAATCTATAGAGTTCATTAATAACAGATATTCGTACAAAACTCTGTTTCAATTCCTTTTGGAGTTTTTGATAGGTTTTGATATTTCCACATAGATTAAAGGTTGCAAGTTAACAAAGTTATGCAAACAACACCCAAAGTGAATTCAGATTTACTTTGCATTAAACATGTTAAAGAATAATCTTTCTTTACTCATCAAGTAGACATGAAGAGTGTTGTTTAGAATTATTTCTTTGATGTTAAGATGGCAGAAAATATAAAAATTGTCCCGAGTAGTGGAGTGTACCACTGACAATCTTCTGATAATTTTTTAGCTAAATAATTCATCCATCAATGTCAAGTTATAATTTATAACCAAAACTTAACTAGTTTCTGGTGACTGTCACACTAAAATTATCTTGACAGATCTACATGTATGTACATAATACAAAAACATTTATAATCCAAATTCAAGAAGTACAGTGTTTTTAGCAGTATAAAAATGTGATGAGTAGCATGACATGTAACAGGCAATCTTTTGGACCCTCTTTTGCATTTCATATTTCCAGATCCCACATGACAATGAAACAGTTGTACTTGTTACATGTACATGTTATTTTTAAAATATAAAATAAGGATATGTGGTATGATTGTCCACCAGTCCAAAAGACTCCAAATTGTGTGGATTTAAGCAACTTCATGAACTTAGTACAATTTATCATGCTACTTTTAAAATAAACATACATGGACAGACATGACAGATGAATGAGGAAGTATAGCTTATATGGTCTTTACTCTTTGAAAAGAGTTCTGTTCTTTAAGAGAAAGTGACATCAGACTAAAAACTCAGCTTACTATTTCTAAGTTTCATACAACATGTAGTTGTTTGTTGCTCATTTATTTCCTTTTTGGACAACGCACATACATGTACCTGTACATCTGCAGGCGTCAAGATTTTTGTTCTGGAACGTACATTGTATGTTAATTCTTTGTCATGAACCTTCCAAATTGAGGATTGATATGGCCAAAAAAAGGTTCAAAACAGACTTTCTTCACATAGTGTAAAGGGCTAGAGACAAATAATCCAGTAGCCCTCTTACAATTGCAAATTATTTGTTCATTTTGAAATTCAAAAGTTTTAGTGCCAAAAAAAGTGTTTATTTTTATTGATATTTTTAATACCCATCAATGCTATAAATGATCAACAGCCATTACCATGATTAAAGACAAATTGTTGACACTATTCTGAATTAAAAGTATAAAAGTGATTGGTGCATGACATTAATTGGTCAAATTTCAGCTTTACAAATGTATGTCAAGTGAAGTGTCACAGATTCCACAGTATCCTAAATTCTGAAATAGCAAATGCAATAAGGTACATACATGTATATATATATTTTACTGGTTTATTGAATATAATAATATTCATATTTCTGAAATGAATTTTCCTAGCCCAAAACAGTACAATATCATTTCTGTACCATAGTTTTGAAAAATTTAGTAGTACAATGTAAGTACAGTAGTGTACAATGTACATGTACAAATGTATTCATGTTTCAGGGTAAGTGATCACCCATTAGATCAACCTGCCAGACTCTGAAAAAGAGGCGAAAGATGCCAAACGGACATCCAAACTCACAAGTAGAAAATCAACTGACAACGCCATGGCTAAAAAAGAAAAAAACCAACAGTACACAAAACACAACATAGAAAACTAAAGACTGACCAACACGAACTGGGTTCAACCCCACCAAAACTGGGGGTGATCTTACATTTAGGTGCTCCAGAAGGGTAAGCAGATCCTTTGCCACATGTGGCACCAATCGTGTTGCTCATGTTAGTACAAACCAGGTGACAAGTTGAATTCAGTAGGTCACATTCGGGGAAAAGGGGACGGGATTGTATAGTTACGTTTACGACAATTGGAACATACATTTTATTCGTTGTCATCTGTGAACTCGTTCATAAAAAAAACGAACTTGATACAGGTCTTCGATACATGTATGTCAATAAATCTTAGCCCTGGTGTTAACCCAATGGCAATGTTAAACTATGATGCTAAACTTTCCCTTAAGCCTTAAGGTACAGTAGTGTCCGGTAATTCCGCCCGTCCGGTAAACCCGCCCACTCCCATTTCTTCTGTTATTGTCACTTCCGTGAATATTTGGTCTGCTATTTTATTCATAGGAACTGTACTTATCATCAATGCATGTCAAATTTTAAAGAAAAATCCTTTATTACAAAAATATCTAGTGATATATATAATACAGTTCCTAAAGGTAAGGATAATCATATTACTGCTTACAAAACTCATTTCTGACTTGAAATTTTTTTTGGGGATTATCTGGAATCTCTTTATAAGTGGTCCATTAATAAATAGATCACCTTTTACTTTCATAAATTTGTGATCAACTGGCCCCCATACATATTTACTGCGTGTGGGCGGATTTACCAGACAAACACATTTCCGATAAAAACACGGATGACCCACTTGTCTTGTTGATTTTAAAATTTATTTCAGATATTTTTTTTGGAAATGAGATATAAACTACTCAATGTTGATTTGTTAGTGAATCGATTTATAATAAATTTGATACAATTTGTATATAATTATTAATTAAGCAGAAATACATACACCAAAGCCTTATGTGGGCGGATTTACCGGACTGCATCGTAATGATCAGTAACTAAATGCAGACTATAATCAGATGGATAAATTTTCCAACTTGAGGTGAGACATCAATACTCAAAAGGCTGTTTTCTAAAACCTACCTTTTATTTAATATTTAGTACTAGTAGGCTATCCTTGATCTAATTGTTTATATGCCACTATATCACTAATTTCTCCACATTGTTATTTATCTATGCCAATATTCACAAATACAAATGAAACATTTTCACTTCAAATTGCAATAAATTTATGGGTAAAACAGCTGATCTACTTTCACTCTCACTGTCAAAGTTTTAAAATACTATCCTAAAATATAAATTCTATCAATAATACTTCAAAATGAAAGTTGTCGTCTGCTTCATGATGAACTTATTATTTCTATATAACATTATTGAACTCCTTGTAATTCACTGTTCTTCATATTTGTTTCTTAACAACTTCAATAGAACTTTTAATCCAACTAATCGCACGTTTTTGGCAGAAGTAATCCGAGATACTGTAGTTATTTATTTGTAAATAAAAATAGATTGAAACACGTGAATTTTCAAAGTCTAAAATATAACATGATAATTTTTTTTACTTCAAATAAACAAAACATTGACTTCCGGAAATAAATGAAATAACTTTTATCGGTTGTCAGATCAAGTGTTTTGCAATCAACAACTGTTTAATCCAGTCGCAACATGATTAACACTGTAAATGCTAATTACACCATTCATACTTGTGTTGAACTTTTGCCAGAACGCATGTATCTAGTGACAACAAATGTTTGACTTCCGGTTCTATTGAGTCACAATTTTTTTCAGTAATAACTGTGTTTTGCACAAAAAAAATAACCTAAATTTGAATAGTGTTATTCATTTTGTATCGAACATTGTTTGACAAGTTACCCTTTAGCATTTAATGGCAACAATTGTGCGAATCAACCTTTGAAATAGAAGGAAAAAGTATACGCGTGCGTAGTACATAACAATAACATAACTTCCTGTTGCATATATATGGCTTACTGTAAAATTTGGTGTCGGTGATGGATTATTTGCCAATATTTCATTGACTTACAAAATGATATTCATAAAAAAATTAAAAATTATATATAAAAGATTCTGTTTTTCGTACAATGGATCGTGGCATTCGCTTAAGGATGTAGTTAGGTTAAATTAAAAAAATCTAGAATTTAAAATTGGTATTATAAATCTGAAGAGGAACAAAATAAGTTAAAAATATTGATAGGTTATGAAACTCCTTTTTGCGATATTTGATTTTTTTTTAAATCTCAGGAAAAGGCTGACTCGGACTTTTACCATATATAATAACAAAATATATACACACATTCAAAAGTCATGAAAACAACACAATTTCAAACATTCAGTGCATATGGTAAGATACCGTAGGTGACATATAAAAGTTATAGTATGCAAAATTAAGTATATCTTAAATCATAGCATAAGTTAGAATGGTAAGCGCAGCAGATAATAGCAACTAAAAAAGCTAATCAAATCAAACAGTCAAACAAACAATAAAAAATAAAAAAGAACAGGCGTAAAAACACTATATGCGTGCACTGCACTGGCATGAGCTGTTATTTGGACCCCATGTTTGTTTGTACCAATTTTTATAATTGGTCAACAGATGTTTCCATTCGACAATGATTAGGCAGCATTCCAGATTTGTGCAGCATTATAGCGAAACGATCTCAAACCATACCTGGTAGCTCTGACTCTCGGGAGTACTGCTGTTTCCTGTGATCTTAAATTATACTTATGAATTTCAATATCAATTAAATCATGAAGATAGCTTGGACTTTTTTTGTGGATTATTTTAAAAGTTTCTGTTGCAATAATTTTTATTCTTCTTATCCTTAAAGAAGGTAATTTTGACTTTTCTAGCAGTTTTTCGTATGAACTATCAAAATCTTCATAGATGAATCTAAGAGCTCAATCTTGAATTTTTTCCATTTGAAAACTGATTTTTTTTTCGCTGCAGTATTGCCAGATTACTGGATAATAGTTAAAATTGGAAAGAATGAATGAGTAGTATGATGTTAACCTACCTAGCCTGTTTAAATATTTACCCATTCGTTTTAGAATATTTAATTGTCTTGATGCCTTTTTACATATTTCAGATATATGATTGTTAAAGTTTAAATCTGAATCTAGAGTTATTCCAAGAAGTTTAACATTTTCTTCACAAGAAATTTGTTTCCATTTATATTGAATGTCAAATTATGTTTATTTTCGTTTTTTTCCCCAATTGCTATAGCCTGGAATTTGTCAGGATTAGCCTTCATTAAATTTATCGAAAACCTGTTTATTAGATTTGAACTATCAGTTTCTAAACTTTTAACAACTTTATCTATATCCTAATCACTATATGATACAGTGTTATCATCAGCATAATTATAAATCGTGCTATTTTTGTACAAAATGAAATATGTCATTTATGAAGATATTGAAAAGAACTGGACCAAGAATTGACCCTTGTGGTACACCTTTAAACACACGATCCCATTCACTGTAAGAACTTCCAATTTTAATACGTTATTTTCTGTTTTCTAAATAACTTTGTAATATTTTTAGAGAATTTTTTGACAGACCATATGCTTCCAATTTTAGTAAAAGTAAATCGTGCGGACAATCAAATGCTGTAGATGGATCCATCAGAATTGCAGCAATAAATTTGTTGTTGTCCACGACCAGTGCTTTTTTTCCAGTCTTCTATTATCTTAATAAGTGCTGTTTGGCAATCAAAACTTGACCTAAATGCCGAAAGAAGAGGATGAAAATGCTTATTTAAAAATTCCATTAATTGATCATGTATAGCTCTTTCATAAATTTTGGAAATACATGGTAACACACTTACACGTCTATAGTTTTCTTTGTCTAGAGAGTTATTCTTTTTAAAAAGTTGGGATACCTGAGCAGTTTTAAGATTATCTTGAAAAAATGAACTTTCAATTGATTTATTAACTAAAATTTTAATAGGATATGATATTACTGGTTGTGCCATTTATGAAAGGCAGCTTCCCGAAATTATGGAACAAAAGTCTGATCACATAATTTAATTCATAAAAAAGGGAACAAAATCTCATTGACTTCTAATTTGGGAAAATTATTCAATAAAATTAAACACACCAGACTTTATTAACACCAATAATTTGATAAGTGATAAGTGAAAATCAAATTGGCTTCAAAGAAAAGGCTAGAACAGCAGATCATATCATATCTTCTCATTAAAGTCAACTGTTGATAAATACAAGACAAAAATCAAAGTACTGAAGTACTGAACATCGGATGACCACAAGTTCTTGTGGATGGTCAAAAGCACACGTCACAGAAAAAGATCACATCTCTATACCTGAAACTGAGGTTAATGTACAGATATATTTTTTTTCTGAGACAAGTTTGTGCGTGTATGATGAATAAATGACAGGAAATTCAACCACACCGTAATAACTATTATATTGTAGTGATACAAATCAGTATACCTGGGACTATTATACTAATATAATAATAGTCCCAGAGTATGTATACACTGGTTTGTTGTTATATATTATATTAATATAACAGTTACATGTATATATAATTTTCATCCATTTGTATATCATTCTATTGTACTTTTCTAATAATAGTGCAGTGCAAGTGCATGGTGGACACATGGTAAAAAAATCCATTTTTCTAAAAGATTGGATATGAGAAGCCATTCATATTTTCCCGCAAAAACAATTACAGAGTTACCGGTCCTTGCCGCGAGTGTCACAAAACGTTCTTGAGATATTCTTCCTCAAGCTTTAACACAATTTTTCGGTACGATTGCATAGATATTATCAATTATTTTTTTAATTTTATATATATATATATCTAACGACAAAACATTTTCATATTATTAATTTGTGTTTAAAAAAAAATATTTATAGGAGCATCCATTGAAAAAATGAATTTAAAACAAGCGATAAGGAATGTTATTTTGCACAAGATAATGTCCGCGGATCTATATTTTTGTATAGATCTGTTGAAAACCCAAAACTAATTTGCATAATGGAAATTTAGGCGATAGCAATACATCGGAATGACCTCACGGTCATCTCGATGTAAAAAAGAAAGTTCTTGTAGCATTTATTGAACTACGAAAAGCCTTTGATACTGTCTTGAGGGAGGGTTTATTTTATATCCTACTCCAAAACAGACTTCCAGGCAAGCTTTTTAGTGTCATTCGATCAATGTATAATGAAAATAAATGTAGAATTAAATTTCAAAATGATATTAGCCATGAATTTATATCAAATTGTGGAGTAAAACAAGGGCATGTACCTAGCCCAACTTTGTTTAATATCTATATACTAGTAAATGGCCTTGTAAATGACCTTGATCATGCAAACACTCAACCAATTGTTATATGAGATGTTAAACTAACATCATTATTATATGCAGATGACATTATTTTATTGTCAGAAACCCATGAAGGGCTACAAAATGCACTTAATGAGTTAACTAAATTTTGTTCCCTTTGGAAACTTGATGTAAACAAACAAAAATAAAAAATTATAATATTCAATTCTAATGGGAATTCACGTTGTAATTATTTTAAAGTAGAAAACGAGCATCTTGAGACCATTAAATCTTATTGTTACCTTGGAATAACAATAAATTATTCAGGCAATTTAAGTCCTTCCAAAAAAAATCTTATGGAAAAAGGAAGAAAGGCTTGGTTTAAAATAAAAAAAAAACCAGTTTCTTTAGATAAGTCTTGCAATATGATTGAAAAATTATTTGATACTTTAGTTGTCCCAATCACTCTATATGGAAGTGAAGTATGAGGTGTAAGCAAAGTGTTCAAAGATTCAGATCCATTTGAAAATTTACATATAAAATTTATTAAGGAAATTTTAGGGGTACAGTGCAAAACAACAAATGTAGCTTGTCTAACTGAGACAAACAGAACCCTTTTGCACTTAAAAATTCAGCTTTCAGCTATTAAATTTCTAAACCACATTGTGAACTCACCTAATTCATTATTCTATAAAATATATAATAATGTAGAGAAAACAAGTAAATGGGTTAACATTGTAAAAGACTGGTTAAATAAATTAGGTTTTGGTCATCTTACTTTTGACCCCATTAATTTAAAATATTATATAAATACTATCCAACAAAGAATTTTTGACCAGGCTTATCAAATTATGAACTGTTCTATCCATAAATGTGAAAAATTAAATTTCTTTTGTAAGACTAAAAAAAATGGGAAAAGGCCCCCGTATATTGATATATGTAAATTTAAAACTGACAGATCGGTTTTCAGTTAGTTTAAACTCTGTGCCCATTCCCTAGCAATTGAAAGGGGGCGTTATACCAACATTGAAGAAATCAACGCATTTGCTTATTCTGTAATTGGCAAGAAATTGAGGACGAATACCATTTCTTCTTAGTCTGTCCATGCTATATATCATTGAGGGAAACCTATATACAAAATATTAATACTAATCTTAATTGCAAATTTATTAAATTGCATTCAGTTATAACACTGAGGTATATAAACACACTTTTAAATTGCAGTTTGCCAGTCATTATAAAAATCACCACAAAGTATATTAATGATTGTCTATTATTGAGAACATCTGTATAATTTATATTTTTTTATTATGTATCCTATTTTTTGTTCATGAACGTTAATAATGCGTTAACTGTCGATACACACATATTTATAGTCTTTTTTTCGTGCGAATACCACTGTCACTCTAATTGAATTATTGTCAGTTTATTGTCTCAATACTGTATGCCATAACCTTTTAATGTAATTGTGTTTGTGCAAATAAATATTGACTATTGTCTATTGTTACAGGTTTAAAATATAACTCATTATAATCAATT